GCGCACAGAGGTTCGCGCACGAGCATTATGTGACATAGATACGTGATCCTGCTCGTGCGCGATCGCTCGTATCCAGGCCGCGACGCTGCTGCTGCGTACGGACATTTGCAAAAATGTCAAATCTCGGTTTGCCCTCTCCGCAGCCCACCCGCCTCCCTCCGACTTAATTCGTACTAGATTGAAGAGGTGGAGGTGAGCACCTAGTTTAATTAGTTTCAAATACAAGATATCGAACCATCAAGGTAGTTGTCATTTGTACATCTCTTTTACCTATACTTATTTCAGTCCAACCCCCTTTCCCTATACTAGACAGCCACAAAAGCTTGACAATCCCCTCATTTCGAGTATCCGTAAGGGCTTCTACCATTTTTGTACACACATCTTTTTTCCCAATCAGTCTCTTGTAAATAGGAGTAAAAAGCGGATATAATACGTTTCCTGATTTCCTATGTACAGAATATGTCCAGGTTTGGGTGCGTCAATGGTACATGTCTGTTCGTGGTCGGCTCGATAGTGGTGCATTATTTCTCGAAACATCGCAGGATATAGTAGGGAGTTGGCAATATGTTATTCGAAATAAAGCAACTACCGGAAAATCGGATTGGAATATGACTGGGCTTGCAGTTGGGACTTGTCACTATGGGGCCTGAAAACCACTGGATCGGTTCTGGAATTGGGCTTTTCGCCCCCTTTCCTAACCTGCATAACCTTAAATGCAATAGGCAGGTCTTCCCCCGAACCATACCATTCTCTCTTCCCTTAAACCGAATTTACCCTCCTCATTGCCACCTTCTATCTCTCTCTCTCTCTCTCCTCACCCTCTCATTCTGGTTCTTCCTCTCATCCATCAGTGGGCCCCCCCTCGTCCCTGCCGTCGCATTCGACCTCTTCGTATCCGGCGTCAATTCCCCTGGCGTACTTCCCCTCGGCTCATCGTCCCCTTTCCACCACTTCCAGTACATATCCTCGACGATGCGCCGCAACGCCGGCTCATGGTACCTGCACAACACCATCCCCAAGTCGTGTCGCCCCCCCATGTGAATCCGCTGTGTGCAGTCCGGGTAACAGCAGTTGGACCAGAGGAGGTAGCGGCGACGGGGCTTAAATTTGTATGGCCACATTTTAGCTGCTTTTGTGGAGTTATAGGGCGGAGGGAAGGGTTGGTGTGACAGGCGTGTGTGGGCGAAAAGAGAAGCAAATCTAGCAGGGTCGGGCAGTGGTGGGATAGAAATTGTAAGTTGTTCTTGAAAAAAGGCGTCGGGTTTTTGCGGAGGCACAGTGGCGGCGACAACGGTATTATACCGTCGGCTATGTGAATGTAGCGTGGCGCTTGCGGTGTGGAAGAGTAGGAGATAGTAGCTTAGCGCGATCTGAAGTTTTTCGCAGGACTGGTGTTTATTGAATGCTATCTACAAGGCATGGATTCTATCAGCGCTACCCACGGATGAGTTTGAACCATTGTGTCTTGCTTACCTATGTAATCGAACAGCAAACGAGTAGAAGTTGTTGATAGGCGGGAGAAGTAAGCCTATCCGGTTTGCTGATGTTATGTAGCTGGATGCATATGCCCATGTGTGGCGCCACGATAGTAGGGTGTTGTGGCAAACGTTAGAAGGCGCGAGGCGACAATCACGTGGACAGGGTATTCACTTCTGGCTCTATGGGGTGACGGGAGACAACGTAGAAGCCTATCGCACGACCTGGTGAGCGGGAGAGAAATTGAGGTGCGCTGTTGAGTTGGGGGTTTGTAGACTGTCACTGAGCTCCTGCTCCAGAGTATGTCTAAATACATGCCTGGTGCGGTGTGAGTTCCTTCATGTCATGGCTCCTGAGCCTAAGTTTCGGCTCGGCACGTTGTGCACGTTTTTGAGCTCTATTGCTCGGCTGAACCGTGGCAGGCATGTGGGGTGGATAACAATAACGCCGCAATATTATGGACATTTTCACTCCATATAGGTAAAATGCAGTGTGCAAGGTGGCGTATCCGGAGGGAAATTGGATTCCAATCAATGGTCGCTAGGTCTCTGTGGATGCAGCGCCATTCAAAAAAGGAGTATTCAGCGCGGTGAGTTAGGGGGAGAAGGAAGGCAAAATGGGCATCCTTCGAAGCCTCTCCCTGGAGCATACCTTCCATTGCCTCTCTGGCTAAAGCAGGATCACTATCGCACCTTCTCCAAGGCCCTGAGTGTGTTCGGCTTAGACCTTAATATGGCGTACTGCAAGTCATAGCACTATAACCCTCGGACAGTAGTGAACTAACAATTCGCCGGTAAGGAGAGGGGAACTGGAGTAATAGGTCTTGGAGAAAGGGATCCACTCCAAGGTTTGAAGAGTTCCGTCCACATAAGCCCTTTCCATGACTCTCACCCTTCATCGTTTCCACCCCTCCGCCAAGTCTCCTATGAGAAGTGGCCAAAATTTCAATCGATATCGTTTTTTCGGCTTGATGGTGTGGTCCGGACCTTCCACCCACACCAAACAGCGGTTCTACCAGCCTCGAGACTGGGTACAGGAGACCTTTAGCCCGGCCCAACTATTGATGCACCCAAGTCACAAGACGTGCGGGAATATAGAGACTCGTAACTCTTCCAAGGTTCAGCCTCCCTAAGGAGCAAAGCTACGAAGAGACATCAAGGAAGCCTGTTATCCTAACCCTTCGCAGTTGCATGGCACCTACATCTTCCATTAAGAGCTTGGAGGCTTGCTCATACCTTAACTGATTGAAATAATCTGAAGCAAGTTATGTCATATTATTGCGAATTCCAACATCATACTCCCGGAAGTAGTAAAATTCATCCTGCTGTGGCTCTCCCATTTGTTAATCCATCTTCTCGGCGACTCCTACTGCGAAAAATGCACACATTTTAAGGGCCCGGGAAAGAAGCCCCTCGGCAAACGATAGGAAGGTAGACGCAAACCTGAAATGGAAGATGGAGAGAAATGTTGGATGCTCGATGCCAAAGTGGAGCATAGAGAGCGGGGAGGTCAGGAACGATGCAGGCCCTGAAGCGATCGGAAAGAGGCAAATAGTATTGCCTCCTACGAGCGGGTGGCCGATTCTGTTGACAATATCAGCAGAGGGAGTGGATCCAAAGGATAACAGCGCAAACGAGCACCAACAACGTCCTTCGCCGACTTTCGCCCTAACACTCTCGCAGCCCCAAATCAGCTAACCATCCATCCAAGAGTGGATCCTCCAGATTTGCATATGAACCACTCCGCATTGAGCTATCACTGTGACAAGGAAGGAGAAGCGGAAGAGGAGGAAGTTTCTCCTCGAATCGAAAATACATTTTCCTGTCTTCGATGACTTTAGGAGGGACATGCAAATTCTGAAGACTAGCAGGCCATCTCTTGACAAATACAAGTGACTGACACAGCGTAGCGAAAACAGAAATGGGGATTTAGAAAACTTAAGACGACTACATAATTTCATTGGCTAAGAAATGGAGACGAGGAAACAACTAATAGGAAGCAAGGAAACCATAGGGAGATAAGTGTCAAGGTCGGGCATGGGGCTAAAAAATAAGCTCGAGTATCTATTAACATCGATGACCTAAGTCTTAGGAACAAAAAAAGCAAAAGGGTATGGGGGAGTCTGAAAATGCGAGGGAAGGAAAGGCAGAAATCGGTTAAGGGATCGAGAGTGCAGCGAGGAAGTAGTGGTTGGAAACCATCCGATGTGAAAGTTACAGCAGGTCCTCGTATGACATGGACGCACGAAGTCTATAATCTGTCAAATCACCTGCTGGGACTAGGGAGAATGTTGGCAAGTCGTATCGTTCTGCCCTCTTAGGTAAGCGTGAGTAAATCACCCCTGCCTTTTTCTGCAATCGGTGACAAGATGCATTATTTAGAAATGGTTCGCTTAGAAATTCAGCATACCACAAAAGTGAATATATTGTATGCTCGGTGTTGTACTAGTTATAGGAATTTCTGACGATGCATATTTGTCATCCAAACTCATTTCTGACTCTTTCTGACTCCTAATCACATCGACATCATCTCCGGCTGAAACCTCTTGGCAATCCTTTAGACACTTATCGACCAAACTACATCTCTTGATAACGCTAACTCATCGCAAGAAGGACACCGCATGCACGGTCTGATGGCGGCTTCAGAGCCCGTTCTCGATGTGGGTAAATAGTATGCTAACCAAATTGGTATAGGTGAACAATATTGCGAATCGGCCCGTGGCTTTCTGACATACAACCTGAGAGAAGGTGTCAGAAAATGCCTGGCACGTGAATCGAGAGGTCAGAACTAATTACCAAGTACCATTGAGACTGAACAATCTTAGTAGAGATGAAGAGAGATAAATAAGGCTACAATGCTCATCATATATCCATTCTAATTCTAATCCATCAAAATGGCCAATCCACCAACCATTGTTTTCATTCCCGGCTCCTTCTGCCCGCCTTTCTTCTACGATGATAGTATCCAGAAGCCCATCGTCTCAAGGGGCTATGAGATGCACGTCCTCCAGTACCCTTCAATCGGCTATAAACCTAATAGTCTTCCTACTATGGCGGACGACGCGGCCTTCATTTCCGCTGAAGTGGCCAAAGTTGCGGACGAAGGCAAAGATATCGTGCTTGTGGCACACTCGTATGGAGGCATCCCCGCGAGCGAATCAGTTAAGGGTCTTAGTAAAGCCGACAGAAAGAAAGCGGGCAAGAAAGGAGGAGTTGTGAGGCTGGCGTATATGACAGCTTTGGTGCCACTTGTTGGGGGGAATGCAGTAGGGTTGTTAGCGGATGTGCCAAATGAACCGGAGTATATTAAAGTTGGCGAGGCGAGTAGATTCCCTCTCTTTGCCAACAATGCAAATGACCCACCATGAGGAGTGCCATTCGCTAATGCCAGGCAGGATGGATGGATGTACCACGTCGACTTCAACACCAGCGCAGAGCTCATCTTCTCGGACCTTCCGCTAGAGCAAGGCATTGCGCTGGCCAAAAGTTTCCTGAAACACTCGTCCGCAAGTTTTGTTGGCGAGCTTACTTATCCCGGCTACAAGGACGCCCCGGTATCATATCTCTTCTGTGAAGGGGACAAGTGCGTCCCGCCAGCTGTCCAGCAAGCTATGATCGATATGGTGGAAAAGGAGAGTTGCAACAAAGTGGACGTGACAAGGATTAATGCCGACCACGTCCCTAATCAAAGTGCGCCAGCGAGAGTCGTTGATTGGATTATCAAGTGCGTGGAGAAGAGCAAGTAAGAAGGTAGAGAGGGATTGGAAGAAGACGAGGCGGTCCTTGTGACCCTACTTGGCACAGTGTAGGTATTTGGAAACTTGGTTATTTTTTTCCTTAGAGAAATCAAGTCTCTCTTATGCATTCTCACATGGTTTCCTGTATGCTTCCTTCTGAGTAATTAGAAAAACAAATAGCCCCATTTTTCCAAGAATGGCTTCTCAATCTTCCAACCATGTGGATCCCAGGTAGCACAACCAGGTTTGATGGAGAAACTCGGGATAGTGAAAAGGTCGGATAGGAACTCCTCATCGTCTATGATTCCGCCCATGGAAATCATGTTATTCCGCATCTTTGGGAACGGAAACCTATCTATCCAGCGGGCGTGTATAGTGAGGAGTTGCAATGGTGTTGGTTGCAGGGGTACGGGAATGCCCGACGAAACTGGAGAAGACTTTGCTGGCACAGTCGTGCTGCAAGATAAACCTAACATTCGGCCGTTGATATAGAGGGCCCCATAGACTGTTAAGGGATACGGTGGCTGTGCTGTGGGTGACGCGACTTGCGTCGGGTCCAAGTTGCAGAAGCTTATGTCCCCTAGATCGAAAGGAAGCAAACTGCTACTGCATGCCGATTCCGTCTGGTCACAGGCTGTTGTAGATAGCTCGATGGTGTCGTGAGAAACAAGGTTGGGGTCAGCACCTGACACAGGTACATGAAACTGCCCAGCTTGCGTGTCAATGATCCCTCGTGTTTCAGACCCCCGAGGAGTCGGTTTCGCACTATTCTTTGCTTCGCGGAGACGTTTCCCTACAAATTCCGCACCAATTAGCATTAAAAATATGCTCGCATAACGTTCCATAACCCGATAGATCGGGGAATAGTCTCCGGGAAACGTCCTTGTGCTGATCAGGAATGCATTAGAGCGGCCAACCCAGCTAAACTTTCCTGCGTTTTGGAAGAGGCAGAAATAGAATGGTGGTATTTGTTTGATATACTAGCGGTTCATAAGACACTGGTAGGAAAGACTTACGTCGGGCTCTTTGTGCTAGTCGATCTTGTATTTGCTTTCGTTTCTTCGGGTCCTCCACAGCGTGCCAATGATCGTTGTTTGACTTTTCGTGCATGTCCATAGTCACCCTTCTCGCCATTCTAGATGAAAGCGAAGTTGGAATGGTGGAAGTTGCCAGTAAATTCTTAAGAGGTGATGTGAGGAACGTTGATGACAAATGTGAGAGATGACGAAAGTGACCATAGCGACGCTATTTTGAATCGGGTAAGGGCCTCGAAGGAGGAGTATCCCTCAGCTTAGGCAGCCGTGCTTTCTCTAGAATACTTTAATTAAATGTTTAATCAGTAAGACGTCGGTGATTTTATTGCTATCTTTTTGTAGGAAAATGTTCCTACGCCATTCTAAAGGCCATGCAATAGATCAAGAAAGAAAAACTAGTTTGAAGCTCAGTTCAAAACGCGGTTAAACCACAACTCACGACTGTGATAGTGGATAGATATCCTCCAAATTTACTCAAAACAAAGTGTTAACCGAGGGAGAAGTGGTCCCTCGGGAGATATATCGACACCATGAAAGCTAGTATCCACCTTAGGGTTTCTTCTCTGGTGGCCACTAAACTCTATTGGCTGACAGCATGCTTACTATTCCTACTACTTCGACCTTCCCACAGTTGTCTGCTTCGGTTTGCGAGATGGAGGGTTGTACGCGGAGAATGGTTGACGCTGTATCGCAGCAGCGGACGTCAAGGAACACAAAATCGGGTATTCGCCTGCCTCGAAGAAGAAGTTCAATAGAATCAAGGACTGTTTTGAAGGGGGAGTGGAACAGAAACTTGGGCTGACATGGGGACATGGGTCTGGAACGGAAGCTAGCCAAATATATTCAGATCCACCAGAGCGCCGACACGACCATCACGTGTCTTCCACATACCTCAAACTAACAGACTAAATGGGTGCTCTAGACCTTCGAAATCACCTTCCAGTGGGCATATTTGAGTTCTAAAGACCAAAGAACCGAAGAGAAAAGAGGGGTTGGCACAACGATAGCCGGGGGAATCTGCCCAAGTTTTGTAACGGACGGTGCGGAAGTTCGAAACGGTAGCGCATAATGTGGCACAGAAGTAATCAGACTGACACAAGAAGGTTGACATATAAGAACGAAGTTAGTTGGCTGATCTCTGCCAGTATCGACCACGGTATTAGTCTTCCAGATTCGTTCTGTCGACGTCCGCTCATTAAGATCAGCCAACTCTTTTAAGGATATCACCATGCGCCTATCCTTCATTGCTGTCCTACTGTCCGGTGCCATTGCATCTGTGTCCGCCCAGGACTTTCAAAACATTAGTCCATGCACTGTACGTTCTCATCAACACTCGAATTCGATAGGTCCACTTGACGCCTGGCGTACATTTAAAAAAAAAATTGGCTAATCCAAGCAACAGCAAGACTGTTGGAACCAAGCTGCTGCCCAGGCCGGGTGCGATCCTAATAAAGACGACGCATGTCTTTGCGGACCCTTCTTCGACGCTGTTGCTGGCTGCGTTTCAGCAGTTTGCAGTGTACCTGATAATCTCGGTATGGCCTCCTTGATGTGTCCCTTGGGTTGCAAGCTTTGCATTGGATGATAGAAGGGAAGAAAGTTGTATCGATATGCTGACTAGTTGGCTATAGCCGCGCTCGACTTCTTGGATTCGGCATGTCAGTAACCGTGCTGTCTCGTTTTTCAACATGCGCGACTTCAACAAGATAAGCACTTGAGAGGATTAGGATTAGGATAGGACATGATATAGATACCCTGAGCGAGGTCAATGCAGCGCATTTCCCTACCTTTAGACGACGTGCTCATGCATTCAATATTGCCTTCATGTTAATGCCAAGCCAAATATTTGGAGTCAAACGAACGCCTCATCAGGCGAACCCGAGCGAACATCCATGTGCTTTGACTCTGAAAATATGTCAGGAGCTCTCATATAGCAGGTAGAGTCAGAAGGGCCTTCTCTTAGCCATCTTAAGTGCAGAAATAGCATGACTGCTAGTTACACCGCCCACACATTGGAGAACTGGTTCCAGAGAAGCCGCAGAAGCATGTGAAGCATGAATGTCCAACATGTCGCCTTCTTGATGTGACTATGAAGACTTAAGGACCGTGTCTTGCGAGGCCGGTTGTGGGAATCCGCAAAAAATGCTCCTAATGAGTGAGAGTTTGGTCGGTCTGGCCATGTGTGACTAATGATAGTGGTGGTGTCCAAAGATCCCCATTCTTTGGACCTAGAGACTGGAAATCAATGAGAAAGATAATCTAGTCACGCCAGACGCTGGGATTCACCAGCTAAAAGTGGGAAGAAAAGCCACTTCTCTAAATTGTCCCAAAACAAGTAAGAGATAGCTGAGGTGTAGACGCGGGAATATTTATTACATATTGTGAACCCTCTCATAGTAAGAAGCTCCACATCTATTAAGATCTCTGTTTGCTTCATGTCAATCATGACAATCAATAAACGGAGTATGAGCAGGGTGATAGTAGCGGAAGAAAGTATGAAAATGCACTAAGTGAATAGGGTACGAATTAGCTTCGCATGGGCTAGGCGAGAGGTCAATCTCTCGATGGTGTTTTTGTGACACTGCTAAGTAAAAGATCTGCAGCTGATGGGCACAGAAAAGGCCTAAATGATTGTGTCTGTAGGGTAAATGCAACGTCCAGGAAGATGATAGACGACGTTGCGCTATAGTTTGGGAGGGGATCAAGGTGAGCTGTCTGCTGTCAAATCGGATGGAATGATCCACAGTGACAAGGTTAGTCCCAAGTTGATTAGGGTACCCTTCAGCCTTCGACTTTGGACTGCTAATGCGTGGCTTGTCAACATCCGCTTCTAAGCGGATGTCAAAGGACGGCGTGGAAGGCCTGAATCGATCTCCAGTTCTCCGGATGGGTACTTCGAATCGAACTGGCTCTCAGGACTGGTACTGGATCGCGAGAGCTGTGGTTCTCATTTCGGATTTAATTTAAGTTCAGCCATGGCTTGATCGGATCGAATGGATCGTCCTTGAGCGGAAGACAACCTCAACCATGTGCTCGCAGTTGCGGAGGGACCTTTATGGCGTGAGAAATGAAACGAGCTGCGGCTCCGGTTGTCCATGACCGAAGTGCTACCGTAGGGTTCTAATTAGTGCCAACATCATCCGACATCTGGACTTGGGGAAGATGGTGCGGGGCCCCAAAGCTTGATCATAGATCCCTCTCTACTGAATTTCTTTTGACTCGTAAACTGCTTTTTCCCGGGTGTCATGAGGTCAGCCCAATTGCATGAAGGACAGCCGATAGCCAATGGTTGTAAGGAGTTCCATGTTGTCGAGAGACGATGCTGTGATGTCGAAGAAGGTCGTCATAGCCACCGCTATCGGAGGTGCATGAGAATTTTTGTGGGTAGCAGCGGCTATAGCGATCCGATGGGCTCGTTGAAGCGATCGCATTGCATATCAGAAAGCGATAATGGTGTTGGCCAGAAAGGGATGAGACGGTGCGACGGTGAATCCCTTTTCAGGCCTGACTCGAGCGACATATGTGGAAAGAGTCGGAGGAAATTGATGCTTAAGCATTGATAGGTGCGAGTGACGATGGTAAGCGGTGTTTCAACTGGATGTTCATCACAAACGTACCTTGCAGACCTCCAAGCACGCTTCGGCTTGCTCCATGGGGCGAAACCGCTTCCAAAGTCACGATTCAGGGCCGGAATGCTGCGACGTCTCCTTTACTCATGATTTCAACCCGATTTTCTCCGCCCCACGTGCTGAATGGCGGTACCTCCTGCGCTGCGAGATTTCAGTGATAACGGAAGTACCGACCACATGCGGCAGCGAGGTCCCAACACTCCGAGAATTCCCCTGGCCAGCGATGTCTACCAGGCAAAGCTTTTCCAACTAACGTTCCAGGCGGGATTGGCGAGTTGCGTGGTGGAAATAACGCTGCTCCATCAACGCTAGATGTCACAGTAATAATGGAATTATCATGTCAGATCCAGTGAACATGTGCATTCTCTCGTGTCAATATGTGCCACACATAATCTTCGCGTTTGAGATTCTGCTGTATCACCGTCGGGTCCACTGGGGGGCCTATTTTGAGGACGGCATCGCGTCGGGGCTCTCGGCTCGCGCTTCCGTGCGATGTGCTCGACGTGATGGGCGACGAAAGGGGAGAAGACTAAGACCCCCCACACAGCCACCATGGCCGGGAAACGCTGGCAGCGACTGGGGCTCCGGCGCAGGGCAACCGTGGGCGTCGTGATTCGGCAGCGGACCTCGCCTGCTGACGGGATCGCGGCGAGCACATGTCGTGATCTAGACACGACTCCTGAGGGCTAGTAAGTCCATGAGCAGGATTCTGCCTGAGTTTGTTGCCGGTTGCCCTCGGTGGAGATCGCCCACATGCATCTCCCTCTCAGACTCACCGACTGTTGCGGCTTCAGAGCGTCGGAACGGCCCACCTACACATCCACACCCGGCCCGAAAGGAATGCTGCTCGATGTGGCCAGGCTGGCTCTCGGGAACGCCCATGGACGACAACATTGCGCCCTCAACATCATGCACTCGTTGCTTTTGCAGTAGCAGCTGGTCGTCGACGAAACGTGCCAAAAGCTGCCGGTATGGCTCGCCTGGCTTTTTGCTTTACCCCAGGATCGCCAGCTCCAGATTTTCCTTCTTCTCAGCCCCAAACTGACCCCCACATCCCAAATTCCTCCCGCCGCCATCCCAGCTGCCGTGGCACACACCACTCCTCCGAACGCAGCCACTGGATAAAATGACCCAGCACGGCGGATGCGGAGAACCATTGGTCCTCTTCTACGCGCCTTGTTATTCCCAAAATCTAACATGTGTGATCTCTCTCCTGGGAATGGCAGCAAGTGAGGGTAGACCAACGAGGGCATCCCGCTTTCTTCCACGCCTGGTCATGGTCAACCCCCAAGGACGCAGTCCCGGGGCATGAGTGAATGTGTGCCCTCCAGTAGACGCTCGACATTAATGGCACTGGCTCTGGCTCTGGCAACGGACGACGAGTCCTCTAGGCATCGATATGCGCTATGCTACCAGTGAGCGTGCGTGCTCTCCACCGTGCATTTGAATTGGATCATCAACCCTTGCTGGAGGTTGATTGCTTCGCTGCGGCGCCGGACACTGTCTCTCGCGCAGTCACAGTGTTACACACAGCCGCCGTTCGTCTCACCTCACTGCTTGGCCCTGAAACCGTGCAGGCGAGTGTGTGGATGACTTGAGTGAATAACTGTAACGGTTAGGAGGCGTATAACAGGTCCCACGCTCCGCCTCATATCGTGAAGAGTGAAGCACCGCAGACCACAGCGCCAAAAGCAGATGAGAACACCCCGGATTTGCATCGTCATTGCCTGGAACTGCCCAGCGTGCCTGCGAGCGAAGCGCGGAGAAGATTCCTCGATCCTCTGCCTGCTTCTTTCCTGACGCCCTCCCTTATCTCTGTTTCCGTCATCCCCCATCCTCCCCAATTGATCCCCCAACCCAACCCCGGTGTTCCATAAACACCGCCACCGCCTGACAGCACACTCAATCTTCGTCCCCCATCAGTGCCATCACCTCCTCTCAGCCAGCGTGATCAAGTCACGGCTTGATAAGCCCGTTCCATCCCGCTCCCCAACAAAAGGAAGGATACTTCTTCCTGAAGTGTGCCCAGCGGCAGCGACACAGCGCTCCTCCACCGCCTGCCCACGCCCGCAGGACCTCCACAGCCTCGTCACCGTCGGACGTGTTGAGATTGGGTTGCACACCTCAGCATTCACCGCCGGACTTGCCTGCGCGCCTACAGTGCGTGAGTGTGTCCCCAGTAGTCAGCCCGCCCCGAACTGAGGCAGCTGAAGAAATTTCTGTCTGCGTCTTACGTCGGCTTTGCCGTGGGTCGCAGTTCTCCACAATTTCTGGAAGACTTCGGGGGGGCACCAGCAAGAGTTCCGCCGACGATAAAAAATTGTTCGGTCGGATTTCTCCTTATCCTCGGGTGCTCCGCTGGCCCTTAGCCCGCACAGTTGCATCCAGCCTGCCTCACATCATCTTACCCCAACACCACTGCTACCAGGGGAAACCTTACCGGTACCAGCCCTGCGATCGAACTGCCTGCGCCTCGCTGCAGCTGCAGTACTCAGGACATTAATATCGAAAACGCACGGCATACAGCATCCAACGGAGCCAGACAGCCCCAATCTATTGTGAGCCCGAGCGATAGCATCCGCAGCAGTCATCATTGCGACCGGGGTCTGGCCTGATACAACCTCCACGACTCGAGGTTCCGCGTCCGCCCCGTATCTTGTCCCTCGCCCAGAACGCGGACGCCCACCAGCCCACCAGCCCAAAAGAAGCCCGCTCCACGCCCCCTCTGCTTCCCCCTTCGGGCTTGGCCTACGCTGTCTCCTTTTCCCGGCTGATCCTCGTCAACAAAGCTTGTCCTGTGCTCGACGTCGACTTACATTCCCCACGTGCCAAGCCCTTTCCTGCGTCACCGAACTCGGTATTTAAATATTTTCCCACCCCCCCATCCTTCACCCGACTTTTGCTCGCCAACCTAGCCTACCCCAAGCGCCCCGTCCTTGCAGCCGACGGTGCTAATCACATGCAACACTCAACCTCCTCTATAGGTTTTGGCAATCTACTCAACCCAGACACTTCCAACATACAACAACATCGCCCGCACACATCGCCAGTGCCCACTACCACCACCGCCGCTACCTCGGGTATTCAAGCACAAACCCCGATGGCGACAGCTGCAGTGAGCCTCATGGCCCCTCTGCTGCAGAACGCCCAACCTAACCAGGACGACTCACGACAGGATCTCCCCAGGCCATACAAATGCCCACTATGTGAGAAGGCCTTCCACCGCCTGGAGCACCAGACTCGACATATCCGAACGCACACTGGAGAGAAGCCACACGCCTGCACATTCCCAGGATGCTCCAAACGTTTCAGCCGTTCAGACGAACTCACTAGACATTCGCGGATACACAGCAACCCCAACTCAAGACGCGGCAATAAGCAACACGCAGCGGCGGCGGCTGCAGCGGCAGCTGCAGCAGGAATCATGGAGCCTGGATCGTCTATGGCACACATGATGCCTCCTCCATCGAAACCGATCTCTCGCTCTGCACCTAGTTCAAACTTGGGATCTCCAAACGTGTCGCCTCCTCATTCCTTCTCTAATTACTCACCCAACATGACGTCCGACTACTCCTCATACCGGAATGGAGGCAGCAGCAGTAACGGGAACAGCCCCAACGGGTTATCCCGCAACATCGATCTTCTCGCAGATGCCGCATCAAGGCTTGAACAGCGTCACCCAGGGCCCCAGCCATTTTCACCTGCGAACCGACATCTGTCTAGCCACGGACATCCGCACCTGCACCACCCATACCACAACGGTAGTGCACGACTTCCTGGCCTTTCACAGTATGCCTACGCCTCTCAGCCAATGTCCCGGTCCCATTCACATGAAGATGACGACCCATACGCGCACCGGATGACAAAGAAATCAAGGCCCGGCTCTCCGATGTCCACCGCGCCACCATCACCAACGTTCTCTCATGACTCATGCTCCCCAACTCCCGACCACACACCGCTCGCCACGCCAGCTCACTCTCCACGACTTCGACCGCATGGATATAGCATCGACGTCCAGCTCCCACATCTTCGACACCTGTCATTACACCACGTCCCAGCTCTAGCCCCAATGGAGCCCTCAACCAATATGGAGCAGCCCTACGTTCCGAGCCAGTCGTCCGGTCTCAGAATTGGAGACATCATCTCCAAACCAGACGGGGCACAGCGGAAACTTCCAGTCCCTCAAATTCCGAAGGTCGCAGTGCAAGATCTACTGAATAACAGCAGTGGCTTCTCCTCTGGGAATTCTTCTAGTGCCGGCTCCCTTGCCGGAAACGATCTGATGGACCGCTTTTAGAGCGGCTCTTTAAGCGCGGAACGGAGTTTTGGCAGCATTGCTTTTAGGTTTCATGGGTTTGAGCAAGCCAGCGTTGAATTATTATTACCTCGGCACCCTGATGGTCACGGGAAGAGTACTAATGCCCCGAGTTATTAACGAGTTTCATTCTCAGTGTTTTTTCCTCGGTTTCTTGGGTACCCAAACATAGAGAGCTGATTTCCTTTGTCAAAGTTCACTCATACCCCGCGATCCACTAGGATCTTCAGTTGTGTATTACCACCCGACTTTTTCTCTTCGCCTTGTTCCCGCAATCCCAGCTGGCATGCTCGGTTGCGGGTGGGATGATGGCCGCAACTGGCCTTTGGTAGACAGAAATCCTCAGCTCAGCACGTAATTGGAAGACAGCTAATTCCACCCTTACTTTGCCATTACGAGAACGAAAAGCGTGACGTGATTTTGAGACCAAGTGAGGCAACGAGAATGCGCGCAGGGGGTTGTACTGAATGAATCCCAAGGCAGTGGGACGGCGAAGGAGAGGCCCGCAGAAATCTCCCCACCTTTGCTCAACGTCGCAGTTTTCCCCCCCGCAAGACACAACAGAATCATGAGAACATCGTACGTGATTACCCCCAACGCGCTAAATCTCCGCACATCATTTTCGCGGGTTGTCTCAGACCGAACGCAAGCAAGGGTTCTGCAGAGATGCGGTGAGGAATTCCATACCGTCGGGATCTCAATTCTACATTCCAGGCCAACTGCGCAACCACACCCCGTCCTGCTCCTCCAGTGCTGTGTGCGGCTAGAGGGCGTCTCCGTCATTGTCATCAGCCGACGATAAGCCCCCAGCGCCATGCAGCCTCCGCACTTCTGCGCTCCGCAATCGCTCAAGCAAGGTCGCCAGGCACAAGTCGAAGCTAAGGAGCGCGGTCGGCGCGGGAAAATCAATATACCTTCCGAGTTCGGCTCGATGTCACGATCCCCTGCTTGCAAAATATCGACTGTCCTTCCAAGGTAGTTCGGCCTTATCGTCGGCAACCGTCGGGACTTGCGAATGCTGGACAGCCAATGCCTCCGGTGCGGCGCAGTCAAAACACGACAGCTCATCAGCCTGATGCTGTCTCTCGCGCCGTCACTTCACTCACCAACTGCCAGCGCCTGCACCCCAGACCCGACACTCCGCATCATGCGCAGTCATGATCGACCTGCACGCGTGGCTCCGACATCCCTCCAAGATGCTCCACCAAGAGCCGCTGGAGCAAAAACAAGGTAAGTTTAGCGGAAACTCTTCCAGTCGAGGACCGACTGTCGAGTTTGACGGCCCGCCATCGCGTCAGAGCAAAGGGAGAGGTGGCTTTACCTCTCCCCGACAAGCCCGCCTTGTCGTATCGTGGCCCCCGGAGAGCAGCGACCCAAGATATTGTATTGACGACAGGCAAGCCATTTCTCCATATATTCCAGGTTTTCGTCAGGATTACTCGCGCGCGAGTGCTATTATTATCTAGGCCAATTACGACGACAACCACAGTCGTCGCGGAGTTCGAGATTCAGCCAAATCTGACCCCAAACGAGCAGGTAACCCGTCCTATCAGACAGCCAGAGTCAGAAGAGAAGGGGGTCGCAGAGGTCAGGAGGATGACCTTCTCAATTCCTCCTCGTACTCCGTGTAACGCTCGCCACCGGCGCCTCGCGGTGCAGGATGAGGATGAATTCAAATCTAGGCTGAGGTCTCGTGTCAGTCGACCTCGAGCTAGCGATGGCGACACCCTATTCCAAGACAACTCCGAATTATTTCACTTAGTCAGGAGACGTTGCAACAGTTTGCAAAAGATAAGGTCGACCCTCTCCAATAAACTCGTGTCTAACACCGTAGAGAGTCTCATGAGTAATTCTTACCGACATTCCCTCTATGCGGTGATCGTCCTTTGGTATGCCCTCCGGGGCACCAATTGTCGAACCTAGCATCTAGACTCTTGAAATCCAATTCTCAACACTGGGATCAGCTTCCAGCGTCTTGCCTTTGGCTACTGGTTTGCCATGCGTATGTGGGGTCTCTGCACTTCGTCATGGAAATAATGTGCACCCCACCTCGTCTCGTCTCGTCCCGTGGAGAAATGTGCCCCAAGCGGAAGACTGTGCGATTCGTTCCAAGCCGTTGATTTTTAGAACCGGTGTTGATATCCAGGCACTAAGTGGTCCTCGATTGCCTATTCGGGACGCATCGACGATCACTTAAGGCTTGTGGATCCATAGAGTAACTTGTACCGGCCTCACCGGCCATCAAGCATCAATCATCATCACATGCTTATCTACTGTCGACAGATTATCTGTCTTTGGTTCCGACAAGAAAGCTCGTCAGAAGCTTTGGAGATGATACCGAATGGGTCGCAAGGGCCGCGTCTCCGACATGGGGAAACTTAAAACTATGCTGCCTTATCAGATCCACTTTCCCTTCAGTGTACAGCCTATTCACCCTTAACACCTTACGCTTCAACTTCCTGCACTCATTCAACCAAACTTTCGTAGTTAACTGAACCCTCCACAGCATAAACAACAAGATCTTCGAATATGCAGTATCGAATCTTCTCTTTTCATTAAATTCTGACCGCAGTCTACCAGGTTTTTGGTTCTCGGTTCCCGGCACCATCAATCAATCTTTGCAGATCAATAATTAACAATCTTGAGGTACCTCATTCCCAACACGCAGGGCAAAGATAGCTCATGATTGTTCATTTTCAGACGTCTCATCCATGCAAGCTTCAGAGTGGTTACTTACTTTGTCCGCTGACGTCAAAAGCAAGCAGATGTACCTACCGGCTGTTGGGTATCAGAGGGTACACTAGACATTCAAGGTTTGACAGCACTTTGTCTATTCTGCTGTACACAACAAATTTGCGATAACGGAGCCTTGTGCAAACCACAAGCCGCTGTATAATTTCGAAAACTCTGCTTTCGAAACGATATGCGACCTTCAGGCCATGATGGAAGGGGAGGCCTGCGGTCCAACGTGCGCCACCATACCATGGCGGTTTCGCATCTGCGGTGTAATCTACGTGTGCAGTAGATCAGATGCAATCAAGGCAGAAGAAAGATTTTCCTTATCTGAAAGGTGCGCAGTCTCAAGGCACAGACACGGCGTTCATGATAGCGAGAGCTGCACCTCCAAATTGCTTCTTCATATATCCAACGTGGCATCATGGTGCACCTTGTATAACGGCTAAAGAGGCTCGACACGCGCAAGCGGGACAAGGGATATTTCATCGAAGACCCTCCAGAACACGGACTAGAAGAAGTTTAAATTTAGGAAATATGGGTCGTGGATATAGAGGGTTTTGTTGGGATGTTAATCGCTGTGGTGTTCCTTTTCTCCATCATGTGAAGACAAGACGCTATCACAATAAGCTTTTCTTTTTTTTCACGTGTCGAACTCAAGCTCGTCCTCTCTTTTCTCCATAGCCATTTTGCTCATGCGTTGACGGGACCGCGGTCCGACCCAACAAGTCAATTCTTCCTGCAATAGCCGTTGCAGATGTGCGGCTCAAATGTACCTCGGATTTTGTACCGCGCCTTAATGCGGGAAGCGGGAAAATACTTCCGTGTAAGGTACCTGAGCCTCTAAACTTCTCAATACGAGCTTTAAGCTCGAAGAGACGCCTTGTACCACCACAACATTATCAACACTCATATAATTCAAGGGGAATCACGGCTCGGGCGTAACTGTATGCGCTGAGGCAATATGAAAGAACCAGGTTGACGCTGCATTGGCCATTGTCATAGTCGAGATGGTATGGTGGTTGACGTGATCCAGATACATGCGCAGGAAGCACACGAATCTTGTGTCACCAGCCTTTCCAACCGAAGGTCGATAGCTGCGATGACGGATATAACAGATGAGACGTTGATGCTTGTAAGCGAGGCAGACTCGTACTAAACTCGGTTCCTCTTGGTTGGTCTCAACTTACGCTCGTAGGAACATGGTCAAGGCCTTTCCAAATGGCCTTTCCAAATGGTCTTTCCAAATGGCCTTGTCATTACCCTGAAGCAGCATCTTTGCTTAGATGTATCGTGTCGGCCTTTGATTGCGGCGTCTCTTAGTTCGGATCAGTCGGCGACGCCTGTGATACCTCGAGCAACGAACCGGCCAGTGATGAGCAAGACCATTTACCACCATTGAGTAACTCCAAGTCCTCTTACCGGCCATCCATCGTGTCAAGCATCAACTGGCCAGTCCTTCACGCCCCCCCCTCGCCTTCAAAAATGAAACCAATCCGCATCACTTTCCAAATACAAAGCGCTTACGAACTCTGCTCTCTGCAGAAACCTGTTCCTTCCTCCAAGAGACCCAAGTATTTCCAAGGTTTCGAGTAAGGCGGGCCAATACAAGCACTGAACCCACCTCCATTTCTGCTTCCTAACCCCTGTGGCACGACGAGTTCACTCACCCTCATGCCTGCCTGGTGTGGTAACTGCATCCTTCAGAATGCAGATCTAGCGCCATGAACTTCGATCGCTCCGCGCTTTATCTGCTCTCCAGAATCGCGATCTCAAGATCCCTTGTACCCCTTGTCTCACGAGATATTCATATCATCATTGTTAGAACTATATCAGAGCGAATATCCGTATCTGCATTCTGGATACATCCATCTCGCGCATGACATTTTACGACCCTGTCTGAAACAAGGAAACTAACCGACGGACACCAGTGCTGAACCCCGCCTAAGATTTCACCCCACACCAAGCCGGGAGCGCCTCAATCACACAACCCAACGGACACAGACACACAAAGCAGCTCCGCTATCACTATCACATTCAAGCAAAGCCACCATACCCAACCCTCCCAAGTCATGCTTCAACGTTGTACAAGTCTCACGACTTCTCATCTCACTCACCCCACAAGACTAACAAAGAAATGAACAAAGCAAGCCAACGTCCAAACTACGAACCCCAAATTGGCCTTGGCCGCAAAAAGAAAAGGGCACAGAGCAAAAATCTGTCTATCAACAACAAACCGTCAGACTGCCAAATTTTCCACCATTCACCCTTTTTCGCAGACAGCAATAACTTCGCTACCGTGTCACTGGAATCTCCTTACCCACCATGATTCATCCAACCCTCCCTCAGACACGTTCATCTGCTGTTCCTTTTCTTCACCGCCAATGCGCCTTTCTTTTTCTCATGACATATCGCCGTATCACGCATCCTTCAACCTCCACACATGTCTCCTCTGCGATGCACGACTCCCCCAAAGCAGCCTAGCCCCGCATGTCACTCACTCGTTGTGCTTTGCTCCGAGAACATGCAAGCCACACCACTCCTCTCCACACGACGCCTGACCCCCAATGTCATCCAGACGTCGCCTCTCATTTCAACCGCCCACACGCCACCATCATTGCCTACCCCATCGCACGGCAAGCGAAGCGAGCCGAGATCTGTCGTGTCCTGCCATGTCCTGCCATGTCCTGCCATGTCCTGTCATGTCCGGTCTTGAGAGTGTCTCCCGCGTATTGCCGCGTCGAGGATCCAGATTCTGGGGGATCCCGCACAGCACAGAGATGTGCCGATATGCGGCAGTCAGGCAGGTGGGCAGGCAGACGGGTGGACATGGGAGGGTAAAGTATCTGTGTGCCCGTTTAGGAAAGGGGTATCAACGACGAGCTGTTTGTCCTTTGTGCGCCTTGAAGTAGGGGTGTGACAGTTATCGTGGGGTAAGTTAGATCGGTCTCGGAAGTTACCTCTCAGGGAGATGAGGTGAGATCCATGGACTGAACAGTATTGGAGGCAGTGCCTACTTTTCTCTGGGCACCTGCTTTTAGAGTGGAAGGTGGGAGCATCTCGAGGTACTGGAACTTACGGTCTTGTACACAACCGTTGATACGATTGAGTGCGATGGAAAAATTGGCGCTGCACCAATTGTGCATGTTGCCCGACCTTTCTTCGTTGTGGGTGCCCTCAATACTGTGCCTCACCATCAGACTCACTCAGTCGCTCGTTCCCTCCTCAGCGCCAAATAAACTCAACACCATTTCCCAAAGCGCCTAAAGTGCAGTACATGCGATTTTACGCCTTACACTGCCAATAGCATGCCATGCGCAAACGTTGTGTATCGTGAAACCTTCGATTTTTACATACTGACCTTTGATTTGCTTCAGTCTCTTGTATTATGCATAGAGCAAGCTCCAGGATCCCTTCGCCCTCCCCATCCAACGATCCCTCACATTTGAGCAGAAAAGCGCTTGTTTTGTGCTTGCTTTTACGCCTTGTGACATCCAATGTGTCCAGTGACATGCCAACATGGCTACAAGCCTGCCTTTTTCTGCCCAGTGCCAACGACCCACACACCCAAGAAATGGCATCTCCGGGTATTTTGATACCAAAATGTGCCCTCCATACCTCTAACAGCTATAGCCCACGAAGCCAGCCAGCCAAGCGTCGCGTCGCGTCGCGTCGAACTTCAGGACCCATGGTCGTCGTAGATTCCCATCTGCTGACCGCTCTCCTGACCCCCACGTCCAACTTCAAATGTCTTTTCCCAGCCCCAAATCCAACAACACCCAAGCCGGGATATCTACGAGTCGAAGCCGCATCACCCCATTTTCATCTCCACCCAAACTATTCCCCACACTACGCCACACTTTACGGGCACTTTCCACTTCGAGCAAATGACCCCTGTAAAAGGCCCATGTCTGGGTTCCAAAAACAGATGAATTTTGCCGGTCAGAACGGAGTCCCAGCGGTCTGGATCGTGGAGTTGCTCTCCCTTGGCCGTGTCCGTGCGCGGATGCACATTGTCTGGGGGAAGCACACCGAATTCAGGATACGACAAGGATTGAGTAGTTGAGGGAGTGGCTTCGTATTACATTTGAGAGATTGATAGATGACAACAAAGACCCTGGATGCTTGGCGGTTTGGGAGAACGAAGGCAGGCATACTTTTTCTAGAACATGGTGAGGGATTGTGGACAGGAACGGGGCGGCGGGATTGTTCTCCCTCGTATGCAGTTGCCACCGGAAGAATGAGAGGAATCAAAGGCAAGTAGGCGCTTTCCTGTATCTCAAGAGAGGGATTGGACAGTAATTTAGATTGCTTCATCGGAACATATGTGAGAGTACGTATCCCGCGACATTCGGCGGAGGCGAGATGGCGGGTGGTGTTGAGATACTGTCGGTTGTGGGAGGATCTCCACGCTGGATGGCTGAACGGTGAGCAACCCCACACGGCAAAATGAACATGAACCTGGCAGATGGGATTCTGGTGACGCCGGAAGAGAACGGATAGATGCGAGGGTCAAGGATGGGGGATTGGTTCCATTGGTGCCTTGGAAACATCCATAGCCGAGAAAGACAGGTTGCAAGGGGCCGTCTGTTCATTATCAAGATGCGATACTTACCAACCTTCAAGATAGGCATCAACCACACACTGGTGAGCATCGCGCTGACGGCGAGTTCATGCTGGGTCGTATGTGGTAGATTGCTGGTGCTGGGAAAGAACAAAGGGATTGATGCAAGAAACAAGGGTAGAGGGCGATATTGAAGGCCAGCAGCGGGTACTTAAAGTTCATTGTGTCACCTTCTCTTTGGTGTGCACATCTGGGACGTGGTCCGTTCGAGATTCTGCGGCAAAGACAATCTCCTCGTCCGCGTTTGCAGAGGCCGACTCGTCCACTAGCAGTCCTTCGGCTGCAACCTCGTCGTCCTCGACCCATCCGTACAGGTCACTAGAGTCGGGGTCCTCATCCTCAGAGTCTGCAATCTCCGTATGAGGTCTCTTTCGCGGTTTCACAGGCGATGGGTACACGACAGGCTGAGGTGCAACATCTTGTGCAGCGAAATCCAGCTCGCAGAGGCCAGTCTGTTGGGAGGGGGTTCTCAGATCAGCGGGTGATCGACGCCAAAGCGAAGATGAAGATGCATCGCCGACAGTGTAGGCTCTGCGGGTAATAGATGACTTACGCTGTCGACCGCAAATGGAACCACGTTGCCTACACCGCCATCTTCTGCAAAAGTCACACCATTAGCCTTCACAACACCGACAAACCGGGCTTTTCGCAATCTAGCAGCATCTTCGGGGGCATTGGCATCATTCCACTTCCCTTGCCCCGGAACCCAGTCCCTAAACAAAACCAGACGAGTGGATATGCCATTCTCCCACTCTGCGCCCGATATTGCCGGGACCAGAAGAGCCCTGGCGCCCCCTTGAATCCGAGTAATTGTTTGACATGTGAGTAGGAGCGCGATGTCGTGCAGTGCCGCGACCTTGGCCAGCTTCGAGATGAGGTCGTTGATTACTGCAAATTTGCGGCCTGCTGCCCAGCGCGTCTGGTCGGTCTGGCTGCGCGCCGTGCGATCGCCGGCACTGCGAGGGTACGCGTTATCGAGCAAGGTTGACAACGAGTCGATAACAACGAGGCCCGTGTTTGGCAGCGGAAATGAAGCGGGCGGGTGCCCAAACAGCGCCAGCAGGTGCGCCAACGTTGGAGCTGTAAAGTGATGGAAGTGGCTTAGTAATTCGTCGGGCGATGCTGTTGAGAGCAGAACGTCGTTGAAGCGTCGCGGGACCAAGGGCGCAGCTGCATCTGCACTCAATTAGCCCCCGTCACAAGGCCATTGCCGCGACGAGATAGCCCAGCGCCGTCCTGCGCCTGCGTGAGTGTACTGACCGACCCAGACGACGCCGTGGCCTTCACGCAGCGCATTTACAGCGGCCTGAATGCTTCACACAGCTCAGTCCCCAATCTTCAAAGGCGAATGCGACCAGACAAGGTTCCAATTTACCCAAACGCAGTCTTCCCAACACCAGAGGGCCCATAGACCTCTGTCACCTTCCCGCGCACCAGCCCGCCCTGGCTATTGCGCCCCGGGAAGCCTAGAGGAGACAGGATTTTGTTGAGCTGCGGGAGTCCTGTGGGAAGGGCGCGAGAACCCCGAGCGTGGAAGCGCTGGAGGGCCTGCGAGGCCGATACTGTAGGAAGTCTGTCTATAGAAGCGTCAGCTATGTGCGAGGGCTCTGCGCAGTGTGTCACACTACGTACGAGAGGACGACGAGGGCGGCGTGCCCACGTCCTGGCTAGCCATTCCTCAGGCTGTAGTAGTACAGGAATAGAGCTGTAGCTGGCCGAGTTCAAACGAGTCCCGTGATCTGACGTGAATTGTGCGAGCGCAGAGCATTGCACCACTCCTCCACTATCATCGCGGCTCAGCGGTGAGATTGAGAAGCATCGTGAAAGAGTCATAGTGTTGAAGCTCCGCATGGCGGCATCAAAAGAAGCGAGTTTGGGGCATGACTCGCCCACATCGTCACTCCCACTCCCCGTTTTCGACGTGAACAATCGCCAACTACACACGCCTGAATGGGCCGTTAAAGTTTCCTATGTGTGCGGCGAAAAGCATCTCAGCTGCCCCTTTTCACACCGTTCGTTGCTCAATTCGCTTGACTAGCACGCCCTGTAAAAGACATGCGTTAGAAATCGACGCTGAACATTGAAAGCTCGTCGTACAGCACACAATCCTACCAAATAGTCTTCAGTATTGTTATTTCTCCAGAATGGCATCTAATGCGTTGGATTCCATCATCGACGCGATCCGAACCGTCGTCGATGCCGTTGTCTCCAATCCCTCTCCATCGACGATTGGTGTCACTCTTCTAGTCCTGCTCCTGCCCTTCCTAGCCCTCTTCATCCTCGCCCTTTCCCAACGCGAACAGCCGCCTACACCTCCTCCAGGCTGTCGAAAACTCGGCCTTCAGGGAAAAAGTAACCTCTCAGACCAGTACTCCAAGAAATACAGCCGAGGAGCCGATCCCAGTCCAGAGAACCCATGGATAGTAAAAGCGCTTTTCATATATCCCCTGAAAAGCTGCGCTGGCGTCGAGCTCGGTGAGAGTGATGTCATACGCACTGGGCTAAAACACGACCGTCAATTCACTTTCGGCCAGTATGTCACGAGTCTCCCGTCCCTAGACGGCAAGGTCGAAAGCGAGTGGAATTTCATCACCCAGCGAACTTTCCCGCGTCTCGCAAAGGTTGAGACGGAGGTCTGGATCCCGGATCCAGAAGCCCCTGGCCACTCCCCCGACGCGGAATATGTAAAGAGTGAAGGGTGTCTTGTAGTCCGGTTTCCCTTTTCACCAGACGCGGACTTTAGTCTCGACGGCCTGAAAGCCTATGGCCGAATCTTAGCTGCGAGGTTGAGTGGTAAGTCAGAGCCTGTGATCGAGTTCCGCGTCCCATTCAATCCTCCCAAAGACCGGATAAAGAAAATGGGGTACAGGAGCGAGAAAATCAAGATATGGAAAGATAGCCCTGAGGCAATGAACATAGGCTGCGAAGTCCCGGAGGATGTAATGGCGAAGTTGAAGTATACGCTAGGAGTTACCAACCCGTTAAGCCTGTTCCGAATTGATACGAGCAAGTATAGGGAGGTGTTTAAGTGCGCGCCAAAAAAGAAAGACGTGGGATTCCAAACAATCATCGGAATGGCCGATTCGGTAAGCTCGTTCGCACAGCTCCCTTCTGGACCGATTGTTGATGGAACTGTAGTACCCAATGCATATCTTAAACCTCGCCTCCATTCACCATGTCTCTTGCCAACTCCCGCGCGGCTATAGCCCGCTCAACGCCCTTCGCTACCGTGCCAATGTCTACGTTACCGGGCCTCCATCCTTTAACGAAGACGACTGGGCCAGAGCTCGAATCGGAGACTGCACTTACCACATTTCCTGCCGAACAACGCGGTGTAAGTTGCCCAACGTAGATCCAGAAACGGGGCTTGCGGACCGAAATGAGCCTGGGGCGACGATGAGGAAGTATAGGGTGATTGACAAGGGGAGTCAGAGTCCCTGTTTGGGCATGCAGGTAACGCCATTGACGGAAGGAGTGATTAGCGTTGGTGATGAAATCGAGCTGCTTGAGAGGGGGGAACACTTTTTCTTGAAAGTCTGAAAAGAATGCGACGTCCACCGGCTGCCAGCACAATAACAGAGGACTTGCGGTCAACCTCTGGCAAGCATCTTGGAGTTGGAATCAAAATGATCTTTTTAGTGTAACTAGACAGTATGGTTTCATCCTCACCATCACGCGCAGAGCGAATGCGCCCAATCCATTATTTCCCTCTACAACACCTCACCATACCCCTTCACACCTATCCCAGATTCAGATTCGTCACACTATACGTAGAGCCCGCCCAAACCGCAACGTGTTTGTCCTATGAAGATACCCCGTGTCCATAGCATACCTCGCATCCCAACTCCTACCATAAAAACGACAATAGGTACCCTCTGGCGCGTTGTTCTTTCGTCCAAATATACGAGTTGACGAAGGTGCACAGCATATACATGCCGTCGCTTCCTGGGGTTGCCTAGTTGTGTGCGGTTTGCTCTAGAGAGGTCGTAGGTCCCATCACTATATAGCTTCATACCACCAAGCTGTTGCAGTAGTTGCCGAGGGGGGTATGGCGAGTGGAGTTGGTTAGTTGGTCCGAGGCGGGGCTTGGAGCTAATTTAGAGTAGCCTGAAAGATATGAGGGAGGTTTTTAGAAAGCCAGAATTTACTTACCATTGCTACCCGCAATGACAGCGTGGAAAGTCTCCGCGTTTGCATCCCCAGGACCACACCATTGACCCGTTTTCATAGCTAACTCGGCAGCAACTAGGTAGCTGTAAAGAGAGCATTTGATGTTAGTGGCAGGGGCAGGGTTTGCGCAGCCAGTTTTTAGTGTGTGCTTGGAGTCCCGCTCATAGTAGATATTAAAGCCGACGCAGAACCTAATACTACTACAAAAGGTCGCACATCCATTGAAATCATAAGTATAAGTGTAAGTGGCGCCTTGGAGAACCTTGTATGTGAGGTATCCGATCTGCTAGGTGCTGCCCTGGAAGTTGGTGAACGACTTGATACACTGAGACAGAGCCATCTCCAGGAACTAGTCTTGTGCTACTAGAAATGGGCATTCATGCTAGGAAGGGGGCGAGGGAGAGTGTACCCACCTGGTTTAAGCTTTGAGCAGTCTCTTCTTTCTGGCGCTTCCCGCTCTAATATCACGCTTGGTCACGTCAAGGGGATCTGTGGGGATGGCGGCAGCAGCGGCAGCAGCAGCACTAATAGCACTAGCGGGATTTATGTTGGTATATGGCGGAAACAGCTGTGAGATCTAGACTGAGGATTGAAGGTCATCGATGGCACCTACGTAGATCATTTAGGGCTTGGAAGGTGTGGCTGCCAATCTGAAAAAAAGCAGAAACAAGTAGAGTCCAGTCCATTTTAAAATGAAACGGATGGCTTTACGCAATAAATCCGAGAAAGAGCTCAACTAGTTGTAAAGAGCGATTCTCCAGAGAAGAAACGAGGTAGCCCTGAGAAGGAGGCAGCGTCATAGAGCATCAGCGCTTGTGTTAACATATCCTAGCAAGACTTTGTTACTATCTATGTTAGTTTACATTGGACGCGCCGTCGAGCACTGTCGTAATGACCGAAGACTACTGGCTTCTGAAGCTCGATAGATCATGGAGTCAATCCGTCGCTACCGCCTATAGAGCTGCATGTCTGCTCTTATGAGCATCTAGAGCGATATCGGCATTGCGTGACCAGGCCGAAAACAAGAATGGAGGGAGCCCATATGGCTTCAGTTGCGCCCCAAAGCTTGCATTTGGCATTAATGCCTCGTTCCTCGGTGAGGTTAACGATGGATACCAATAATGCGTGTAGCAAGCTATAAAGTGGAGCCGCGGGAGGAGAGAACGAGCTTCAGGAACACGAGTCCTAGCCATCCGCCCTTTGGCTAGGTCGTGTAGGCAAGGCTTGGCTCGACTTAGACGGATGTCAAAATAAGATGGCGTCAGTGCAAAAATAGAAACGGGAGCAAGCCGGCAGATCAACGCCATTCTAACCAAAGCTTGTTAAAGATCGTCAGCCTTACCAGAATCTGGACCCATGGCATTCAGGAGACCTCTGTTGCCAATGAGATTGGCGAAAGTAATAAGAAAATTGTCCAGGCTGAGGGATCGCGTTGTTGATACTCGTAATGCAGGTTAGGCCTCCAATACGTGAAGAGTACTCACCCTTATAAACCTAATATCGTCCCGCTTCCCATTTCTTCATTTCCCATTGGATCCTTATCTGGACCCAGCTGTGTCGGCTTCATGAGCTCGGCAAAATCACAGCATCCAAAGTCAAATATACATCGGGGTTGATTTCTTCCTCGTTTCGAATACTTGATCTTGAGACATGCCGAGATGTTAATCCTGAGTTCGTCATGTCTCTATATTAAGGCCAACTCCTTCCTGTACCTTTTAGGCCAAGTACATTATCAAATTGTAGCTCTTCGGCCCGTCTTGTCGCTACCAAACCTCACCAATGTCATGCCCAGGCTGTTGGTACCTTTGAATCTACGGGCCTTCATCATAATTTCCGCTTTAAATCGGGGTGTTGACTTAACAGGCTAGGCAACGGTATTGTTCTAATCAGGCACTGAATACATGTGAGACTACTCCCATCACTGGGGGGGGAAAAATCTAAAGTCCCATAGATTCTATTGACGAAGTTGACCACCGCCCTTTGTCCTTCCCTACCCTAGAACTAGGACTGCGAAGGAGATCTGGAGAAATTTTGAAATCTCAAAAATGCGCCTACAATCCGGTAATTCTATATTGTCTTTGAACTAAAAAGGAAACGGGCATATGTGATTTCCTTCATAGCGACTAGCAGCAGATAGGACCACCCCGCTAGCTTCACGTCGTCGCTCGCAAACTCACTGCTGTTGCTCTTACACAATGTAGTATCTCCTAAAGCAGACTCCTCCCAGCCCCCTCCTCCCCTCTCATTCAATTAAAGACAGTACACAGTGCAGGTTATCTCGAATTTGTGCATTCACTGTTCCACGTGATAAAGGATCGTATTTAGACACTCTCCTTCCTCCATCACCGTCTCATATAAATAACCACTTGCAGCTACCTTGCACGTAGTTGTCACTACCAAAATGTCTGTCTTCAATTCCAGGAAGGCGTTCGTCGACCGCGACTTAGCGCCCATCCGAGCACTTGCCCCGGACGATCAAGACTGTATATACAACTCTTTCCGCTCAGGTTATGAAAACACATATCCTGAAGAGCCCAAATAACTTCGGTCCGGACATTCCATCGGCTTTGGATGTATCCTCCGCTAGGTATTTGCCAATGATACTTGTCCTTTCTGCCGTGTGAATATATTTTGAGACTGCTCATTTCAGTCCCCGGACGGGTTGTTATTTGGCGAACAAGATGATGATTTCTTTGTACCCTACTCACTGAACATGGAAAATGCTAACTTCTTGTCTCCGTATTTCGTGTCAGGTGTCCAAGAACCCTACGTGTGGTCACCCGAGTTCTTCGACACTTGTCGCCCAGATCCGATACATGACTTGGAAGAGATTTGGTATCAAGTAACCGGAATCCATCCTGCGGATATACCCCTAAGGTCTATTGACGACGATCTATGCCCCTGCAACACTTCTCACAGGTCCCATCCGCCGCTGGACCGGCGGACATGGGGATCTGGGGTGGCATCGGATGCGCACCCCTGGAACTTCCACACAACCTAATACGAGTATCAGCACCACTCGTTTTTTGAGATGAATGCGGGGAAAGTAATGGACGATAATCATGGCGGGGATCCCTCGCCCTCACATATGTCTCGTGTAGTGAGGTGATCGCAGTCGGCGGCACATTTATTCAATTTGAGGTATTCATTGACATCTCCAATTACATAAACGCAGGCGCTCATGTATGGTTCAAATATTGAAAACGAGCTTGACACCTCTATTGCCCACTAAGAAGTCGCACTAGATGATCTATTGCGTGACCGTAAACAATGGATGGTAGGGTTTGCATGTGAGACTGCGTTTAGTATCAATTGGTATGAAGATGCGATGGACCTCGATCTATCCTGAATATCAGCTCTCCTATCTGGTGGATCTAGCAGGGCCGGCCGCAAGTACTACCTTCGCGTCAATTATTACTGACGGGGGTGGTATGTTAAATGTAGTGATATTAATATCTGAGGGAAAGGAATGTATTGTTGAGTACATGATATCTAAGATCTCTATGTAGATGTGGACGTCTATGTATGGTAGTCTGGCTATAAGCGGTCAGTCCAAGAGCTAATCTTTCACTAAACCACTTACCTTCTCTTAACAAACCTTGTCCACTAAGCTCCTTACTTTGAGATCATCTGTTCTGCAGATATTCTAGCCAACTTTTGTTTTGCACAATCTAGAAAGGGGGAATGGAAGTCCGAGTATCCGCAGTTTCCTGTGCCTCTTTGAAGAAGCTGGAATCAGCGTGTCCAACAGGCCGCAATGTACAATTTATGTGCGTTATAACAATTAATACGATATACTATAGGGAAAGAAGAGCTAAGGACCTAATAGCTCCCCGTAATGCTATTTTCCCGAGCAACGTGAGCAGCCAGAGCCAGGAGCTCGCTCCTAACTATTTCGTGCTTAATCTAGTGCTTCTGCAGCTGTATAGCCTTGTTAATTACTAAACTTAGCGCCAGCATTGTACTCTCACTCCTCTGTATACTCCTTAGACCACTCGTCACCAGCAGGTGGTGTAGTCTTATAAGAGGGTCTGGCAGAGGCGCCGTGGATCGCTTTTCATTTTCTTTAAGCCTCTAAGACTTTGGATGGTATATTAACTCAATAAGGCCCGAGAGGCAGCAAGGCACGTGAGTAAGTAATTCTGCAACAAAAAGCAGTCAGTGATAGGCCATATTCTAGTTCTAACAAGCTATACTATTTATATAAGCAGGCAAAGTCTCCCTAGAGCAGCTAGATCAGCATTACGGCTGAGATTTCCGCTAATTAACCCCCCAGGGTTATGGTGTTTAATAGAACGTAACTGTTACTGTCGCTAGTGTTTTTGAGGCGTTGCTATCGGCAATAGCGTTTCGTTCTTACAGAGAGAGTGAATTAAAACGGCCTTACGGGCAGTAATAGTTACTGCCAAGTCAATTGATCGTGAAGCTACTGTTTGGTGAAGTTACTGCAGTAACTAGTATTTCTGAAGGCTCTAGAGGGTCTCGCACTTAGAGTTTATAGCAGGGATAGATAGGAAGTCATGAGGTATCTTGTACAGCGTTGGGTAGTGCTTACGCCTAATTTAATGCCACTAAGTGAGTGGATCTCCATAGACTATATCGTCTTTGGCTGCAACGAGGAGATCAGATTGAGCAGTATCAATGTACTGCTGCAGCTTATTGCCAGGCGTGCCTCCTGTTCCACAGCAGCCCTTGTACTATGCGCGAAAACGTCCTCCGCGAACGCGTTACCAAAACACTAAGAAATGAATTAGTATAGGCAGTTACTGCAGTAACTATAGCCTTATTAACTGTACAGTAACGGAAGGCAATTCACTTTTGTTCCAACTGCTAAAAGATTGCTACTATCAGTAAGTAGGAACAGTACTACGTTCTATTAAACACCATGCCCAGGGTTGCTTTTCTGGCAAGGGCTCTCTAAAACACTGGATTAAGTGTCACAAGCTACCCCTAAAATTCTAACTGAACGCCGTACTACAGGCTGTACTCAGGGCAACGGGTATCGTACGAACCAACAGAAGATTGCTGTACGTACATACAGCTCAAATCAACCGTAACAAGTACTAAGTAATGTGAGTAGTATGCCCTATTGGGCACGCTGACTGGAATAACAATCTCAAGTCCTAAAGCTTCTTCTTCCACTTCTCGAAATTCTTCAAACCCACAACCTCGACGCAGCGTAAGTATTGTTGTTGTTGTCAAGATGAAGTGTAGGTGTGTTCCTACAGCACAAATTTTATATGAGAATAGCTTCGTGACTGAATATGCACATCTGGATTATGACTGCACTTTAGTAGTCTCACCGTTGTAGATGACATCCACGGTGAATCCGTTAGTATGCTTTCCGACTAGTACCGCTTTCTAGGAAGGGAATATGGAATCTGCCTCAAAAGAATGCCACATAGATAGCTCCAACGATACGCTCAACGCGTTTGATATTCCTCCCATCACGCGGAGGACAGTAGAACTGCTCCAATACCACATATACCGCCTTTTGCATTGAGCGCTCCGCATTGCACCCGTTGGCAGGCCTCTTGCTTTATGTGAGATCAATAAAATCTTTGTACTGAGCTTCGCTTCTCTGAGGTTGCTCTAGCCTGTTTCGGTTTTCTTCAAATCTGACTCTTTGTTCCCCCTTGCAAATGTGATGCACTTGAGTGTACCATCGTTGTAATGAGTAGCAGAGTTCTTGCTACGTACAACCCAATTGTGCTAGCGTTCAAACTCCAACTATTAGAGTTGCTTCTGCAGGGTTTTAGCTAAGCCTGGGCTTAATCCACTTTAACTTCGTTTTTGTTGATCTTGAGTGCTGTCGTAGCGGTTGGATCAGTTGCTATTTCACTCTATATAGACCCTATTTCTCGCGTATGCTCAAGTTCGAGTTCGTTTCAATAATATTCGTATTGATTACAGATAGTGGTATGCTCGTAAGATAGTAGGGGTTGTGACCTGTCAGAATGCAAGACTTAGCATGTGTACTGAATCTAAGAAGAAGCCGGATCCATGCAATAACAGATTGGGTAAATAGAGTCGTTGTAAAGGCGATTCACTCTCAATGGCTTTCCGAGACTTCCCGAGGGATCTCTTCCACTAACGCCCATGCACTTGCCCTTGTTTTTGGAACAGACCGTGAGGGTAACAGCTCTTCACAAGCCGAGGGTTTGGAACTTTGGAGTTTCTTCAGTATATTGACTCTTATGGCATGATTTTTCGAAGGCCTTTCCGGGATGCCGGATACTGCAGACTTGTACGTCAAAACAGGAAGCCTTGCAATGAGGAGGTGAACTTTCTTCCTGGCTCTAATATCGTAAATTCTCTCAACAGATAGTCTACAAGAGCACCCACAACAATAGACTCCTTGAATGACCACAATTCAATCAATGATATTAGGTACCTCCAACCAGCACCCTTGCGCCTCGCCGAACCAATGATCCGTAAGACAGTATGCCCAAAAGAGATATAATACAGACTCTTTCCCAACTTCAATCGACTTTCCCGCCTCCGTTCGTACCCCCTAAAAGACCCTCTTTCCCATCTAGCTGGAAGAAGCCACCCGTATTACCAAAAGCCTTCCGGCGCATCCTTGACTTGCCCCATACTGACGCTGCTAACAAGAAGCCTATAGCTACGCCCAAAGCTAACCAAGGGTGACCGCTGCAGAAATTCCGGATGGTGAAAAAGACGCGCTCAATGCTGCTAGTGGTGGATTTGGGACTGATCTTGGGTGGGTTTGCTACTACTTTCGAGAGAGTCTCAAGGATGGACGTTCGCGAGGGGCGTATGGGGTCACCGTTGATGGTGACATCCCAATATCTCCGGTTCTAGTTGTGTAAGAAAATGTGGAGGAGGATACTAGGACAACACTTACATCTTCATCATTGATGATGACCTTCTCGCCCTCCTTGACATCAATGCCATATGTAGTCCGGATCCACCGCTCCCAGAAGACTCCATCGACCCAAGCAAAGCTAACAGCTTTCCGCTCAATTTCGTCCATGTTTATGCGGATGCCCTTTGCAGCCCTCAAGGCTCTCTGGTCATTTCGATCTTCGGCCTCTTCAATGCGAAGCTGCTTGGCATCCCGGAGCTCTTGACGCTCGAGTTGGAACATTTGAGTTTGCTTATCGATCCACTCCATTGCGACCTTCTTCATTTCACGCTTAGCAATGATGAACTCGTCGGATCTTTCTCGGCTTAGTATACCAAGAACAACAAGTTTTCCGTCCATGATCTCGCGTGCATTAGAAGACGTGAGTTCAGGAACGATAGGCAACCAAACGGACTTCATCCAGTTAAGCACTTTCCTTGCATCTCGCATGTCCTTGGGCGCCAAGACAGAGTAGTACGAAGGTTTACCATCTCTCGAGACCATCAATCGCGGCCAGGTAGAGATCTCAAAGAGCTTTGACATCTCCGGATCCTTTGTTTTGACTAGCTTGGCATGGCCGATCAAACTAAGAGTGAGTCGCTCCAAAGCTAAGAAATCTTCGCTAGTAGTGGCATGGTCGTAGAAGTAGACGAAGATGACCTCTTCGGTCTCCTCCATCTTCCTGAAAGACTTAAGGTCGACATCGGGAACCCCAGAGCCAACTTCAACAGCATTAGCGGCGAAATCAATTAGGTCGCCAATGCCTCGAAGACCATTGTACTCGATGCGTTCGCCACCCCGGAAGAAGAGGAGGGTCGGATAGCCTTTGACATGTGCGTCCTTGCAGAGCCTCTTCTCGACATCACAATTAACCTCTCCGACATTGAGTTTCTCACGCATATCACGGGCCATCTCCTTCCAGTTGGGTCCCATGGCCTGGCAGTGATGACACCAAGGAGCGTAGAATTTGACGAACCAAGGGTCGAGAGTGTTCGTAACCATCTTCTGGAATTTCTCGGCCGTGAGCACGACAGATTCGCCGGTTGGGTTTGGAGTTGCCTTGGGCTTCTTAGGTTTAACTTCTAGTGCTGATGTTGGCTTGGCGCTCTCAGTTGCTGATGAGACCACAGCTTCTTTCTTCTTGGCCTCATCTTCAGTTTCTGGTCCAGTCTCAACGAAATTGGCCCCGACTTCAGGTAGCTTTGGACCTCCTTGTGGGCGTGATCCAGGACGAATAGACTCCAGTGTCTCCTCCACCCATTTGCTTAACGTTGATAGATCCTGCGCACCCTTCATCTTCTTAATCTCATTTCCGTCCTTGAATTGTATGATGGAGGGGAAGTTTTCAACGCCCTTCTCCGAGCACATATCCCGATAAGCAATGCAGTTGACTTTAGCAAACTTGAAGTCATACCATCGCGTGAAAGAATTTAGCGAGTCCCCCTCCTTCTCTGGTGTGGAGGCTATGGACTTGGATGTGTAGTAGAATTCGTATAGTGTCTGCCACGTGGGCTTGAATGCCATGCAGTGAGGACACATGGGGGAATAAAACTCGACGAGCCTAGTTCACATGATTGTTAGGCATTTGCGACATATGATCCGTATTTGCATGTCTCCTACCAATTTCCCTTGCTTATATCATCGTTTATAGTTGTGCCTAGCTCTTTCATAGGCGGTACAGTCTGGCCATTGAAAATTGTGTCGGGTTCGGAGTCCTCAAGATCGTCTTTAGGTTTTGATGTAGGCTTTCCCGCAGGGGCATCTGCGGCGAGCGTGGTCACAACGGCCGCCAGCGACAACACAGAGTAAAGGAGGGCGCGCATAGTGGCGGAAAATGGGTAGCCTGGCCGGGAAAGGCACGTGTCCTCCTGATGAGGAGGCTATATCGATATCAGGGCCACCAGTATATTGCGTCTAGGCAACTGAGGCACTTGTCAAGGAATATTGGGGTCGTCCCTTGCGATGGTTGTTGGTCGTCTGAGGGCCTGGAGTTGTTCCGGCGGAAGAGCCAGATTAGAAAGTCAAAGGAGTGCCTAGGTGAGGACAGGGGTGGTCCGAGCTTGGCAGTCCGCAACTTCACCCGTATCGCATGGTCACTTCTCACGCCAATTGTCCTCCAACCCCGCCTACAAAAGCTTCAACAACCATGAGGGCTGTCACGAGGCTTTTTGCTGCTGTCAAGCCCAGCCAATTCCTGGAGCCCGGTGCGCCGACGGGGCTCTGCGGTTTGCTCACCCATCCGTCGCCGCGGTCTACACTGCTCTACCTCTATAGCTCGACGCTGGATAAGCTCAAGCAGCTCCCCGAATCCTCGGTATACCGCCAATCTACCGAAGCTCTGACCAAGCACCGACTATCAATCATCCAGTCGATAAAGCCCGAGGGATGGGATAAGTGGGAAGCGAAGATCAACGTGCACGTCTCCGACTTTCCGGATGACTTCAAGACCATCCAGACCTCAGGCGGAACAATGATAGATGTGCCAAACAACGAGGAGGTGGACCTCAGGGCCATTAAATATGAATGGGGCGGAGAGGTTGAGAGTGCTAATCTGGAAGGCCCTCGTTCGATGAGGGAACGGCGGGGCCAGGCCGCTAGGACAAGCGGTGCACACAAGCAGTACAACCCGGAGAAGGTGCATCGGGATATCAAGTTGGAGCCGGAACCCCCCCTTACCGCTGAACAGTATGTCTCCTCGACGAAGTTTGTCTAATGATGGATGCTGATCAGCTAGGGTATCTGATCTCGAGGCCAAGATTGGTGCCGGATTAATCGAAGAAGTCATTCAGGTTGCTGAAGGTGAGCACAAGCTCGTGGATGAGATGGCAAAGTCAAGGGTGTAAGTGCAAGATATTCTCCCCACGTTTGTCACGTTCGCCATTGGCTCACAATAATGTACAGCTGGGAAGAGCTTGTTGAGAAAGCTCCAGAGGGTCAATGGTCATATTTTGAGCGTGGCACTCATGCATCAACCTAGAAGTCCTAATTGCAACGTAGTAGGCGCATGTATATAGCTGAGGAAGAGATGATTGTACTAGTTAAGATAAAATTCATCACAATCTAGTTTTTCACATCATGTGTCCTATTTCTGACCAGGCGGGGCGCTTCAACCACCGGCACTTTTGTAGAGCTCGGAACGATAGTTGGATCGATGGCATGTACTGCGGCACCTTTATAAGTGCTTAGCCCGTGTACGAGACGCTGAGTATCAGGAACAATTCACTTTCTTAGTATCGCTTATGGTCGTCGGTTGTGTCGCTACTGCCCGTCACCTCATCCTTCCAAGGTTAGTCGCCATGCGCCTCCAAATAAGAGCCCTGAGCTCATTGTGAAAGTGGCTTAATTAGAACGAACCAAGATAAACTTTGGTTTCACAAGATAAGTCACATCGTTGTCCGAAAGAGTCTGCCATTGCATCCAAGGTCCGACCTAGATTTCTATACTATATGCTTCTAGTGGTGATTATCCTCATAACTATTCCAGCCCGCGAAGCGGCTTGCAATGCCTTAGGCTGTTTCCAGGCAACGGGATTCGGCTCGGAAACAGTGCATGGGAGTAGATTGGGAGGTCGGGGAGTTTCAGTGGCGCAAATGAAGAAGAAGCCTATTGAGCGGTTTCCAAGGCTCAGTAACTCAGGGGGGGGGGGGACAAAAACGCCCCCATTGATGACATCTCCATCCATTGGAGAATCCATTCATCTTAACCACCTCGAGCCGACCTCAACTCTGATCTGCATCAAACTTTTCGAAGCCCTCAATTCCCAGCCTTGCCAAAAAGCTCACCGCACCAAAAATCTACTCAAACCATGTCGATATCCTAACACTGTGGCTTCACCGCCAACAACCTCAAAAATCCCACGTACTGTTCTGCATGCAGACAGGATGTGTGCACCTAGAAAACTTCCGATGAGGCGATGCCTAAGCCAAGCCCTATCGCCCCCACTCCGCTTCCTGCACATCATCGTTTCCTCTTTCCCCCCTCGCCCGTTGCCGTCACGATGGGCCAAAGAAGGAAAGCACGGTGAGAGGCTCCATCCGCCTCCCCTCGATCTGGAGAAAAAGCATCTGCATCGCGTGGGCATCGCATGCTAGAGCTTAAGCTTATTCCAACGACCTTGAATGACCCTAACTGTGTTTAGAAGAGGCGTATCAAGACTCTGCTTCCAAGTAAGAGGCTAAGCGTTACGTCATCATATCTAGAAAAGTGGAAACACACAATAACCTCCTCAAACGAAGAGGAAGAATGTTAGGAAGATGCTCTTGTCAAGTTTTTTTGGTTGTGGAAAATACACCCGATAGCTGCTTCTAAGAAAAGGCAGGCAGAGCAAACTAGACCGGGCAAGGAGAACCATGTTTCGTCTGGAAAGGCACCGAAGAGCTGATTCCAGCGTGATGTGTACGTAGACCCATGGATTACTGAAACGCTGAAGAGAGGCATTGTTCGCGGAACTATCGAGTGCAATTTTAGAAGCTCGATTGTTGTCGAATCGAGGTAACCTGCCGAGGCTGTGCTCTTCTGTAAAATGATCGCAATACGATGCAGGACCGCGCGGAACAGTTTTGCACTGATTCGACTGCAGCTTTCCCCAACCTTGTTTGAAAATTTTGGTGAGGTAGCATTCAAAGTACCTTCCCGTGGTCGGGTGTGTCACTTTTTGTAAGCTTGTTGACGGAGCCTCCGATCGAAGTTGGCAATCGGCATGCCGTTTTGGGAGCGTCCGGCATACTAGGGGCATACGTAAGCTGACTGAAACATACTCTCAACACAACACACAGGAAGATGCTCAAGAGCATCCAGAGGCCCATTTCGAGGCTTTCTGCGTTCGTTTCGACTTTATGAGCTTCTGCAAGCTTCCATGCAGTTTTCTGGAAAGACGCGTTTCGGAGGACCTGATGCGCCCGTAGTTGGAGGCATCCTGAGCCGAAAAAGTCTTGGAGAAATGAGTGCTTGTGGTGCGTCGGATCTCTGCTGGGATAGCCCCTGCAACAATTGCAACGGCGGCAGCCATCAGCATGCTTTGGGGCACGTCATTCACTGCTTTGGATGGCTTGCTAAGAGCTCGTGGGCCTGCTTGGCGGGAACAACTCACACCGCCACCTTTGTCGCTGGGAGGGTGCCTGCGATGTGGAAGCTCAGCGCGCTCTGTCGTCTCGAGGTATGAAATGCGATAAGTCTGATTCTGCTGGCTAATGGAGTGAGGCGTGCGCATATCAAGTGAGAGCGTATCGGTTGACAACCACTCCCTGGCAAGCCGTCTGATGCTGAAACAAAAGGCGCACCCGGGAGAAGATCGGGAATAACAAACGAGCAGGCTAGCCCTGCAGGTGCAGCGCTTCCACGGAGCCAAACCAGCAATGAAAGCCGGCTGTGGCGTCGGTAAAGTTTCTTCGTTGAAATCCTCCTCCTGTCCGTAACCTCAACATCCGACGACCATGGGCGTCACGCTCCTCGGGGAGTGCGGGCAGCCGACGAAACTCGAAGGGAAAGCCTCTGGATGTGAGTAGAGTCTCATAGGCCAGTGCTGCCGTGGCCAGCATTGAGATTGGACGGCAGCGAAGGGCCTGGCGGCGTTATACCCTGCGTAACAGTGGTGAAGTTTTGTGCTTATCGATAATGCATTCCACGCCGCCGTGGCGTGAATGAAACACCACATTGACGGGAGCGCCATTGATCATGATGGCGCTGCAAATTGGGCTCTGTCGACAGCCGTCTGGTGCTGCAGCGGCAACCTGAGCCCCCCGTCCTATCAAGTATGTGATTCTGGCCATTCTTGCAGAATGAATGCCATGTCCGCCCATCGGGCTCGCGCTGGCCGTGCCACGACGTCTTCGCCTGGCGTCAGTGGCGAGGGAGCATAAACTCGCGGCAGGCATTCACAATTGGATGCAGGAACAGCGGCTGCCGTGGGCTGCCGTGATGTCCTCGACCAGTCGCCGATACGTCACGTGGAGGCAATGCGCGTCCCAAGGTCGTCCTGGTTCCTTGGTTCCTCCCCAACCTGCAACCCAACATTTTTGTAACGACTGGCGCCTTCACCGCGCCGACTTCGAGGCCTGACTGCGTTTCGCACACTCTCTGGGCGCGAGCTTACCGCGGGCCTTTTCAGTGCATGCTCCCTCGTCGCTACTTCAACACTCTGTCTGAGTTTGTCTCTCTCTGACCTCTCCCGCCTTTCTCAGGCCACCGCTGCTTGATACCTGACCGGCCATCACCGGCGTGCGAGGCAGTGACGCGGAAAGCGGAAAGCAGGCGTCGCTGCGGAATCGGAGGCGCGCCCCAAAACCTCGATTTGAAAATTTCTTCGATTTGTCCTCCACCTCCCGAGTACCATTTCTCCCCCAACACCGCCAAAAAGTATCGCCAGTCAGCGCCCACCGGCTGGTGTTCGTGGGTCGCTCCTGTACCTTGCTGCCTCGTGCTCGCTGGCAACGCTCCACTTGGTTTGTCGGCTGAGGCTGAAGCCTGTGGGCCCTGGATCTGCACGAAGCCCTTGTCTCCGCGTGAATTGCCGGCGCCAGGACAAACTTCATCAATAGCACCGTCTGATATTCTGCATCATCAGTCATCGCCATTTTGTCCAACCTGCTTGCCACGCTCTCTTTTCTCCCCTTGTCACCGACAGCAGTGGAAAAGAGTGCAATTCGCGCTGCGGAGCTAACTACCTCAAATCGTTCATCGCGTATCACGGCCATCCCCATCTCTGACCCACCCGGCTCCGCAAACCTTCTTCGTGGCTCATCGTTCCCCATCTCGACCACTCCTGTGTTGCCGACTCGATCTGTTTGCGACCTGTCCCACGCACCCTTCGACTGCACTACTCGTCGGATGAGTTCTCCACCAGTACCACCCATTGGTCGCGCCTTCCACTCCATTGTCCGTGATATCAAAATATCATGGACGACCGATTCCGCCAACACGGATTGCCAATGCCTGCCGGGGGCCAGTACCAACCTCTAGCTCCGCAATCCTACAATGGCCCGCAATCCCACCTCCCCACCCTACCACCCCTCCACGGCACCGCCTCGCAGTTTCCCTCACTGTACGGCGGCCATGGTAGCAACCCCCAAACTCCTATCACGCCTCACACCCCAGCGACATCTGCATCATCAAATTCGAGTACTACCATCCCGCCCATCGCGCAACACCCTCCGCTCCGGCCTATCCAGCCCTCTCCGTCATCTTACCTGTTGTCGACCTCTTCATATGCGTCGTCACAGGCTCCTCTACTTCCAACTGCTGCCGCCCACTCTAACGCACACCAGATGGCTCCGGCGCCGTTGTCAACAGGATTGCAGGATGTTCGTATCGGTGGTCTTGGTCTAACTCCCCACTCCCAACTCTATCCTCACCCACCCATTCTCCCAAACCAGGAGCCAGAACCGGTGCACGTCGTTGGCCAACAAGGAAGACGAGGCGTATTACCTACCCACCCTGGACGACCCGCTCCTGCCGCAGGAAAAGCCCCAGCAAATCCAAACAAGAACGCAGATGGCAAGTACGAGTGTCCTCATTGTAATAAGACGTATTTGCATTTGAAACATCTGAAACGACATCTGCTCCGACGTAAGTACCTTACCTCTTAACTAGCGTTCATCTCTAACCCTCTGTAGATACGGGTGAGCGACCGTATCAATGCCATTTGTGCAAAGATACTTTCTCTCGAAGTGACATCCTTAAGCGTCACTTTCAAAAATGTTCCATAAGGCGAGGTAATCCGACGGGTGCAAGCCATCTGCAAAATGCCCAGTCTCACCTGCAGAAGAATAGGCCACCAAGCGTTCCAGAGACTAACGCGTATCTGAACCACATCAACACATCTGTGGCTTTCTCAGATGGTACCTATGGCAGCGCACTCGTCGGGATGCAACCGATGCCTTCGATGGCACCTATGCCTACCGAAACGTCCGGATATGGTGATGGTCTTCCGCCCATGAGTGCGCAATCAATGTCCGCCCGAACCTCTCGTTCTAATAGCCTGATCCGCCCTGGTAGTGGCATCGAGGAAAATAGGCGGAGCATATCCACGCTGGAGTTTCCCAATGGCCGAGTGAATTTCAATGGGAATGACTTTCGAGGACCAACTAGTATCCAAAATAACCTCTCTCACGACCTGAGTACCTATGCATCTCAGCAGAATCAGAGTTCTAGCGCTGTCTCTCGGACCACGAATCCATATGGCTACGATCATGCTGTAGCAAACCCGGAGTTGACGCATGGTAACATGCCCGTTAAAACGGAGAACTCGAGCTCAGGCTCCTACCAACGTCCAACACTACCGAACGTTGAGGGAATGACCAATGCGCAAGACAATGGTTTGAGATGGAGCGGTTCGTTCAATACAGAGCCCCAGGACAACTTCCTTGTTACTTCCAGTATGGCGAGTGGCCCAAATCCCGACAATCCCACAGATGTTCTGACCATCAATATGTAGACCTCCGATGATCAGTCTCACGACAGCATGTTTAGCGGGCTGTATTCCAACGCTCCTGGGTTTGTCGACTCAGCTCCAATTCTTGACAACTGGGTTCTCGGCCCATCTGACCCCCTGCAGAACAAAGCGGGGGCGTTGGTAGAATATTGCTACCCTAATCAATCCCTTATCGCGGCCGAATCGACAGAGGCCCGCGCCCTCGATTCATTAAAAGGGATGCTCACCGTGGATAATCTCAAGCATTTCCTCGAGGAGTACAAAAATTTTCAGAGTCATTGGCCAATGATACATATGCCTTCCTTCAACCCTATTACCGCGAACGATGGACTTCTCCTTTCAATGGTTTGCATTGGCGCTGTATATTCCGATAGACTAAGCATGAACGAAGTGCGCTGGTTGATGGAACTGACAAAGAGCTCCATATACAGGTCTTCCAATGTGTACAAACTTGTCACTTCAAATGCCCACGAAGTTGTTGATCCGAACAACCGGTCTTTGTCCGACGTCGAAGAGATCCAAGCCTTGGTACATCTTGTGGCACTATTCGTCTGGCATGGCAGCAAACTACAACGACAGCAAGGGCGAGACGAATTCTGGGTTCTTACTGCTATTGCACGCCGTGTCGATCTGCTTAGTCCAATTACTAGCGGTCGTCAAAATTCCAGTACTCTCCACCAACCTGGACCGCTCGATTCTACCCAACTTAGAGCGTGGTCCTGGTCTACTTGGGTCGAGCAAGAGAAGCGATTAAGAACCATGTACCTTATTTTCCTACTGGACGCCGCGCTCTGCATGTTTTTCAACCTACAACCCCAGTTCGACATTTATGATATTAAGCTTCCTCTTCCTGCAGACGACGCCGCTTGGGAGGCGAGAACACAGGAGGAATGTGCAACTGCTCTTGGGTTAAGAGGAGGGAGTCCATCAGTCAAAGACACAACTGGAAGTGGACGCGCAAAGCAAATTGGAATGTTTGACGCACTTCAACTGCTTCAGAGGGGCGGAGACTTTCCTCAAGGGGCCACCAACGTTTACGCCAAGTTCATCCTTGTCCATGCTCTTCATGTACAGATATTTAAACTACAACGACAGATACTCGGGCTGAGCCAATCCCTCCCTGCTTATGGCGGTTTTTCTTCAAGCGGTGCCAGCACGCCACACTCTCAGAACGATTGGGACGGTACGATGAGCAACGGCAACAGCGGGCGGGTGACCCCTACTGAGGGCACCAATGGTCAATACTCCCAAGCACAGCAAAAACTTCGCCTGACGATGGGCGCACTGGAGGTCTGGAAGAGAGCCTGGGATGTCGACATGCAAACGCAGTACCCTCCACATCAACGGAGGGTTGGCTTCTGCAGAGATGGCATACACTTCTACTTCCTTGCTAAGATTTTCCTCCGAAGCTCTCGACACGAAGAATGGGCGGCACAAGCGGACATCCGTTGTCAACAAGTGTTTAGTTTGTTAAAGCAGATAAAAACCCACGTTGCCTCGGAACAGGCACAGAAAGGGCTCGACATTGGCTCAGTGACAACCGTGGACGACAATTATGGCATTGCAGACCTGACGCTGAACATGAGGCTTCTCTTTACCCCCATTGACCGGCCGTCCCATTGACAAATGAGCGCTCCCCATGGCTCCTCCTCCTAGCCGCGCACATTCGGTGAGGTAGCTTTCCATATGGATATCCCATTACGGATCGCAAGCCGCGGAAGGAATAGAGGGGAATGTCCTGGCTGGTTCAGCGCAAACAAAACTACCTGGATTTACTGGAATCCATTGAAAACCATACTCGGCCTGCATTTCCTTGTTCTATTCCCTGGCCACGGTTACTTTACTGAGGCATGCATTGTACCACGGCGTTGTTGGGATATCTTTTCAAAAGCACGGGCACTACAACACGTTCAGCTTTCTTTCTGTTCGAGATATGTGTGCCATGCGCATTTCACCTCATGACGGTTTGGACGGTTACGTATTCACTTCACGAACACCTTGGATTCTAAAAAGCATTAGACTTTACCTCACGGCTTGCATTTGCCAGGCGCAATATCCGGATTACATGGGACGATAGACCACAATCAGTATGGCAGAGCGTTCCAGCGTTGTGTGGGCATGGTTCCCCTGCATTCATCGGCTGCTTTCCACCAGACTTGAGAAACCAGCGCAGATGTCATGGAGTTCGTGTATATAATTTATTTCCCTTTGTCTTCGTCTCATAATGAGAGGGCCGGCGCTCTCATACTCAAATTAGAACTAGAAGGGAAATGCGCTATAGGCCCTAGAAAGGCTCTGTCAAGAAATCCGATTGTTGGCTTTGCATACTTGAGGAACGTCACACGAGGCGTGGTGAACCATATTTTGATCAAAAAAGATGTGCAAATAGTGTTCACAAGCATTCAGCCGGAAAGCGAACGATGATAGTTTCGTCGAGCATAAGGGCGAAGCGACTAAGACGTGAAGCGGTTTCAGAGTTCAAACCTCGAACACCTGCTCCACCTTGCGACGCCCGGATAAAATGAGAAGTGTGGTTAGGTGCGTCTAGTTCCGACGCATTCACACTTATGCGACTACCCTGAGCTGTCCATAACGCATCACGTGACTCGTCGTTGGCAGGATTATTGCCCTTCATAGTTCGCGTGGCCTCTGCGCATTGCATATTTGCCCAAGTTCGGTCAAAGACTGAACGCCCCATACCGCGCTACAAATGGTGCACATACCTCCTAGTCTCTTTTTGTCTTGACAGATCATGCCCCCTTGGGTTCGCGAAGCACAAATGTCACAGACATGCAGAACACCATCCCCAAGTCCCGAAGCTCACCCAAACACTTTCGTCTCAAAGCATGCCGCCTTCTGCCTTCTTCTATTCGTCTCTTAGCTTTCCCTTAAACGTTCAATGACAAATGGAGTAATATTAACGGCCGTGATAGATTCTAGGGACCCCTCGAACCATGCAGGCTCACCACGTTGCATGATGTGGTCTCTTAGCTGGGGCCTGGATTGCCACCCTCTGTCTGCAGCTGCCAGGGAGACTTGCATGGACGATTGAGCCTGTGCCTTGCATCACAGGAAATCTGGGGAAGCCTAAAAGGAAGAATGTGCCTTCATATGTGAGCCGGAGCACTCTCGTTCACTTCCTATGTCACTGCTTCTTTTGCCTTTCCGCACGAGCCTTCGGTACTTTGGGCATTTATAGTCATTCCTTCGGTGCAACACTGAATCTCACTCCTTCAAGATGTTTCTGAGACCGGGCATGGTGGTATGGGTTGCTGGGATTATTTTGACCAGCTTGTCCACCATAGTAGTAGCCTTGAGGTGAGTATCTTTGAACATGGCTATTTGGAAGATGGATGACTGAGAATTGAACACTAGGTATTACTGTCGTTACTTTCTGATGGGTACTGTCGGTGCAACGGATCATCTCATGTTGACCGCTCTCGTAAGTCTTCCTTTGGATGAGTTCCTCTTCGCAGCCCGCTCACACTCTCCAGTTAATAACTTGGGGAAACACGGTAATCAACTATTATCAAGACCAAACGAGTAGCTCGTTTAGGCCAAGCCAGTTCCGCATCCCTGTAAGCCTCGTAGTCAGTCGCTCGCTCGTCAAGGTGCTAATTCCTGGTCAGGAGAAGAGGCCAAAGATTGCGGCCGCCCTTCAAGGGACATTGCTCACCTGGTACATGTATCGAATCACCTACATAATTGGGCTTTGCTTTGTCAAACTCTCGATCCTCTTCTTCTACCGTGCAATTGCATCACACATCACATTCCGCCGGATGGTCTATGCTACGATAACATTCATCTCTCTGTACACGTTTGCAGCGACCATCGCCAACATCTTTCAATGCCAGAATCCCTCGGACTCGTGGAGCACATCAGCCTATTTCTCCCAATTTGATGGGCCAGGCCCGAGCAAAACTCCTAAGCCAAAGGTGCGCTGCAACAACCCTGTTCAGCTGTGGGTTTTCTCGGCCGCCGTCAACCTCTTCACGGATGTAGTCATTCTTCTGCTTCCCATTCCCACGCTTCTAGGACTAAGGGTGCCAATGAATAAACGTCTTGCGTTGGTCGGCATTTTCTCGGTCGGTATCATGGCCATTGTTGCTTCCTGTGTTCGCATGTGGGTAATGGCACTCTGGTCCGAGTCGCCCGCCAATTCAGCCCATTTTGGAGCAGATCTACTCCTCTGGGGCCAGGTTGAAACAAACAGCGGAATCATCTCTGCCTCGGTCCCATTCCTCAGGATGATCTTCCGAGGCCGAGAGAAGGAGCCCTCAGAAAAGAACCGAGGTATCAGTCCACCCAGACGCCCAGTTGATACCAACAATAAACCACTTGAAATATCGTCCATGGCTTTCTTCTCCGGTCCCGATGTTGGACCTAATGGTTCTCCGATTTGGAAACCATTCATTACAGTTCCGGCGTCGCTGAGTTCGAGCTCGAGGGATTCGGCTGCGCTAGAGGCACAGCATCCACACCAGACGGTCTGAAAGTCGTGAATCGAGGTAAAAGGCGAATGGTTAGAAAGGGTTCCTAAAGATTCCGGGACAGCACCTCCACGCAATGCAGCGTTAATTACGGCAACCGTAGCGCTCGGATGGTAGCTGGCCTACCGTGTTGGAACACTAGCTAACGTCGCTATCGGTAAGCCTCCACTCATGGCTTTGTGTATTAAGCTGACTAACAGAATGCAGAATGCACCGAAATACTTTAATATAATGCAATGATATTGAAGAAGCGCACTGTTGGTAGGGCATGATGGCGTGCCTCGGAACTTGGACTTGGAAAATACGATACCCTTAGTAGCAAAAGGCATTGACAGGCCGTAGATGGATACGTAACGAGCCTTGGGGAGGCAATGTCTCCTATCTCTGTAGATCGACGTGTATACCGTGGAGCAATGCGTTGCCTGGACCGAGATAATGGAACATAATGGAGTAGTCTAAAGTGTTGGAAAGATACCAGGATTATGAGTTCCTGACAGCTCGAACTTCACATCACAGACTGTTCCCTATGCTACAGGACAAAATGTGAATGCTAATGTTGCTAATGCTGCCAATGTTGCCAATGTTGCCGCAGGCTTTGGGAACAATTGACGTTGCAGAGCCCGAAGGAGCTCTAGACCATGCCCAATCAGGAAAGGACGACTTCCAGGCGGGCGGTGCTCGATCCGTGCTGTGGACATTGAGGTACACCAAGATCTGACCTGCAGCCAGACATTCATTCACCTTCACCTCCACCAGCCAATCTGTATTAACTGCTCCATCTCTCAATGTATAATTAACGAAGAGGGCAAACCGGAATCGTGGCGACCCCAAAGCTAACCAAGATCTTCCTGATCTCCATCTCCCTCTTCATCTGCATCTCAGCCATTCTGGCGTCTCTCCGCTTCGGCTCTCGCGCTCCCTCGATTCTCTCGTACCTGAAGTCCTCGAAGCTCCCCTCGCTCTCGCTCTCAGCCCAGCGCCCGCTCATGAACAGCAGCATGGCGCCTGAGCAGTACCGCAAGCCACCACAGCTGCCTCCCAAGTTCACGGCCACTCCGTCCTCTCTGATCGAGGAGACGCAGAGACTGGTATGTGTATAGATTTTAAAAGCAGGAAAAAGGCACTTGTCGCATGAGCTACTTACTACTTACTACTTACCACTTCCCACTTTCCGCTTACTGCTAATTCGCACGATACCCCGCATCCCAGGCTCAATTGCGCAAAGCTGACGGTGCCAAGATCAACAGGTCCCGGAGTGTCCAAGACAGCATCGTCCAGAATGTCACCCCTGAGAAAGCGACCTTCGAGAAGGTCCTCCTACCCGTTGCGCTGGACGACAACAAAATGGCCATCGAGTCGCACATCATCGGTTTCTATCAGGCGGTGTCGACAGACAAGGCCCTCCGCGATGCGTCCACAGACGCAGAGAAGCTGCTTGACGATTTTGGGATCGAGTCCAGCATGCGCGAGGACGTGTTTAATCTGGTGGATGCGGTTCTGAAAAAGAAGGAACCCCTAGACCCGGAGTCGCAGCGCATGCTAGAGAAGGACCATAAATCGTATATTCGCAATGGATTGGGTGTCCCTGCAGGCCCACAAAGAGATCGCTTCAAGGAGATCAAGAAGCGTCTTAGTGAACTCAGCATTGCGTTCCAGAAAAATCTCAATGAGGAAAATGGCGGGCTGTGGTTTACCCCTGATGAATTGGCCGGTGTCCCGGAAGACCTCGTTGCTTCGTTGGAGAAAGGCACCGGCGAGAATGAGGGCAAAGTCAGGTTGACGTTCAAGTACCCTGACTTGTTCCCAACGTTGAAGTATGCAAGCAACGCGGCGACGCGCAAACGAGTCTTTGTTGAAAACGAGAACAAGTGCAACCAGAACGTCCCCTTGTTCCGGGAAACTGTCCTTCTGAGGGACGAAGCAGCGCGCATCCTGAGCTACCCAAACCATGCCGCATTTAGAATCGAGGATAAGATGGCGAAAACACCAAAGACAGTTAATGACTTCCTCGGAGACCTGCGAACGCGCCTTGCACCTGGCGGCAAGGTAGAAATCGAGAAACTCCTGGCACTCAAGCAGGAGGATTTGAAAGAGCGCGGAATCACAGATGACACATCAAACAAGTACTTCTTGTGGGATCATCGATACTACGATCGATTGATGCTGGAGAGAGACTTCTCCCTAGATCAGCAGAAGATTGCCGAATACTTCCCCCTTCAAACCACTATTCAGGGCATGTTGAAGATCTTTGAGGAACTTTTCGGCCTGGTCTTTGTTGAAATTGTCGGCGAGGACAGGAACGCCCTTGCCGAATCTGGAAAGGGTTCCGATATCGTGTGGCATGAGGAAGTCCAGATTTTCAGCGTTTGGGATGATGAGGGAGAGGGTAGCGACTTCGTCGGGTACCTATACCTTGATTTATTCCCAAGAGATGGGAAATACGGACACGCTGCCAACTTCAACCTCCAGCCTGTAAGTAACTGAGATGCTGAGGGGCTCTCACCGGTACTAATTTGATAGGGCTATACCGACGAGATGGGCAAGCGGCGCTACCCAGCAACCGCTCTTGTTTGCAACTTCTCCAAGCCGACTAAGAAGAAGCCCTCGTTGCTAAAGCACGATGAAGTTGTTACCCTCTTCCACGAACTCGGCCATGGCATCCACGACCTTGTCTCCCGAACTACTTACTCTCGCTTCCACGGCACAAACACTGTCCGTGACTTCGTCGAAGCACCTTCCCAGATGCTCGAGAACTGGTGCTGGACGACATCTCAACTACGCTCTCTATCCAACCACTATTCATACCTCTCTCCGGACTACGAGCTAGCATACTTAGAATCATCGGGGGAGTCCAAGAAACCCTCAGAACGGATCCCGTACGAGCTTATCACTAACTTGATCAACACGAAGCACATCAACGACGCACTATTCAACTTGCGCCAGCTACATTTTGGAATTTTCGACATGACGGTGCATGAGCCGATGAGCCATGATGACATTGAGAAACTAGATATTTCTGCGACGTACAATAAGCTACGGAAGGAGATTTCTCAGCTTGATGGCCCTGAGATTCTGGATCATAAGGGAGATTGGGCGTGGGGAAATGGGCAGGCTACTTTTGGGCATTTGATTGGAGGGTACGATGCTGGGTAAGTTCCTTTCAACCTCCTTTGACTTCTACCTCCCCTCTTCCATGTCCTTGCACCACCAGAACTGCCCCACCATGATTGGTATCTAACGAACTATATAAACAGCTACTACGGCTATCTCTCTTCCCAGGTCTACTCAACAGACATGTTCTATTCTGTCTTCAAAACCAACCCGATGAACGGGAAAGAAGGCCGTCGGTACAGACACACGGTTCTAGAGAAAGGTGGCAGTAAGGAGGAAATGGAGATTTTGGAGGATTTCTTAGGGCGCAAGCCGAGCACAGAGGCCTTTTATAAGGAGTTGGGGATTGAGCAATAGAGGGTTGGGGGTTGAGCAATAGAGGATTGGGGCTGAGCAATAGAGAGTTAGAGAGGATGTTTGATAGAGCATTAAGGGGACGGGAGTTAGGACTCTGCATACATCAGTCTCAGGGTGAGACGATGAATACTAGTGTATTCATTATCTACGTCGCTTATTCTCTGTCTGTCTTTCGCATGCTCTAGGTGAAACTGCTAATCACTAGGAAAACGCACAAGTTGTGCTCTTCGACTTCGCCCTCGAAGGTATTTAGAAACCCTCAGCTCTGCGTCGCACTTCCTTACTATAATCTAGCCTCTAGAATCAATTATAGTTCGTGATGAGAGCAGTACGGCCATGTTTTCCTCGTGATCTGTCAGCCACTCATCGACGATCCAGAAGCTTCTACGGGGATTCGATACAAAACCCCAGACCCCCGCCGCGGCGTCGTCCGTGCGGGTTAACTCCACCCTGCCCATTGTCACCCCTCGAGTGCCCGCCATGCCCCCGGGCAACGAATATGCTGCAGACCAGCTCAAAACCCAGGGAAACACGCATTTCAAGAATGGCGAATACGAGGCCGCAGAGACATGCTATTCGCAGGCGATCCAGAAGAACAGCAAGAACCCATTGCTCTTCACCAACCGCGCGAACGCGCGACTGAAGCTCGAGAAATGGCAGGAGGTGATTGATGATTGTATACGGAGTATAGAGTTGTTGAAGGAGAATATGAAGGCTTTTTTCTACCTGGGTATGGCTTGCAATTCCTTCCGCAGTTCTGCGTCTATGTGAATGACTATGACCGAGGCTAACGGAGGGATCATGGACAGCGCAGGCACAAATCGCCATCAATCACCCCAACGAAGCTCTCTCGTCGGCTCTCATGGCTTACGAACTCTGCACCCGCTCCGCGCAACAAACGTCTAACGCTGCTACCATCAGCGCGCTGGTCCTGAAATGCAAGAAAGCGAAATGGGACATCCGCGAACGGGACCGCATACGTCGTCGCCACGACCTACTCGCCGACCTCGAGGTCAAACTCGAAGATGCGTACAAAAAAGAAATCTTCGAAATCGACGAAAAGGTTGCGAAGGGAGACATGGGCACTGTCGAATCCCAGGAGGAAAAATCCGAAATCAAACAAGACTGGGAGAAGAAAGTTGGTGATCTCCGCACTGCCTTTGCCCTCTCCGACCCAGAGCATCTCCAAAAACGCGAGGTCCCGGACTACCTTGTCGACGGCATCACGTTCGAAATTATGCACGACCCCGTGGTCACTAAGAACGGGCGATCTTACGAGCGCGCGACCATCATCGAGCATTTGAAGCGTTCGCCGACGGATCCGCTGACGAGGGAGCCGCTGACGATTACTGAGCTCAGGCCGAATATCGCGCTGAAAGAGGCGTGCACGGAGTTTATGGAGGCGAATTCGGGTTGGGTTTATGATTGGTAGGTCGGTATGTACTCTGCTCAGCATTGGTGTTTGTGATGAATGAAATTTCGCCTAGAGGGTGAGAATTGGCGCTGACGATTGTTTAGTGAGGACGGTGAAGTCGACGTGGATACCCGATGGGCTCATCTTTCTTCGTGGTAGTGAAGAGGGAATGGGCTTCCAGTAGTTTCGTACACAACCAGGAGAGTGGATGGAGAAGGAGAAGGAGATGTAGATATCCATCTTTCTTCATTGTGATGGAAAGGGGATGGTTTTTGTAAAGTAGCATAGCATTTGCATTGGAGGCGTACAGGTGAACTGGATAATTATTTGTCACATAGGGGCCTACTTGAGTATGTCCCTGCGTATACCCCTTCTCGTGTGCATCAGTTTGCACTATGAGGTCGCAAGCAAACGAACGAATTCAAGATTTGTTACTTAACGAAAATTAATGATATTGCATTAACTGGGTATCAATTCCACAAACGCCCCTACCACTCAGAGCCAGGTACCGAACGACTCCTAAAGACACACTCAGCGTTCATCGACCTTCCTGTCTTCACCGTGCCCGACGCCCCATACCCTCATTTTCCTTCCCCTTATACCCAACGGGCCCCCCCTTTACCCCTTCCATATCCCCATCCACAAACCCACCTCCATTACTTCGCTCCTCCCTATATATATTCGGCAAACTCCTCTGCCTCCTGACCCCACTCCCCTCCGCCCTCCCGCCCGCAGGCCGATGTCGACTCGGCGGCGGGCTCCTCTTCCGATGCGACCTCGGTTCCAGCGCCTCCTCTTCATTCTCCACAATCGGAGATCGCGTTCTCGACCGCTTGCGCGCCCGTCCGCGCAGCGTATGATCGAGCTCTGCGTCACTCCTCCGGCGGATCTTACGGCTTGAGAGCGGCGGTGAGATGGAGATTGATGAGGAGGACGATTGTCGGTGGTGTTTCCGGTAGTGGTCGTGCAGGCGGCGGTGTCGGGAGCCGCTGTCGCGGTAGTGGCCGCGGGATGGGGACGGTGAGCGCATGCGTGTGGGGGTGTGAGAGGACTTGCGGCGTCGTTTATGCCGGCCGCGCTCTTCGAAGATATCGAGGGGGGTGGCTGTGGTTGTGGATGGTGCAATGTCGAGGAGACCGTAGGAGGTTATGAAGATCGGCGATAGAAGGTGGCTTGAGTTTGACGTGTCGACTGCTGCGAGAGCTAGCTGGTCGAGCATCGAGGTGTCTGAGATTACACGGCCAAAGACGGTGTGCGTGGTGCCTGGACGATGCGGTAGAGGACCGAGGGCTATAAAGTGTCTGGGATCATCGGTAAGCTTGGGATCTCATATCTAAATGCCCTCTTGCTGAACCTAGGGACACTTTACGGAGGAGATACAAAGCGTACTGGCTGATATTCGGGTGTTCCTCGTTGCAGAGAATACCAACCATGCCCTTGCTGACATTACACCCTCCTCCAGCCTCCATGCCGCAAACCATCACCCCCACTATCCTTTCTTGCTCGCTAACATGCTGTCCTCGGATCATAACGCCAGGATCAACGTAGGTGAAAAACTCTTCGACGATTCTCATCCCCGCATCGCCAGTAGACAATAATTCTGTAAACCTATAGCTCATTGTTAGCACACACATTCTCATCAAGGTTTCTACTCACAGCAACCCACATCGCACAAGCCCTCGGCGCCTCATCAACCCATAGCTCCACCACCAGTCTTCCGACGGGCTTGTCGGATCCAACGGCGGCGGCGACGGCCATGTCGAAGAAGACGCAAGGACGAGGTAAACTCGACATGATTGATATTGACAAAGGCGGAGGGGAAGGACGGAGGAGGCATGGAGTGATGTTTGAGATTCAGTGGGTGAGGGGTTGTACTGTGAGTTGCTCGTGTGACGGGGATGAACCTTAAGTGCTGCTGCACCAGAGAGGGACCTTGGGACCAAGCAAGGAACGTCATTCGATCTTCGCTTGGCCAAAGCTTCTGCCTGCTTTCGGGTGAGAGTGTCACGTGCGTAGTCAGATGGAGACATCATGGGGTGCCTGAGCTTTGATGATCATATGTCTTCTGATTGTATGGGCTTTTGGTGGAAGCGCTGTGTGATTGCAGTGCTACTATGCATAAACGCCCTCGAAGTCTACACTACTCTATTATTGCAGTTGAACGTCGAGTCACAATCAGGTTGCAATCAATACCTCTATTCTTTCTTCTTGTCGCCAAAAAGGTCCTTCTCTACCATTTGCCTAGTTTCCCGTTAGCAAAGCCTTCCAAAGCAAAAAGCACATTTGCTCACCTGCAGATCGGATGATAGAAACTCTTGTTCTTCTCAAACGTCTCGACCGCCAATTTCCGATCCGCCTCATTCAGCAACCGAAACAACGGCCTCACAAATTTCATCCTGCCGATCTTGCCTAGTAGCTCTGCCGTTGGCTTATAGCACTCGTGGCACCTGCTCTTGAGGCCAATGCTATAGAACCTGCTGACCAGCTCGATGTTGCGAGACTTGTCATACTCGTACACTTGGCCCATCTCACGGACATCTTTAGTTGAGAATTTGTCTGCAAAGCTCTGCACACGCTCGAGGAAGACAACGGACTGGTTCGCTACCCATGATGAAATATCCTTCTTCTCTGGAGTGAATGCTTTGCCGTCTTCAACCCAGAATTTCCACTTATCGGCAAGCTCGTAGCAAGTCTTAACGAGCGTGTCGTCGAACTCAGGCTTCGTCGGGTAGCCCGGAGCATAAAACAATTTGTCCCAGTCGAATCCATCCAGCTTCTTTGATGCTTCCGGATCCGAGGCGAAGAAGGCAATCAAGCAGGATTTGAAGTCGTAACTGTCGACGGAGCGGAATTTGAACGTCTCGAAGTAGTGCGGGATGAATGTATCCCATTTCTGTTTGCCGAGGAGGAGCTCAAAGGCGTAGAGAGCATGGAACCCTTTTTCGTAGGGAATGGACGCTGGAATTCTTAGCAATGGGTCAGTGATATGGGGAGAGCGGCTTACAGAATGCGTCGTCAGGGTCACTGCCTTTGAGGTCTACCACGAGTTTCGTGTATCGACTGAGACGTTATGTTAGCTGTTTAGATACAAGGAGAATAAGTAAGCTGATCTGAATTGCTTACTGGTCTTTCCCGTATCGCTCGATGGATTCTTCGAGTGCCTTCCACCCAATAATCGAGGAGAAGTGTCGATGTGGCTCCCCATGAATAGCAGCCTGGATCCTGCGCTCAAGATATGTCGTCCACCCCTCATTCAACCAGAAGTGTTCCCAAGAAGCCGCAGACACCAGATTTCCACTCCAGCTATGCGAAAGTTCATGCGCAATCACATCCACATTCTGCTTATCACCCGATATTATGCTCGGGGTCGCGTACGTCCAGACCGGGTTCTCCATTCCACCATACGGGAAAGATGGGGGTAAGATCAAGCAATTATACTGCGTCCACTGGTATTTTGGGGACACCACGGATTCGATAGCATCCATAAACGGCTCAATCTCTCCCGCGAGTTCCCACTGGCAATCCAAGAGCTCCTCCGGTCCACTCCATACCGTGCTCCGAGGTCCAATCGCCGCGGAGGCAACATCACCGCTTGCCAACGCAAAGAGATAGCTTGGAATCGGCACTTTCTGCTCGAATGTATATAGCAGCGTGCCGCTCTTCCCCTCTTTCCCAGGAACATATTCTTTCGCCCCAGTTGGCAAACCGCTCGCAAGAACCGGCAGCGGACTCCTAATCGCAAAGTCAAACGTCGACTTCACATCTGGCGTATCTTGGCACGGGAATATGGAGCGAGCGTGAATGGCCTGGCACTGCGAGAACATATACGGATGTTTCTTGTTAGACGTTTGCTCTGGCGTCATCCATTGCAAGGCCGTGCATTTCTCCGTGGTGGAAAGTTGGACGGCGACATCGAGCGTCTTCCCACTTGGTACCCTACCATCGAGTTTGATGGACAACGGACTCCCGTACGGTTCAACGCGATCCGTCACTGACCATTTCACCTCCTTTCCGTTAACCTTGACGTCCGTGATATCCAGAAAACTGCTATCCAGAACTATCTCTTGACTCTCCCCATCTGTTAATGACTCAAGTGTAAGTACAATGCCGCCTTTGAGAACATTTTTTGCAAAATCGATCTCAAAGCTCGCCGCCGTATGCCGGGTCACAAAATTGAGATAGTTCGAGAGCGTATTCGGGTCCCTCGGCGTCCTAATAGTTATATTTGGATCCGTCATAGGTTTGGTGACCATAGCAGCGGGCGCACGATGCATAAACGAAAACTCCTTCACGTCTCCACTTAAGCGTGGAAATGCACGTTTTGTAGCTGTAGTGGGGGAGCAGGAAGCTGAAGTTGTGAAGCGGAACGGCTGGAGCTGAGGTCGGAAGGCCGAACCCAACCGTGCAGAGCGAGAAATCGACCTTCCATTTCGACGCAGCGGTAGCGAAAGCCAGCTGCGAACGCAGAGCGCTTCGGCCATTGCGAAACAACGAGACGTTCAGTCAGTGAAGGCGCGAGGAATGCGGCCTACTCCGCATCCTTGTCCGTGTCCTGCTCCGTACGTTCAACGAAGCTTTTAGATTTGAGCAGGGGCGTGAGAAGTTCTGCATGACTTTAGACCGTGCGCGGGGTTCACAAACTTCAAGTACTGCATGCACATCATGCTCTGTGGAGACATGGAGCAACGTGCATATGCTTGCGCTGAGATATGATCTGCAGGTATATAACAAAGAGGTAGAACCAACCCGCTGGGTCCATAAATAATATCAAAACGCCATTAAACACCAAATTCCCAAGAGGCTGGATGCATTCAAATGAGATCCCTATTGCATGCCCGAATTTCCAGCAAGAGCTGCAATGCTCCAAATTCTGAAAGGTCAATCGATCTTTCTGGCCTGGCCTTTCCGGCCCCTATCGCGGATTACAAGATTGACATCAGGTCTGGCGCTCTGATACTGTTCCGACGTTGGTATTAACAGATCTGCCACCCCTACCCTGCCTCCTATAGTATCGCCATCGCCAATCTCAAAAGCGCTATCTCTTAGTTCGATTAAATCACCAAAGTCGCCTCCGACAGCTCCGATGACTGGAACAGCGGAGCGTTTCCCCTGGCTAGATGTTGAGGGGTCTGAGAGTATCTTAGAAGCTTGTGATGCCATATTGCGCATCCATCCTTCAATGGCTCCCCCAAATTGTTGAAGGTCTATTCCAGCTCCTCCTAGCGGCGTCCGGGCGCCTGATCCACTAAGTTGAACGCTTGTTCCTGTATCTGCATCTAGCAGGCTGGGTGCCCACGGTGTGAAGTATTCCTGTCCTGGAGGAGGCGCAACATTAGGTAAATGCGACGCGAATAGCTTGTTCAATCCATCCTGAGCCGGGCCTGGGCTTCGAACATTCTTGCCGAGCGTACCGACCCCCCCAGGGCCATGCAGCGAAAAGTTGGAAATACTGCGGTGGCGGCCATGCATACCAGAGGAGGGAGTTCCGCGGCTCGTTGGAGGCCGCACTCTACTAGCGTTTTGGCCGGGAGAATTCATATGCGAATTTGTGTAGTTAGTTGACGTAGAGGAACGGGGCAGATCGAAGGAAGGAGAAGGAGTTGAAGCATCAGAATACGCGAGAGACTTCCGTCGGGCAGGAGGAAAAAAGCCAAGTGCTCTGCGGGGCATACGGCCAATCTCTATGGGAGTGGAGTCGTTGGGGAGCATGACCCAAGAGTCGTGTTTCCAAGGGAGTTCAGAATCAGCATTCGAGTGAGAAGAGGAAGGTGCAGATGGACTATGTTGGCTTCGGTCTTTGTGGGATCGCCATCCGTTCGGTATTGTGGTCGAATCAGTGTCTGCGCTATTTTGTTTGTCACCATAGTCCCCTAGCAATAGATCCTCCTCTTGTTGGGCGTTCGGTCCGGTCACTGGACGTCCCTTTACCCCACATGCATCGACGGGGAGAAGTATCGTGTCTTTTGTCTGGATGCTGTCGTTCGGCCACATGCGGTTGGCCTTCCTCAGTACAGCCGGCTGACAGTTGAATTTGATGGTGATACCGGCAAGAGTGTCCTGGGGCCGAACTATGTGAACGTAGACCAGAGCGTCCCGATCGTCATTCTCGGTCGGGGGTGCCGAGACACTCAGACGGTCATCAGAATTTCTGCGTTTTATGCGCCCTACCGAATCAGGCAGCAGGTGCTCGTCGGCAGTGAGGAGGTCCTTCCGCTTCATTGCCCGCACCATGCTCTCTCGTTCCTCTTGTGGGCCGGCTCCGACCTGGGAGCTCGAAGACCCCAGCGGACCCCATTGTTTTGGCGTCACACCGCTCGCTGCTCGTCGATGTGTGGCAGCCAGCGGTCTCCGTCGCCGGGTCGCAGTGTCCTTTGGCCCCGCGTCGTTGCCCAGTACGTTTGTTGCGAGGCCCTGGATGGCCGACCATGAATTGCCCCAGATGCCGGAGAAAGTCACAGACGCATCTCGACTGCCGTTCGGAGCGTGCGCACCTGCCGCTCGTGTGAGGGACGATGGGTTCGACGTCACGTTGGGCCGCGAAGGGTGGGAGCTGGGGATGGGGGATGCGGTTCTAGAGGCGAAGGGGGATGCGCTGCCTTCGCTGCCGGACGCTGCCGGATCTAGCTCATCGTCGATGGATATCAGGCGACGGGCCCGAGGGCGCAACGATGAGGCTGCAGGAGTGGAGCTGGTCTTGGAGGAGGAAGGGGATCCATTGGTGGGGTGCATGGCCTTCAGCAGGCGGGCAGAGTTGGTGAAAGAGGAGCAGCATAGGACAGGTGGTGGCAGTGGGTCGGAAAGCGCATGGCATCTAGTCACTGTGGCATTCTTGACGTTTTGGGCGAGTGTGAATGCCAGGGAGCGTGTGTGTTTATTGTAAGTGGAGTGCGTACGTCGACATTGCCGCAGCCATGGCCGTGCGCAGTAAGAAAGAGCCTCGATTGTCGATAGCAGCAGAACCCTGTGCGACACAGCACCAGAAACCCGTCATATATGATCCATTGCAAATCTAACACACAGCTACCTGTTTCGCGCTGCCCCCGCTTGAACTACTGCATTCTTGTCGTAGCGTAAGGCCAGATGGCATTTTAATTCACTGGTCCTCAAATCGGAGAATGCCCGGCGCTTGGCCCGCACCGGCACTGATTGGACGCGCCTGTGTTCGCTATGCTCCAGACATCACCAGCAATTAATATCAACACAATGTCGTGAAAACCATGACTGTCATTCCAGGACTTGACCACGTGTTGACTCGTTAACAACACGTGAGCTTCATCACCCTGCACTGTAGAATTAACAACACCGTGAATGCAGTTGCCCCATTGACATGCATTTCTCTCCATGGCCAGCATTGATCCCCAAACGCCGTCCGATACAGACACAGAAATACACGACGCCTATTGCCTAACGCCACGGACTCGAGCTTGCACCACTGACATCAACACTCTCAAATTCCATTTCCCATGCATCGACTTCTTCAAACTGCTTCGCAATCGCCGTCAGCTTAGATTTTGGGACGCTGATTGTAGTCGCCGTCGTCTCATCTACATCTCCAGACGAATCTTCTTGGACGAAGGTGCTCTCATTCTCTTTGTCGGACGAGGTGCGACGTCCGTAGGTTCGGGTGTTCTTCTGAGTCGTTATCGTAGGTACCTGGGGCTTTTTGGTAGTGCGAGAGAGCTTCTTGCTAGATCTCAATTGAGCTGCTGCTGCTGCCGATGCCGGAGCACCCCGTCGAGGTGGTAGTTGTAGTTCGTCCTGATCTGAATCCACAGGAGTAATATCGACGTTGTCTGAGCTTCGAATGTCAAACTCGTCGTATTCCTGAGGCACATGTGTCCGCCGCCGAGGAAGCAGAGCTTGTAATCTGGCTGTAGAGATGGCTTTCGGTTTCGGTTTCGGCTTCGGCTTCTGCTTGGCATTTGGCTTGACAGGTAGCTCTGATTCTTCGTCCTCTATATCAGCGTCCACGCTATTCCGCAGTTTCTTTTTGGTCTCTCTTCGCTTTCTGTTTTGTCGCGGCTTGACTGGAGAGTCAACAGTCTCATCAGCAGGAAGGCTACTTGACCGGGGTGGAGCCATTGTCTCACTCATGGTCTCATAATCTGCCCCCTCTTTCGTTTTGAGAACCTCTTCACGACTTTCTATAACCTCCGGTAGACTTGGAGATGACGATCGCGATTCCTGAACATCCGCCCCAGATGGAGAGTCAAAGGGCGGAGACGAACGTAGAACTTGCACTACAGGAGAGCTCAATTTCCGTTTTCTTCCCCATGAGCCGCTGGAAGAGGCTGACGGGTGGAGATCGCTGTTGCTACTGACTTCTTCTGGTCCACTCTTTTGCAGGTGAAGGGGAGTGGATTCGGCTTCGGGGTTGAAATCGTCCAGGTCATCAAAATCATCGTCTCCCATATCGGTCATCTGGTTCACCATTCGCAGGAGACTTGGCTGTCGCGGTCTACGCTTGAAATTCTTCAAGGCTAGGATCGAGGTTTCATGAGCTGGAGTTCCGAGAACTTTCATGGCTGATGGCGGGCGCGTGCCGTGGGCAGGAGAGTCTGAGTCGAGTGATCCGAAGGTGAAGAGGGTGTCGGATAAGCTATCATCGACTTGCGCTGGCTCAATGTGTGGATGGGGTTCCGGCGTTGATGTTCCTTGTGCCTGAGACTTCTTGCCTGCCATTGAGGTACGTGTCTTCTTCGGCGCAGCCGATGGTGGGGTCCGGCTCTTGCTAGAAGGTCTCATAACTCGGGGCTGCGGCGCTTTGGTTTTCGGTTCGGCAGTCCTATCCTCATTTTGCTCTACAGGAAGCCCGCCAGTCATGGTGAAGTCCACATCCTTCTCAGGCTCAGGCTGCCATGGCATTCTCCTCTGCGCGCGATTTGTCCTAACAACGAGCCCATCGCTATCATCGCTGAAACTATCGATATTCTCAGAGATCTTTCTGGTCGGGTTTGATCGGGAAATAGGTGCGGCGGCTTTCGACGTTTTGGCGACGCGTGTTGCTGCAGGCGCGACTTTGGTCCTCTTGGGGCGCGGCATGGCAATCGCTCAATCGCCGCAAAACAACGATAATAATGCGACTTGTTTGCGATCAAAGGAGCGTCGGGGGTTGCTGTTGTGTGGTGGCAGGTCGAGGAAGAGTTGGAGGTCAACGCGCAACCTAATGTTTGGGTTTAGTATCGAGCATACCCTAAGGTTAGGGTTGGTCCGTGCTAAAAGCTTAAATCTACGGCTTGCACGTGACATCCTCGATGTCTCACCGTCACCCTCCCATTTCTCACTTGCATTTCTAAAAAAAAAAAAATTGGCGTAGGCAACGCTAGTGTAGCGGTTACTACGCCTTGGTGCGCCTTGAACCACCAGCAGCCACCTGAAACCCTGGCCCCTAGCAAGGCAGCTACAATTCGCCCCTACTTTAGTCTGGCGTCCAGCGCTCTTCTTCACTTCCAGTAAACGCTAAATTTTGCACAACACCCAGCATTTTGGTGGCAATCTCACATTCACTATCTCTGTCCTTAAATTAATCTAAACGATGTCAGACCCCAAACCTTTAATTGCTTTTGAACATCCACCCTGCCTGCAGGAGTACATGATATCGGAGAAGGAATTCTTCCAGCAGAACCCACAGTACACACATCTCGTCACTGGGGCCGTGGTATTCAATTCCGAGGGAAATATACTCCTTGTTCAGCGCGCCGCTGACGAGAAGGCATTTCCCAACCTATGGGTACGTCGAATTGAGATCAATCCGGTACTACAATCTGATACCTTCATGAGACCAACAAGACATAGGAAATCCCGGGTGGGAAGGTTGACAGTACTGATGAGACGATCTTGCATGCCGCGGCAAGAGAACTCAAAGAAGAAACCGGACTGGACACCTCAAGAATAGTTCGGAAAGTGGGGGAGTTCAGTTGGAGTGAGGTCTCGAAGAAAACCGGCTTTCAGCAGCATTGGCAGAAGCTGATATTCGAAATGGAAGTGAAGGACATGAAAATTGTACTGGATCCAAATGAGCATCAGGAGTATCTCTTCGCAACAGAAGAAGATGTTCTTAAGGGAAAGTCGGCGGATGTTGCTCTGAGTTATATTACTCCAGCAAACAAGACCATCAAATTGGAGGCATTCAAGTTCAGACGACAGACTATTCAGTCTTAAGCCACCCCTATTTACCGCAATTTGGGGCATGGAAAAATCAGGGCGCCTCAAAAGGGAGGAATTTGAATACACGGATAGAGCTTCCGCGATTAATCAATAGAATAGAAGTGTGTCTTGGAACACTAAATGGTCTAAGTTTTTGGCGTGAAGAGTCTATAAATATAGAAACCTAGAGAATGCTTGTGCCTACCACAGAACATTCCCGTCGTCTTTCTCACTGGACTTAGGGAAAATACCAAGAGGATGCACCTTTCTGTCTTCAGCTAGGTTCTTGTCAAGTGCCGTCAATACTTTCAGTAGACAGTAGAGCGAGATGTGAGAATATTCCGCTGGTCCCGCGACTGTTTCAAAGCTTGCTCCGATTTCCCCAGACCGCGGGTAGACGGCAAACCCCTGCAATTCAGTCAAAGAATCGAACAAGCAACAAATCCCGATCCGAGGGAACGTCGCAGAGATCTTAGGCATGAGACTTCCGGAGAATTGATTTTTAATTTTAGAACTGCAGTGTGAAATGCATGACGGGCACAGGACAGATGAAACCCACACACGAGGGTTCCACCAATGAGACACGGGCGAATGGACCGCAACATGGCGAATCTGGGGGAGCAAAGGTGAAAGACGGCGAGAAGATGTGCGGTTGCTTGAAAGGAAAGCTTGAACGCCGAATGACGACAAACTAGTTTCTCGCTCCCAAGGCGTTCAGAGCCGCCACAAGGCCAGCCTCCGAAGCGATCACGCGGAATGTATGCGGTCCCACAGAGGCAGGACTGACAGAAGTGTCTCAACCTCAAAATATTATTAGGCAAACAAAAGGAACCAGCAAGTGCTTGGAGGTTTCAAGGCGCGATTTGCATCGGTCCATCGTAGCAGCAGGCCTTGGGGGGCAAGCCACTAGTTCCTCGGCGCTGAATCCCGCCCTGCTCCATACGACCCGCACATGTGCATCTCCTGTAGGACTCCTCGACCCGCGACCCAAACCTCGATCGCTCAATAGGCCGGTACCATCATGTCCGGCGAGCACAGCTTCATGGCGACTTCTGGCCCCTCTCCGCCGGCGCCGCCGCTGGCCGCGCAGCCCAGCAATGTCCCCAGCGTCCCCGCGTATGCCCGCCCACCTCCACATCTTTCGGGGAACCACGAAGCTCACAGCAGACAGGCCAACCTCACAGCAGCCAGGGCACCCGTCGTTCAGACGGCAGCGCGCAAGCAGGGCGTGTGAGAGTAAGTGGACTCCGTATCTCGCGATATTTATGCTTCGCGCGCGGTGGGGTGTCGTTGTGGTCTTATATCGCGAATACTTATCCAAACGAATGCCTCGGCACCGAGGTCGACCAGAAGAACGTCTGCTAACCACCGCGTCTTGCAGCTTGCCATGCACGAAAAGTGAGTAATCGGCCAACAATCCCACGGCCTCACCAGCAGCGCGCCGCCTAACAGTGGGCCAGGTACGGTGCGATGCCGCCAGCCTCGGTGTACCCTGCACCAATTGCACCGCCTTCTCCATCGAGTGTCGCATCCCCACACCGAAGCGAAAGAAGACACAGTCCAAGGCGAAAGATGGCGATAGGTACGGCACGCCCAACCCCACCCGCAGGACACGCTGACTGAGGATTCTAGCGACCGTGGCGATAGCCAGAACGAGGTGGAACGATCCCCCGCCGCCAGCACCGCGCAGTCGGTCGACGGCGTGCCTCGAGACAAGACAACGGTATACAACTCCCCGGATGGTACCCCCTCCACCACCGTATCCAGCGCCTATGCTGCTCAGCAAGCCACTCACAATGGGACATATGTGCAGTTCATGAAACCGAAGTTCGCGAGAGCCCCGATCAAGGAAGCCGGCCGCGTCGCCTACCTGGGAGAGTCCTCCAACCTCTCGCTGCTGGTCCACGACCGCTACGGGACGACCGACGTGGTGCACTATCCACTGCCCGAGAATGTGCGCGGCGCGAAAGCCCGTGTGAACGAGCTAGACAACATGGAGATCGAAATCCTGCATCAACGAGGCGCCTTTCTCCTCCCTCCCAGGGCTCTCTGCGACGAGCTCGTGGAGGCCTTTTTTAAATGGGTGGCCCCAGTTGTCCCGGTCATCAACAAGAGCCGGTTTATGCGCCAGTACCGGGACCCCAAGAATCCGCCTTCGTTGCTCCTCCTACAGGCAATACTACTAGCTGGATCACGCGTCTGCACTAACGCCCAGTTGATGGACTCCAGCGGATCGACAACGCCCGCGGCGATGACCTTCTACAAGCGTGCAAAAGCGCTCTATGATGCAAACTATGAAGATGATCGTGTGACCATTGTCCAATCTGTAATCTTAATGGGCTGGTATTGGGAAGGGCCAGAGGGTAATCTTTGTAATGAGCTTTTCCAAACTTTGGCATTGTCTGACTAACCATTTCCAGATGTTACCAAGAACGTCTTTTACTGGAGTAGAGTAGGCATTGTGGTTGCTCAGGGGTCTGGCATGCATCGAAGGTACGCGTGTATGAATGATCACTGTTCACTTCACATTAGTTAACAAGACATAGCGTCGAGGGCTCGCAACTCAGCAAATCAGACAAGCGTCTCTGGAAACGTATATGGTGGACACTGTTTTCCCGTGATCGATCAGTCGCAGTTGCTCTTGGGCGACCGGTTGCCATCAATCCCGAAGACTCTGATGTTGAGATGATATCCGAGGACGACTTCATCGAGGATGAGCCAGACCGACCGGCAGAATCCCCACCAGACCCCGTCCATGTTCACTTCTTCATCAACTATGTCAAACTCTGCGAGATCATGGGTCTGGTGTTATCACAGCAATACTCTGTAGCATCGAAGTATCGGCGGACGAATGCTATTGACCTCACGCATAGCGATATGGCTCTCGCTGACTGGCTTCAACATTGCCCCCCAGATGTGCAGTGGGATAGATCTCGTCATCATTTTTGGGCCGCTTTGCTGCATTCAAATTACTAGTATGTTATAACGCTCTCTGTGTGCTGTCCCCTACTAACCAATTTATTCCAGTACCACACTCTGCTTATTACATCGTGCTCATATGCCTCCGGCTGGGTCACCGAAGACGAACGCTATGAATGGTTTTGAAGAACATGCCTACCCATCGCGCAACATCGCATATCAAGCCGCTGGCATGATCACATCCATCATCGAGAATCTACGAGCACATGATGAGCTGCGATATACCCCTGCGTTCATTGTGTATAGCTTGTTCTCTGCTTTAATCATGCACGTATATCAGATGCGATCGTCCAATAAGTCCATCGTCTCAGCAACGGAGCAGCGACTACAAATATGCATGGATGCATTGAAGGAGGTTTCGAAAGTCTGGCTCGTGGCAAAGATGGTTCACACGCTTTTCGAATCCATTCTTGGAAACAAGCACCTAGAAGAGCGCCTTCAGAAAGCCGCTGGTAAGCGACATCAGAAAAACAAGCCCTCTGCGGGTCCTCCTCCTCCACCCAAACCGGTCCAAGACCTGCCAAAGCGAAAGTTCGACGACATGGATATCGGCTTTCCCAATGGGCCTCCAGCGCCTCAGGTGTCATATGAACGCTCAAGGCCACAGACTCCGGCAGTCACCCCTTCACGAGAATTACCACAGCAGCAAATGCCACATATGAGCGCGGCATCTCCACATGTACCCCGCCAAAATAGCGATGCGTTCATGGGACCGTCGAGGTCAGGTACCCGTCCTACAACCCCTTTCAACACATCCTACTCGTATCCAGGGACACCTCCCGAGCTTTTCTTGGTCACCCGAAATTCTCCGAATATTTCACAAGAGCTTTGGCAGAACTTCCAGCCTGACCAACTATTCCCTGCCGACACACACGTAAACTTTCCCCAGATATCTCCAGTTCAGCATCACAGCCTGGTTGACCCAGCGCTATCTCGGCCGCAGGCGATGGCGATGCATCCTCACAACACGAACTTGCAATCTCAGACGCCCCAACAGCAGATGCCTAGCCAGCAACATATGCAAACTCCTCAGAACGCGGCAATGCATATGCAACCGATAGACTCAAATGATCCGCAGGCATGGGCGCAGCAGATGGATATGATGGCTCAACATCAGCAGGGTGCGGCAACCGATGATGCATGGAGCAATAGTAGTAATGGACGGCATAATCCAATCGTGCCCACGACACTAAACGTGGAAGACTGGTACGTCTTCCTCCAGAACTCTACAGGCGACCACGCGGATCTCCTGAACCTCTACAACCATCCGCAAGCCGCCTATACTGGATGAGAAGGACTAGTTTAGCTGACGATTGATTCGCTTCAAGGTTTCATTTCTTCGGCATAAATGGCGAAAATACTGTGGATGGGTTTGCAGGCGGTTTTTGATTCAAATCGGCACCGTAGCAATGCTTAGGATATGTGCTACTATTCGATTGTGTATCCGGGGTGATGCAAAGTAGTACTCGGGATCCTGTGAGTGCTTAGCGTGTATGGCGCATTGGTCGGCAAATGCTAGGGACCTTTAGGGGTTACAGGCGTGTTCCTCTAAGTGGAGCGGAAAGGGAGCTCAACTTTTTATCTACGAGCTTCAGATACAAAGGTACGGGTTGTATGGCATTCAAAATGTATAATATCAATGGAGACTTATTCTCTAATGTGTATGGGAATAAATGCCATTGTGGTGTTAGTGTCATATTCATTAGAGGACTTGACCACCAGTCAATACACATATCTGTAGACAAGATTAGAGGAGGACTTGGCCTACATCTCACCCTGAAGACAGCCACTCAGAATGGGACTGAAAGTCACTTCAGTCACGTGCTATTGCGCAACCCTTGGCCGCTTCTAAATCAAGCCCCAAACACCTTCAACATCAACCACGGACCCACCTTCATAAGCCACGCACAGCACCCAAATGAGGTAGCGGGCGCTCGGCCCTAGCCCATGCCCCTCCAACCCCACCGCCGCTTCCATTACAGACTCGCCAACTCCGCAACGTATAAATTCTACTCAGATCCGCACAAACTCATGGACGCATTTCGCCTCTACTCCTACCAAACCAGACCCAATCCCCTCCCCAGCCGCGCAAACAGCATGTCCAACTACTCCATAGCCTCCATCTCGAACATCTCCCGCGAACAACTCTCCTCCCAAATCCTCTCTTCCGAATCCGCGCCCCATCTCCCGTCCAATCTTGCCATCATCGATGTCCGAGATTCAGATCATATTGGGGGCCATATTAGGGGGAGTACGCATGTGCCGAGTTCACAACTGGATTATCGATTGCCGGAATTGGTGAGGTTGCTAAAGGGGAAGGAGACAGTTGTGTTTCATTGCGCGTTGAGTCAACAGAGGGGTCCAGCGGCGGCATTGAGGTATTTGAGGGAGAAGGAGAGGTTGGGTGGGGACGGAAGCAAGCGTGAGGAGGATGTGGTTGAGGAGAGCCGAGAGGGGAAGAACGATGCGAGGAACGAGGAGCAAGAAGCTGCGCAGAAGGTTGTTGTGCTAGAGGGTGGGTTTACGAAGTGGCAGGAGAAGTATGGTGAGGATAAGAGGTTGACAGAAGCGTATCAGAAGGATATTTGGGAATTTGGGTATTGAGACTGGTGGAGAAGTGGATGGAGGGCCGGGATAAGCCTTAGAAAAGACGGACAGTCAGGGCGTTACGGGGATCAATGCGGTTTTTTTTTGGGGCAACTGTCTTCGCGGCATGCAGGAAGTGGTCACAATTGTACAATATTACCATTTCCTAGCAATCATATGTATAGCATTGCTGTTCTGCTTTATCTCCCTTACACCAATCAATATGTGTTACTTTCAATCTCAACCCGCCATCCAAAAGTTACAGAATGCTCGCTCAGACCTAACACGCGGCCCCCTGACTCCCATTCAAAGCCTTATAATTCTTCTCCTCGTGTTCCATAATCGCTTGTACTTTCGCCGCACTCGCACTCTTCGGATCAAACCTATAACCCAACCATTCCTTCGCCAATCGCCTCGCAAGTTCGATTCCAATCACTCTCTCTCCCATACACAGCACCTGGGCATCATTACTCATAATTGCCCTCTCCACGGAGAAACTATCATGCGCTGTGACAGCCCTAATCCCGGGCACCTTATTCGCGGAGATTGCAACACCCATACCCGTCCCACAGATTAAGATAGCGCGGTCGCACTTCCCGGCTGCAATAAGCTGTGCAGCGTCGACGGCGATGTGCGGGTAGGCTGTCTTGTCGTGGGTTTCGGGAACCCCGACGTCACTGATTGTGTCCACCCTGGGGTCCGCTTCAAGGTCTTTGATAATGGCCTTTTTGTACGAGACGCCGGCGTCGTCGCACCCGATGGCAATGCGGAAGGGTTTTTGACCGGGGGGGCCGTCCGCTGCCATTTCTATAGTCTGCGGGGTAAATCGAGAAGCTGAGATGGCAAATGGATGTGGAGGTGGTGTTTACAGCTCGCTCGTATCGTACTCCTTTTCTATATCCCTCTTCTTACGCTTGTTCCCAGAAGTCTCAGTCTCTCGAACAACCCTCCCGTTAAGAACCCGTCCAACAGTCCTCTCAACAGTGCGCTCGAACGGCCTAGTCAGAATCTCGACCTTCGTATTCCCACTTGTAGGCTCTGCTCTCTCTACGACTTTCAATGTATTCTTTCCGTCTTGATTCTGGTGTTTGATGCGTTCGTAGAGATGTTCGGCGTTGGAATCAACGTTGAGGGAAAAGACTGCGCGTTTAGGCGGCGCCATTATAAGAGAGCGAGAGCGGCAAGACGGTCAAGAGAGACGGATGATGTAAATTGGAGTCACCACTTTGGACGAGCGGATGTGCTGCTTTAGGTATTCCGAGCGGGAAAAGAGGCACATGGTTTGTGGGGCCCCCGCATTCGCTACTTTGGGATGGCAGGGCTCGTCTCAAGGTTAACCAGATCAATGTCATTATGTCCACTACATCTCGAGGCTACACTACCTCCTGACAGCTTCCGGAGCTTAAGAGCCTTGGGAGCTGAAAACATAAAATTGTGAAGATAGTTTTAGTTTTACCAAATCAAGAAGGCCTCGTGGAAGTAAAACCCAACGTCCCTGACCCCCTGGGCTATTTTGTCAATGCTTAAACTAACAACCAAACTTCAACACCATCATTCGATGCTCACCCATATCCCTCCTCACCACTCAGACAACACACTCCTCCACGCACATCGCCCTAAACACCGCTCTCTCTCTCTTTCCCACATTGACTGCAACAGAATCAAAATCCATAAATAGTTGCTAACCGATACGCAATTCTATCACTGAGGATCCCTTTCCGAAAACTCATTGCGAATGAGAGTCTACATGAGGGTATCATTGTCCGCGTCGAGATTACTCATAGCTTTATCCAGCACTAGTTTTTTTGGGCGCATGAGGATAGCGCGAGCGAGCACGAAAAGTTATTTTTTTTATCCTAAAGAGAAGAGAGGGGTTGAGTTATGAGTTCAGGCGGTTAGAGGCTACGGTCGTTGTCGCAGTGGCTGTCATAGGATAATGATTCAGCAAGTTCCAGAGACAGAATCTCGCGAGCGCATTGTAAATCTAGAAGTCGGTGGTCTTGTTTCCAGGATGCATGTTCCACTGGGTTGAACCTTCGAGTTGGTAGGGCTGTTAGGTGAGAGCAACGAGCCGAGAACAGTGAATCAACAGAGGGATGCAGTGCGAGGGAGCCCGTCGGTGGTGATTCTTCCTTATGTTAGGTCCACGAGGCGATATCAGGTCATAAGCAAGGATGTTTTATCACTGTAGCCACGGACTCAATAAGAGACATGCTGCAGGCTGAGGACGAGCGAACGCACCTTCCCGTACGTCCGCAGGTGCCAAATTTGGTTCCTGGTGCGATTTTAAATGACAATGTCGGTTCTGTGAAAGGTTAGTCGTGACATTCCGTTACGTTCCCAAACATCCTACCTATACAGCGCCGTCACGTTGGAAACCTCGATACCCCCCTTCGCAGGCCAATGTTCTAGCTCACCTTCAACGCAAAGGCGACGAGTAGAGGTGCCATAGCCCGACCATAAATCCTAGCAAGAGAATAAGCCATCGCTGAATACCGGGGAGAAGATAGTAAGACTTCTGCAATGCATCGAAATTTAAACACCGTTGTTGGAGCTAGTGTTACTATTTAACTACTATGATGTTGTCGAGCCCTTCAGTTGATTCTTGGAAAATAGAGTAGAGCGAAGAACGGGCTTTCATTTCGAGAAGTCGGAGATAGTTAGCATGTATTGAACCTACCAAGGAGTGATTTCATCGTTACTGAAGGAAGATCTTGGTCAATATACTGTATATCTTGAGCAAAGCTCTAAGGCATCGGATATGTGCTGATTCAGGGTAACGTGAGTATCATCGGTATCATGCATCGCTTGCCTCGTACTCCGCTATTGGCTCATTTGAATTTATTCCACTTCTTCGTACATACTGAACAGCCGTATCCAGAAGATAATTATACAAATTCTGCTGCGAAATGGGAATGAATTTCAAGACACGGGCCTAAGAAGCATTAACTATGCTATTTAAATCCTTGATTCGAGTGTTGGTACCAAATTGATCCAATGACGGAAATCAACCCAATCAGTGTCACTCTACGGCAGCGACAGCGAATATTCTTACGTAGTGAAACGTCCTTGCTTTTGGCCGAGTCCCTTCCGCCTCAGACCATTGCTCCAACCACACGGCTAGATACAAGTGAATTAAGACAAGCAAAGGAGGCGAAGAGAAGAAGAGATTGACTTGCACAATTTTCCAATGCTGCATCGGATGCATGAATGTCAAGGAATAGCGCGAATCCCCACCAGCTGGCCGAAATAATGTAGTGATTGTACAGGCTCCAGTCACCAGTCTGTCACGTAGTACCTGTTGAAGAATCCCAGGAAGCTGCACCAGTTAGTTGATACGATTGAGGCTTCGATCCCTTTGCAATTTTCTTAATCTTTGATTTTAGGGTGTTAAAATTGGTCTTGATGTGCCCTTATATGGCCTGATATGGAATACTTCTCCGTTACTAGCCATGGCTACGACTTGATTCATGAAACGCAAAGTATTCCCTGGCGATGAAAAGTTCCCTACGTTTGTAGAATGGTGAATGGAAATATTTGCCTAAATGACTTTCCCCAATGATAGTCATCCTCATACCCTTAAACGTACTATCATGACTCAAATGGCTGTGACAAAAACGGGTTTCCGTCTTCGGACCCATACCGCTAATATACTATCCAGAATTACAAGCTTATTCCCAAGAGCAGACATCTCGAACGAGTGCCTGCGTGTCGGCATTGACATTGGCAATACCGTGATATTCACACTGGCGTAGGAGGCAAGAATTTTTGAAGATAGGGACGCCCTTCGCATATTAAACGTTGCTTCTGCCCACCACTCAATGCAGTTCGTTGGCTTCCCACGCTTGACCCATCTCGTTCTTTAATCGACTCAAATTGCCACTCCAACGCACCAGCCTGAGCTGCACGTGCGTGCCATTGAGCATCATGCTCCATCTCACCAATTATCATGCCTCTCGTGGCCCGATTACAAAACCATGGGGTCTGAGGGCAATACGGAATGGGCATACTTGTCACAGAACCTGACCCAGTAATGCACAGCAATCGGCTAAAGCAATGCCTTCATGAAGAGAGTCTTTCCCACATCCTGAAGACTCGCTAATATAATGAAGGACGGGATTTCAACAGTAAGTTCGATATCTTTGATAGTAAACCTCTGTTTGCCTGGGACGCTGAAGGCACTGTTGGAAATGTTAAGCAATGGCTTATTTTGATCTAGTGGAACAATATCGAGGTATTCCATGGAAGCAGATTACTGGTGAATGAAGGTGCTATGGAAATACCACAGTCTTGTGAGTAACACCCGAAAGACGAACATTGGGCTTGCTACTTCTTTGTCAAGATAATGGGACGGCCTTTGCAAGCATTTAGCTGGCCCCTTAGATTGGGGTTGAGGCGAGTCTCTCCTCCTCGGCGTAATCCTATACATCAGACTGGGCTTTCCGATGAAGAATTTTTGTCTGGTTGACAGTTTCTCGTTTCTAGGGGCAAGATGAGCAGATTCGAGGGATCTTTCAAGTCGGCTTAAGCAGCTGAGAAAAGCAGCGAGTCCTTGCAATGAAGCTATGAAGGAGATAGAAAACTGCTCAATTAAGGGAATAAGCGGCAGTGACGCGAATGCTTTGCTGATCGAAATTTGACTCTGGGGGAGTGCTGCAAACACTGCGAACGTGATGACAGGAGCAGAGAAATCAGGAAGATTGGCTACAACACATTCTGAATTGGAATTTTCCAGGTGTTTGAGGGAAACTAAACTATCAAATTCATCTCACCCGTAAGTTTTCTGGGGTTCGATTTGTGGATCTTGAGATCTCGGAGCACCTGAAGATCGGTGAGCATGTACTTCATGGAACCCATTAATTTAATAGATTTTATGATTCTAGTAGGAATGAGGTGGGCGATATTCTTGCCTGGGTAGCTTTATTCGACATGGCTTGTCTTGACTCTATTTCCCGAGAGATCGACGCAGCAAACCTGGTGTATACTGAGAATGTAAGCATGTAATCTCAGTAGATTACAATTTCAAGCTTACTACAGGCGATCACCACCGAAACAATGCAAATGCTTCCAATCTGATGTTTCAGATCTGATAGAACGACACATATCTCAGTGAAACCAGTCCATAGATTGTTCATGGTAGAAACTGCAGCAGTTGCTCCATCCACGTCAACTCTCATAGGGGTGATCGGTGCTGTTCCATTGAAATTATCGTGTTGCGATGCCAATGTCTCCGCGAACAGCAAATAGTCTAATGCCCGGGGAAGTTCGGTGACAACTGTATAGTTCTTGTATTGGTAGTATGCAATGCTCACAGTCAGGGTAAAGTATAGAAGACTTGTCGCTGAAATAATACAACGGCCATCATTGCGACAGCATCCAAAAGCAGACTCTTTCATGATGGCAACTATGGCTTGGAAAAGTGCTGGCCGCGTGTAACGGAAGCATATAATAGCGATGCGATGAAGGATGGGAACTAGAACAGACCCCTTGAAAGCGACGAGACAACCTTTTAATAACTGGCGATGTCTGGTGCTAGGGCATGATACTTCTCCAGCGGATATATCTACTTGCCTTAGGTCTCGACAAACAATAAAATAATATTCACACTAAGACAGGTTGATGGGGTAGCGCCAAGTTCGAGGTTGAACTGAAGCCACAAGGTCCAGACTTGCAGAGCATCGAACGCAATGGAGAAAAAGAGGTAGGTATTTACTCTATCAGAGCTTCTAGGAGACCGCAAGTGTTCAGACAAGGAGAGGGCATCTAGATTTAAGATGACGATTACGGAAAGAGCTTTGGAGGGAGGCTTGTCTTCGTGCGTTTCCTGAGAGATGGAATAGACGAAGGACATGATCTGGGGAGCAAACAGGGAATAGTATAGGACCTAGGCGGGCGGCCCGGAGCACCTTCCTCAGATTAAGGGTAACCTTGCTTGAAGTACGTGAAGTACTTGATGGCATTGTGGTTTGTTTTGCTCTTCTCACCCCAGGCCCACCATCCCCGCAATGGCATGAGCAGAAGCAATAAAGCTGATGGTGAGAGGGATAAAAGGCTCTACTCAAACGAGAGTGTGAGGTCAAAGTCCGGCTGGCAATCTTGTAGCGCGGGCCCGATAGCGTGGTCACTCAAGCGTTTCCAGCGCATCGTCCTGAAGCTATAAATGATGAATGACTTGGAACGTGCCCATCAGATAGGGGAATGCATAAGAGCATGAGGAGAAGAAATCCACGAGTAGGAGAACACAATTGTTCGAAAAGAGGGTTCAGGCAGCTACAGCTGCAGCAGGAGGCGAATGGAAGATAAGCGGATTGCATGCCTGAAACGGCAAGTGCATGTTAATATTACTCAGCAAAACTGCGAATCGCTTCAAATAAAAAATTTGCCAGAGACGTGATAATATCAGCCTCGATATTCGATGGTCTCGTATTGGACATACCAACGCACCGTCTATCCACTGTGTGTCTGTCAGGCCTCCAACATCTCCTTCCAATGCAAGGTAGACGTGTTCCCGCGTCCCAAGTGCCAACACGAAACAAATGCATATATTTTTGGTCGTCTAACCACCTTCATGTAGCATAATCGTGTCGGCCATACGTCATCTGCTCGTGAAACGACTGAAGTCTATGCCTCAGGCGTGAAAATGCCGTCGGGTACCTGTGACGTGAAATTGAATGCAAAGAAATTGCTACTGACGAAATATGTATCGGTCAAGGGTGAGAAGCCTTTATAAGTCCAAAGAGATTCTATGCAAGGTATCGTGATGCAATGTGTTGGCTGGAGCTTAAAGAATCCAACAGAAAGCACGCCAAGCATGGAAAATCAATCACGAGGGAAGCAAGGAGTGGAGGGAAGTCCAGCACTACAACTCATGTTGTTGGACATGCTTGACGGCATCGTAAAGTTCCACAGCCTTCTCGTTTTTCATCTTGTTAATGTCAGTCGATGATCCTTTTTGGAAGGGAGCACCCCCTTTATGGATATGTACGGAACATACTTTGAGCGTGTGCATTTCAATGCCGCCATCAACTGTAGGAATGTTGAAGTAAACCTTTCCATCGGCCGGTTTCAATCCTTCTGGAGTTCCGAATTTTAAAGTTTTTGTGACTGCGGCATTGAGAAGAAGTCGGTGCGTGCCATCTGCTCGAAGGACGAAGCGAGCCTTCTTTGGTGCGTCTTTCGAGACATTCAGTTTGAAGGGGCCGACGCCACGCTCTTGCCATTGTTTGGACGTTCCTTGGACGACCATAGAATATAGCTTGGCTCGTCCGCTCCACGCCGTGTTCTCCCCTTCCTCGCCTGTCTCCACTAGTTTGTTTGTTAGTTGGGAAGCACTCGATATTACATACAAACCTGACTTACCCTCTTGCTGATGGAAACGAGGGTCTTGCTCTGAGGCTTCCTTGTCCGAAGCCGAGTCTTCGTCATTCTCACCATCTTCATCATCTTCCTCTTCATCCTGGGGAGATGCACCAAACACTCTCTCATGTTTGGCCTTCAGCCCAGTTATGCCCTTGACGCCAGGAGTGGCGAAGGATGCTAGCGTCTTTGAGCCTCTGAGATTAGCAAAGGCGCTCTGGCTGCTGAAGCCAATCCCAGTGCCATTGCCAAGAGTCCCACCAAATACAGACTTATTCCCCGTTGCAGGCGTTGCTAGGCTCCCGCCGAAGACCGATTTACTTGAACTGTTCGCTAGAGCGCCAAACCCACCTTCTGACACACCGGAGGAACTAGAAGGTGATGCAAAACTCGTGAGCTTTGCCCCCGCTGGGGCGAAAGGTGAGTTTGATCCAGAACCACCGAGAGCGCCAAAAGGGGATGACGAAGCACCGGCAAAGTTGCCAAACCCAGACTTTTTGAAATTCTCGTCCGAAGTTTGTGGAGCGTCATCCACCGTCTTTCTGGAGCCGCTTGAAGCGGGCTTGGTGGGTGACAAGGCGGCAAATGGTGATGGTGATGGTGCCGACACCTTCGAGCAACTACCAGTTGCTGGGATCTGCAGAGTAGTTAGCAAAAGTGTCCTAAGGGGTTAGTATACAAGACCTGCATTGGGCGTGTCTTCCTTTACCTCCGCCAGTGGCTGCGGTTCACTCTTGTCTCGTTGTCGCTTTGGATTGCGCTCTTCTTCTGCCTTGACGGAAGACTCGGACTCTTTCAAGGAATCGGCGGCTAAGCCGGAGCCAACGTCTCGGTCCAATGCGTCGCGGGTGCGTTTGTTCTTGGGACTGACGATCGCAGCTTCATCCATATCAGGCTTCCTGCCTTCAGGAGTGACAGGTCGGTTCGATGTAGAATCATGATCTACTGCCGGCCTGTCGATAGAAATCATGGTCTCATCTCCCTCATTTTCATTGATTGGGGCAACCAGCTCATTCGCTGACCTCTCTACAACTTCGGGGGTCTCGGCCGGAGGGCTCGTAACGTCCCGAGACTTCTTGCGGGCATGGCGCTCATGTTTTTCAGGCTGTTTTTCCGCTCCATGGTCGACCGTGAAGTCCTCGAAGCTCCTCTTACGTCGTAAGCGGCCCCTATCGCTCTCAGATCCAGATGTGCTTTGATCTCCGGCCTGTGTTGAAGCGTGGTAGGTTCCATTGGGGGCATCACTCATAGGCAAATCAGAACTCGAAGGCAGGTCAGAGGAATTCTGGGCATCGATTCTAGTCTCCTTCAACTTTTCCCTAACGGGCCTGCCTTCACTCTCGCTACTCCCGTCGCTTCGGGTGGGTGAAGCCGGCATGCTCGACTTTACGGTCGGCTCTTGAGGCTCGATTGCAGGGTCTGGAGATTCGGTAAAAGTTTGCGGCGCCTCATACCGCTGCGTTGAGCGCGCCATGGGCGAGAGGGAAACGCAGCACGGGATCCTTTTCGGTATGAGTGGGTAATTGGTTGGTGGGACAATTTGTGCGCCGGACGGCGGATAAACTAAGATGGGATAGGGACAGTTGACCAGCTGTAGGAGGGGCGAAGTGGAGCAACAGCGTCGGTTGAGAGAGTGGGTGGTGAATCAACAACTAGTAGTGGGGGAGCGTTGTTAGCAACGGTGATGGAGGGAAGACAGGGCAGGCGAGGGCGTCATACTTTGATGAGGCTCAGCGCCGAGGTGGAGGGCCTCCAGGCTGCGTCGAGGCACGCAGTCTTGCTTGACACGGGATGATGACAGGCGATGCTTTAGCGCAGTATAGGCACTGGGGAAGGGTTGCGGCGTGCGGAAAGGGATAGGAGAGTCTCGTGCCGGTGAGGTTGTTTCTTCGGAGGAGGGTCAAAGCGGCCGACGCTTCGCTTTGTTGGCAAGCTGCAGCCCTGCTCGCCGACTCAGGCCGCCTCCCGCGCCAATACCTCCGGTGTGGGCTGCGGACTTGGACACGTCCTGCGCGATCGCGTAGCTGTGAGCACAAGCGGTGGGATGCGCGTCTTGGGCTGCTGAGTGGACGAGAGCGGGTGTGATCTGGCGCTTCGACGTGGTCGAGCTGGTCGAGGTGGTGTTGTCGGAAGCAGGTCGAGGCCAATGACGACGGCACAAAATGGCGGGGGAAGACCGCGCCTCAACTTTCACTACCATTCGCTCACCTGCAGTTGTCATGAACCGCACTACTTATGACAGTCACGGTTCTGGTTATGAGGCGTAGAAATACAGGTACAGGAAGTGTACATTGTCAATTCTCAATTGTTCTCTCATGGAGGCGCTCCTTAGGCCGACCAAGAGGGCGACAAGAAATGCTGGTAGGATTGCAACCCTTCATTCTCAACACAGCGCGATACTGTTACAGACCCAGGAAATAACAGCGCTAGCTGATGAAGCAGATGCATCCAAGCGCAATATAAAATACAAAAAGAGGGTATACTGCAATTCCAACGCGATTCCTGACCACTCCAGACCCGCCCATAATGCTGACCCCAGCTGCTATTGACCACGCTACAAGGACGAGATATATGGGTATCCGGGGAATCGGGTGTAGGCCGATGGCGCTCAACACGGACGCGATAACGAGAGGGAACAGCGTGTAGCCGATGATAGAGACGGATTGGAAGAAGGAGCTGAAGCTGTCAGATTAGTGCTTCCCGATGTTGAGTCAGGGCAGACTTGCATATTTCCTCCAAGCAACTTTATCTGCAACGTCACCACCGCTTCTCCTATCCATACCATGGCAAAAATGCCCGAGAAGACCAGTTCCTTTTGGGAACCTTGTGCGCCTTTGGACAGGAACAGACTCAGGAGGAGGCAGAAGACGAGAGGACCCCTATTGCCAGTCAGTGCTGCATTTAGCACCTATTAGATTCCAGAACTTACCATAGATCCCAATCCCGCAGCCCCTCGCTCATCCCTCCTTGTAAAATGACGTCTGCATCGGGCCATCTCCCAGCCAGGCCTCTGACCCCACCGCCAAACCCGTCAGCCTCGCCCCGTTCTGCAGCGCCGATTCCGCCACCGCGCGGCATCATGCCACCGAGCAAGTACTTGGGATAGAGCACCTGCTTCATCTTCTCCCAGATGGCCAGCAGGTCTCTGGACAGCGTCTCCCATACGGTCTCATCGATGGTGTTAGTCGGGGCGCGCCGATCTTCGCCGGGGATGGACGAGGTCAGGTATGACTGGGTGTTTGCGCCGCCGGGCCGCGAGTGGATATTTCCTGTGAGCGGGGCACGATCCGACGTGGATTGGAGTGGGTCATCCAGGTCATCTAGAGTGGCTTTTGTGTGTGAAATTAGCATGTGGACAATAAGAAAGCTATAAGGGCCGCGTCGGCAAGCTCGTACCGTCGTCTGGGTCGATGAGGTCCCGTTCCACCGCATCACTGTTATATAGGGTATTCGAGGTCGAGGAGCTGGGAAACATTGCCGCCATGCTTTATATGACGCGAATATTTGTGCTGGTGTCGGGGTGCTAGCTCCAATCGGCAGCTTGCAAGGCGTGCGCTGAGGAGATTGAGGCTCTTTCGCTGCGTAGGTGAAAGGCCAGCTTTCGGGATCGGGGCGCCAGATTTACCGGCAGGCGGATGGCCTACTCAACCGAGGAAAGCGCGCCACCAAAAAGCTTGTTCTATGAACTTGCGAAACGCCTTCTCTATTTAATATATTAGGCCTGTGAATGCCCGTTGCATGCGCTTCTCTCAGCACCAAATAAATACATCGCTGGCCGGCACCGCAGCTTGTATTGAAGAAAGCCGCCCACCATGTCAGAGCCGATCCTGAACGACATCTCCCACCGTCGCTTCAATCTGCTGCGCGGAAGCTGGGTGCTGGTGTCTCCGCATCGCAACAAGCGACCATGGCAGTAAGTCATGGCGAAACATAGGCGCAAACTTAACATTGACACTGACTAAATTCTATAGAGGACTCCAGGAATCTCCGTCTAAAACGACGCTGCCCGAGTATGATGAAAAGGTACTGTCTAATCTCTGACTTGATCGATCCTTCCCTTTTGGTACTACCCTAACACGTGACAGTGCTACCTCTGCCCTGGGAACACGCGCGCTCAAGGCCAGCAAAACCCCAAATTCGACAGGACATTCGTCTTTGTCAATGACTTCAGTGCAGTCAAGGAAGAGCAGACTGAGTACCACCCGGAGCGCAAAGAGGGAAGTGTAGCTACTCGTCTTCTTAAAGCCGAGTCTGTCACGGGAAAATGCTATGTCATCACATTTTCGCCATCCCACCACCTTACTCTAGCGGACATGACTCCAGCACAGATTGTGCCAATCATTGAGACCTGGACGAATCTGTACACAGCACATCTGAACCCACAATCGACACTTGCACAAGTTGCCAGTGCCAGTACAGTGCCGCCCCTCGGCCAGACTGACCTTGCAAAGCCAAATGCGCAATATCGGTACATGCAGATCTTCGAGAACAAGGGAACGACCATGGGCTGCTCCAATCCTCATCCACATGGCCAAATATGGACTACAACATCTCTACCAGAAGAGCCAAGCCTAGAAATGGAGCAGTTACGGAAGTACAAGCTGGAACAAGGAGGGGCTCATCTCCTAGTAGATTACGCAGAACTGGAGTCTAAGGAGAAGGAGAGAACTGTGTTTGAGAACCGCTCATTCTGGGCCGGATGCCCATACTGGGCAGTGTGGCCTTTCGAGGTCATGATCGTGAGCAAGCAGCACAAGAGGGCTTTGGTCGACTTTGACGAGAAGGAGCGAGAGGAGCTGGCAGAGGCAATTGCGGAAATCACGAAGAGATACGACAACTTGTTCGAGACTCAATTTCCATACAGTACGCGTTGCCTGCCTAAATGAAAGTAAATATGGTTGCTGATAAAATCTAGGCATGGGATTGCACCAGGCTCCACTTGATGGGTCAGAAGATGAGATTGAGGCTAGCCACTTTCACATCCACTTCTTTCCCCCATTGCTGCGTAGCGCAACGGTCCGAAAGTTCCAAGTTGGGTACGAGATGCTCGCGGAACCGCAGCGAGACATCACCCCAGAGCAGGCGGCGGAACGCCTCCGAAATTGTGGTGGTGAGCTGTACCGGAAGAAGTTGTAGAGATGGGCGGACGCATCTTCCTAAGCCTTAGTTCAGTTCAGATCTGATCTCGGACTCTTCAGATCCCCGTCAACCTTGGCCTTGGACAACCACCAATATTTTGGATCTTCTCTGTACATTATAGACAGCATTCGCCCTTGATACCTCGGTAGATAGAGGCAGGGGTTCGATATACCCATGGATTCAAAGTCCCCATCCTTACCGGTTGAAAATTTTAAACTTCGAAAATGTGCTCCTCTTGCCCTGAAAAGAAGACAAGTGACAAATTACCCATCGTGTAAATTAAATTCCACTCTCTGAGATGTTCATGGCCGCTTGCAATTCTTGAACTAGCAACCCGACCGCCTCTCTCTCACTTAATCACATAATCACGCAAATTCTCACAGAATTACCTCAATTACCTCAATACGACATTGAAAGTCGTCATCTCATCTTAGCCACATGCCCAAAATACTACCTCGCGTGCCCACCTTCCTCTACAGTTCAGAAAGCCCACCTACCTCCAAATTCTTTCTCCTCAGCTGTGGACATAGAAATCCTTCTGCAACCACATCCACGCCAGACTCCCCGTGCTCACGAACACAGGTCCCGCAAGTCCTGCGCCCCACCGCGCTGTCCCAAAAATCCACCACTCGCTCATGAAGTGCCCCCAAGCGATAGCATATGTCCAAAGTGCCAATTGGTATATCAATGGATCGTTGATATGATACGCTGCGTATAATCTAATGATAGACGAAAGGAACGTCCAGGTACCAAACGTGCGCGCACTAAGTGGCGTCACCGGTGAAGAGGTCTCGGGCGAGGATGCGCTGGGCTGCTTGAGGGTTCGGGATAGGCCGCCGGAGGGGGGCGAGGGCGCTATCACGCTGCTATAGACGCGCTGAGTGTAGGATAGCGTGCTGTAGGCTTGGATGCTGTTTGCGACCGAGATCACAGAGACCTGAGGTTGTTTAGCGGACATTGCGACGTGCGATGCATGCAAGGGGTTTTACTAGGAGAAGCCATTTGGGGAGGAGACCTTCAAAGGGTGGGAGATGGGATGTGAACGCGGACGACATTTGGCTTGAAGCGATGATCGAGGATCAGTGAGAGATGGGCAAGATTTGTGAGTGGTGAGATGAACGAGGTCGTTCATGTTGATAAACATTCGACGCTGGCTGGCTCCAGTTACTGTGATTGGTTGGTGGTCAGTGCTGAGAAAGCCAAGTCGAAGCTTCTCTTCACCTTCCACCTTGAAACCCTCTTTTGCATCCATCGCTTCTTATCATATTCACTGTCTCTGCAGTACACACACCATGATATAGGCACAAGCGTACCTCTGCGTAGAGAACCAACAACCCCAGTACCTCTTTCACCACCAAGAACGGAACATTCCTTGTTGATGGATCGACGAGACTTATATCCCGACTCGACTGAGCAGGCTCGGGAATGATCTCTCCCTTCTAAACGAAGCATTCCACATCAGACTTCCGACCTCCCAGAGCTCAACGTCGCGTCAAGTTCCTCGTACGCCAATTCGGCATCTATAATCCAATGAACTCGCTGCAGAGCAACGAAAAGCCACAGGTAATGGAGCACCCTGATGTCATACGATTCTCGGACGTTCATTCTTTCATCCCCTCCTATCATTGAGCGCCTTCCACATAACCCCTCTGTTTCTCACCAGAGTCTTCCCTTGCCCACATTTTCTCCCCACACATTATTCCATCGGGCTTGATGGGGCAGAGACTTCAGACCTGACAACCCCTGTCCCACGTATTCGTTAGTGCAGTGCAAGGACTTCGTCTTCCATTTCGGGATCATTAAGTGCAAACACTTTACCTTTCTCTTCAGCATCCCCCGCGGAACCGCCTTTCATGGCAGGGCTGTATCTCGATTTACCTTTAGCTTTCAGCCCGCTTCCAAGATCCTAGTTGCAAGAGCAAGCGCAACCCCATATAACTCCATAGTGCGATAATGAGGCTGCCTTGACCGACGTCTAGACACCCGACCACTGCACCTCAAGTGCGTAGCTAGAGTTATCAATCTCTAATAGCGATTGGGCACTTTGAGCATTGGAACAGTAGCAGGCGAGAGCCGCCGCAAGAAATAGATGTGTGGGAGGGCGAGGGAGCTTGACTACCAGTCAGCCACCTTGACAACCTTGACGATTGTCCTGATGTTTTTCATCTTTTCTCTGCTGCCGCAAGCCACAAGCGCACCTTTTTAGGGGCTCGAATGGCGACCACGGACACTCCGGGGGCGAAAACTTAAGGCTGGAATGCCTGGAGGTCTTGCAGACGAATCTTGTCACGGATATAAAATGGAGGTATCCCTCTGAGTTGGCTATGCAAAGTAAGAAAACTTTTCGAGTCTCTTACTAAGTTTAAGGGGAGAATTAAAAGGAAATTTCTCACTTCTCGTTTCCCAACCTTGAACAGGACTCTAAGCAGGCGTGGCTACACCCATCATACTGTTTTCTTCATCCGATTCATTTAGAAGTCATGCCTGCCTTCTTCCTCTTTGCGCTCTTCGCGTCCACTGTAATCCCCACGGTATCAGCATCCTGTAACCAACCAAACGGACCAAGTTTCTTCTGCTATGCATACGGAACATGCAACACCGATCCTAACGACCCCAACTACCTTGAGCTGATCTTTCGGCCTGCAGAAACATGGCCTGAAGACACGACACTCAATGCCGTTATCAACTATGATGGCAGCCCCCACAATGACCTGAATCCTGGCATCTTCTACTCTGATGGTTCGGGTTACGCGACTGTTAGCTATGACGTGTTGCTGACAGCTATCCCAAATGGGGCGGTAGTTCAGCAGACAGCGTTGATTACGGGGTCAAGTTGCACATGGACGGGGGTTGTGAGTTATACGCAAATCCACCAGTCTACGGTTACCAGCACCGATTCGTACACCACGGCTACGTATACGACTGCTGCTCCGCCCATCAGTAGGACGCTCCTATCTTTGACTCTCTCCGAAAGCTGGCTAATACCTGGAACAGCAACAACCTCTACTATTACGGCCACAGACTCGCTAACGACAACTCCAGCTACAGTTACAGCGACATTCATTACAGGGTACAAGACCATCTATGCCCCTCGAATCACAACGACAAAGACTTCCACCATCACTCCTAAGCCCGTCACCAGGTACACATCATCGGTATCCAAGGTTACAACGACTGTGACCTGTCTTGGTGGCCAACAGAAGCGAGGGATTAGTCAGAGACGACATGCTCCGAATGTGCTAATAGGCAGAGCCGCAGCTCCAGGTTATGAGACACCTAACTGCGGTCCCGTGGTCGTGCAGACCGTCTATACAAGTACAATCATCGTCCCGGTATTGACAACTACAACTGGTAGGTCCCAAAGCTCCATTAGGCCCCATCTACACTCTTCCTTCTTCCAATCTAACAGCGCCCAGCGACATCCACAGACTACACAACCACAACTACAACTACAACCACCGAAGCTCCAACACCTACATCTTACGTCTCGGTCCGGGGCACTATCACTACTACTCTAACACGCACAATCACTAAATGGAGCATTCTTAAGCCACTAACGACGACGAGCTCGAAAGTGATTACGGTCATAGTCACCAAGTTCCCTGGTGGCAAGATTCCACGTAAATGTACAACCAGTAAGCCCGGTAATCCGACAGGGCCCGGAACGGTGTGCAAACCGAGTGCTACTGCGAGGTAAAATACGATGCAGAGGGGAATTGGAATGAGGTTCGGAGGGGTGGTGAGACGTGATGACAAGAGCATGGTCGACGAGAAATTGAGCATATGGAACGAGAATTATGTAATCACTTACATGGAAGCTTAGGTAGTGATTTACATGCCATCGGGTAATTCTTCTGTGAGTTCCTCCAAAACTGTGTCATAAAATATTAGATTCCCATGATTAGAATTTTAGATGCAGTGTGAAAAATGTGAGCCACTGCCTAGCATCCCCAAGACGGTTTTGTGAATTGCAATCTCTCCCACCTCGAGCCTTTATATGGGCCTTTGGAAGACGATGCGTGTGCTAGTTGACCCAGCCAAATTAGGCGTCCGTTGTCAACATTTAGAGTATTGTTAACGCCGTGCAATTTTGTCGAAGGCAATCCATTTGAAGGTGCATTCCACTTGCATTTTTAACCTGCCTTGACGGTGGCCATTTTATCCAGCCAAGGGCTTTCATTGATCATAGAACTGCCAGAACATACACGGCCCTTAGGACTCCTTATTTCCTGAACCAATATGCAGAGTTGACCGATCCCGCATCCCCAGCCACCCCTCTACTGCAATACCGCATCTTGCCATCTCGATTCCATCCCATACATCTTTATCATGCGCCTAAAACTTGGTGAACGACTTGACAGCCTTGCCGGTTCGTGGAAGTACACGGAGAACATTGAAGCGAACGGTCTTGCTGAGCGGTCGACATTGGCCAACAACGACCTGGTCACCTGGCTCGACACGGAACGCGGGAGAGACATGGGCAGCGAGGTTCTTGTGGCGTTTCTCGTAACGGGAGTACTTCTGGATGAAGTGGAGATATTCGCGGCGGATGATCAGGGTTCCTAGGGTTTCATCAGCGTCCGCTAAATCGAGCCTTGCTCCAACCCTATCCCTTCATTGGGGTTATTATTTTAGGACAGGCCTTCACGTACGGTGCATCTTGGTGGAGACAACGGTTCCGGTGAGGATACGTCCTCGGATCGACACCATACCCGTGAAGGGGCACTTCTTGTCAATGTACGAGCCCTCAATAGCCGTCTTGGGGGTACGGAACCCAAGCCCGACATCCTTATACCATCGCCTGTTTCGGGTGTTCTTGCGCGGTCCGCTGGCCTTGTGGTTGAGGAAGATATGGGGCTAGAAGGAGTGAATCAGCGTTGGGAAGGTATGGAAGTGCGTCGATTTTGTGTACCTGCTTCTGGTAAGCGCGCTCCGACTGGACACTGCAGTCCTAAATTAGCACTGTGAATGAATAATGGCCATATGCGATACGTACGTGAGCTCTGTGGCCATGATTGCGGGCGGGATATGTTGTCGTTCTGAAAGTGAGGTTTGCGAAGAAATCGCTAGTTGTGGCCGACTTCGCTTACCACGGGGACATGATTTTCCGATGCGATGCGCCCTCCCTCTTCGGGACTAGTGGAAGCTCAAGATGTCACTCTGGCATAACACAATTGACGAGGGCATTCTTCTTCACCGCATGCACTACCCTTTACCATGGGTTCTCTCGCAAAGCTCACCGATTCATTTGGAGTCCATATAGATGGCAAATCTCCCATCACACAGGTCATTGTATCTGCCATTCTCCTTGCAGGCATATACTCCGTTTGCAAGCCTATCCTAAGCTATGTCCGACTTATTCTCAGCTTGTTCGTACTACCAGGTGAATCGGTGCGTTAGCAGCTCAATGAATATTAGGTCATACGTGGAATCTAACAAGAACTGCAGCTCACTAAATTCGGACCCAAAGGCTCCTGGGCTCTGGTTACCGGTGCTTCCGATGGCATTGGCAAACAATTCGCTCTCACACTCGCTTCGAAAGGATACAACTTAATCCTCGTGTCACGCACTGAATCTAAACTTTCCATTCTCGCTTCCGACATATCCGCTAAATATGGCAGAGTCTCCACTAAGACACTAGCCATGGACTTCGCCGTCAATAACGACATTGACTATAGCAGGCTCCAAAAACTCATCGAGGGACTTGATATCAGTATTTTGGTAAACAATGTTGGACTCAGCCACTCTATTCCCGTGCCATTTGTGGAGACGCCGCATAAGGAGATGACGGACATCATCATGATCAACTGTCTCGCGACTCTGCGGGTAACCCAGCTCATCGCCCCAGGCATGATCTCCCGCAAACGAGGTCTGATCCTTACGATGGCCTCTTTCGGCGGCGCCTTCCCTACTCCACTCCTTGCAACGTATTCCGGAAGCAAAGCTTTCCTTCAGCAATGGTCCACAGCTCTCGGCTCTGAGTTAGCACCCCACGGTGTTCGTGTCCAGGTCATTCAGTCCCATCTCATTACAACCGCAATGTCCAAGATTCGGAAGTCCTCTGCACTAGTGCCGAGCCCAAGACAATTTGTGAACGCTGTGCTAGGAAAGATTGGCCGGAGTGGCGGTGCGCAAGGCATCGCGTTTACGAGCACCCCTTATTGGAGTCACGGACTAATGCATTGGGTTCTGTCAAGCTTTGTCGGAGAGAGGTCGAGATTTTTAGTAGATAGGAATAGGGTCATGCATGAAAACATTCGGAAACGGGCATTACGCAAAGCAGAGAGGGAGGCCAAGAAACGATAGAGCTAAATAAAGACCACATTTGGTAACGAATCCAAGAGTGCTAATTATCGTTCTTGTTCGCATAATTTTTCAATCACAAGAAGTATATCAAAAAACTATGCTTTCTGTATAGCTCAATGGCCCGCAGTCTCAGCTCCTAGTAACTTTGTTCTTCAGCATTAACTTCAAGATCTTGCCGCGCTCTTGATATAATACACGCATCATGCGTTGCAATTCTGGCCAAGTCTATGATACTGGGCTTCAACGCACGTGACTGCGCGTGGCTCACCGCTTTGAGACAGGTCCCGCCTAGATCTTAGCCCAACTTCAAACCTTCCCAACTCCCAACTCCTTAGCTCGTAGACTCCAAACCCGCGAGTCTATACTAAGATGCATGTATCTCCTTCGTTAAATACTAATGCTACTTTAAATACCCTTCCTAACCCCCGTGTAGGACCCAAGCTCTAGCACAGGTCGCATTCCAAGGCAGCAAACGTAGTCGTGAGGACGATAGGCAGAAACATGTAAACCCAGAGAAGCGCCAGAGGCTCCAAGAGACGGAACAATGGTTCCGATTCCTCGATCTGCCCGGAGGTTTGTTCTATACACCCTTCAGCTTGGCTCGTATTACATCCATGGCGTATTTAAGGATGCTAATCCCATCCTCAGAGCTCAGAAATCGTGTCTATGAGGCTGCGATTGCAATAACAGCGCAGAAGCTGCCACCTACAGTCACAGATCGTACGAGAATCGTTAAACCCCGGTTCTTTTTTCCATTTCTTGGCCTTACTCAAACATGCTCCAAGATCCGCACTGAATTCCAAGGGTGGTGGATGGAAGCACATACCGTCAATCTTGGCGATGTAAACCTATACCTAGCTACCTTTCTCCCAAATCCATCCAAATACGTTAAGGACAAGAAGCGGCTAGGTTCATTTTCCAACCGACCAGGGAAGATCACTATCATGGTCCGTCACAACGATCTTGACCTCTCCCTTCTTCGACTCTTAAAACTTCGAGCTAGAATTCCAGGTTTCAAAATTGTCATCAAAGAGGTCTCCAACATACCATATGCTCGTGGCCTAGACCAGTTAGTCAACAACAAGAACCCAGATTGGCTCCGCATGCTACGATCAAGGGCGATCACTGAAGTAATTGGGTTGCCTCGCGTACATATCGTTACGAAAGAGAGACATGCCGAAGAATGGATGAAGGTCGCGCTGTTCCCCAGCAACCGCAGCGAACAAAGGGATAAGTTCAAGGCAAACCTCGGCTTAGATAAGGTGGAGCATTGGGAATTCACCTTCGGTGTCAACTACTCATAAGATCATATCTAAACACTGTCAGGAAATTTTTGTAAGTGTTGGGAATCGGTTCATTTTACTCTCCACCAAAGGGAAGAGTGGGAGAGGTTACGTGGTGGTTTATACCCTACATAACACTATTGGTCTCTTCATAATGTAAGTCTCCCAGTGGAATATTGGAAGGTGTTTACCAAACTGGGTTATGCACATCATGTCAAGAGTCTCTTATCACAGTTCAATCATACCACTAGGCTTCTCAATACCTACCCCTTTTCTTGTCTCTTCGGAATGCCACGCGACGCTATCAACAATTCCAAGAAGACTACTGTCCCCCATTCTAATTTTCTTCCATTTCCCCCCCACCATTCTTTGAGAATGGATACAATCAATACCTCCAGAACTCTGACATCTAAGACAATGATCGTGCCCAGAAATTCACCATCCAGTTCAGTGCTCTTAACACTAGTTTTTGTCTTTCCATCCGCATATGGCATTTATGTACGGATTACAATAGCCGTTGTCACCAAACATCAGAAGCTCTTAGAGGAGATATTGTGAACAGTTCCTGTACATATGCCTGATCGGCGGCCCCAGATGTTGTCCTTTTATCTCCTAATCAGACGTAGGAGAGGTGAACTGCGACTCGGAGCCGTAGACATCGTCGCCATCACCCCAGAAAGCGCCTTCCATGCTGGACACACTCTTGCAATGATGTCCCATCTGACTAAGCTCGGGAGGAATGCGAGTGTCTTGAGTCGAAATATAAGGCTTCAAAGGCACCAACTTTCTATAGCACTGACATTGCTATAATTATTGGGGCTTGGAAAATGCCATCTGAATTTGCTAAGCATAAATCTATTACAAACATCCTTACTTTGGCTAGTCTCACTACCAGCGACTCCTTCCATATGACGCTCGGTGAGTATTTGTTTTTACTATTCCTTAGTTCCCTAATATTGTTTCGCGCTCGATGTCCAGCTGCTAACCGCTAGAATAAAACATCTCGTCAAAACGTTTTAAGCATTTGCTGCCGCTGAATTCTCTTTACATATAGGGATAGAGGAATGATATTCCTGTCAGGCGTTACTGTCATGTTGCCAATAAAGCGAGCTGTTGGATAGCTCAAGTTATGCCGAACACATCGGTTTCAGCTATCATTTAAAGTAAGATTTTGTCACCGTCCCCAAATTCCTCTATACGTGATAATGGACAGAGTAATCAACCACTGCAATGTATATGACTAATCTCGCAAAGGTGTACGATCAGTCCTATCCCTGACGCGATCGCGGCAGAACTTCAAGCATTGAGCCCACATGGAGAGACTACTATCCTTATTCGCAACATGTATTATTCTCTATCTCTTAGCTAAGGGGCAGTCTTTGCGCCGAATATGCGATATCCGGCAAAAGTTAACCTCAAGAAGGCCCGCTTCTAGCGATATATTCACTCCTACCATATCCATCTACACTTTCCCCGGACTTTCAGAAACGACAGGTTTGGCTCCTGGGACATTGGATAATGTTTACTTTCGTGGAGTACTCAAAACACAGCCTAAGTGAGGGTAATGCTTAGTCCCTGTGAACTTCTAGTAGGATGCCAGCGAAGTAGTTTCGCTCCAAGATGAGAGGATGGTATGGTAAAGATGATTCAACCACACGGACCATCTACCCAGGATGTTGAGGGTAATGTTGCTGCCGACACCTGAATTTGTTGATTCATTGTCGAAAGTCGCCACGCATCATCGTGTCTCCATCTTGCGCATGGCAAATACTCAATCGAGATGGGATCAGTCGTTCGTTTCAAGTCAGTGTCGAAGCGAGGTTTTGAGGCAGAATAAGGAGAGTGTGTGACGCGTGATCCTGTTAGTAGTTTTCTTTTGGCAATTATAAAGTTGTAGGTTGATCAAGATAGTATACTGGTTCGAGGCAACATTGCGAAGTTATGGGCCTCGAAAGATGCCGCGTTTCTCAGCATGGAGCTTGCCAATTCCTATGCACGGACCCATTTTACTTGGGTGCAACCCCTGTCAGTCTGCCGTCCTGGGTCAATGTCCCTCAAAGCCATTCATCTAATCACGCCTCTACTGCCCTGCTGTTTCCGTTTTGCCCAACTCGTCTGTGTGTCCTAGCCCTCTCCCAGTAATGGATGCTTCTGCATTTCTCACTAGCAGCTAGAGCCGCAGCTACTGCTGCAGTTGTTTCTGAAACACTTCATCTTTGAACAGACGAGCGAATGACGTCGAAATCATCCAAGAATTACATTACTAAAGATCTATTGGCTCTACGAGGTACTAATAGGCGTTCTAATGGGCAATGTTACTGGCATCGCAGTACTGCTGGCGACAGGCGTGCTTGTAGTACCTCCCCCGCCGCTGCTCTTCTGGACGGTGGCCTGGACAACCTGTCCGGCCGTGTTAAACACAATATCTACCAATGCGCTTAATGGCGCATAGGAAAAAGTCTTTTGGATGAGTCCGTTTCCTAGCTGCTTGATATCTCCGACCTGGGTCATATTCTGCTGATAGTTTCCGACAATGCTCGACAAAGCTCCAGTTGCCCCGCCGACAACTTCTTGCACAATATTTCCGAGGTTATCAACGAGGAAGTTTAGGGTTTTCCCACCCTGGGTGATTGATCCAAGGAGACCATCAACCGCTCCGATTACTTCCCCCACCAAAGAGGTCACATTGTTGATTAAGCCAATAAGGAGTGGGTTGAGATCGAGAGATTCGAATACACGCTCAACGATCTCCACGAGATGACCGAGGCGTACAATGAGTTCGAGATTTGCGTCCACGTCGGTAATCGTGACATTGATCTTCTGAACGGAAACCATCACTCCGGCGTTCACCGTTACAAGTCCTGCGACCTTGGCGTTGAGATTGATATCGGCCTGGAGTTCTTCTACATCGAGCTCGATGCGGCCAACATGGAGCTCGGGAACATTCAGGTAGACATCTGGAGGTGTTGATGTGGCTGCGACAGAGGGAAGAGCCGTGGAACTAGAATTCAATGGAGGTCGCGTCGTGGTTCCTCCTGTGATTGGAGGCGTGGAAAATGTTCCGGAAGCAGGCTGCGCTGTCGTAGCTGACGATGTCGTAGCTGACGATGTTCCTGTTCCTTGTGCTAAAATTTGTGACGAGAATCCGAGAAAGAGAGTGCCGACAAGGAGCATACGGAAAGAAAGGAGAGACACCATGTTTACGACCCGAACGAGGCGGCGGCAACGAATGATGGGATAGAGAGAGCACAAGAAAGCCAGAGAGATGGGTATCGTTCAGGAGGTATGGCCAGTTTAACTTTTAAACATGGCGTTGGTGAACATGGGGAATCGCGTTTCCCATAAGCTAATCTCGGGTAAAAATGCAATGGCGCTCTGATCGGGATAGATTCAGGGCTGATCCAGACATGCACCCAGGATTAAGCGGCCAAAATCAAGGCTAACAGTTGAAATTCAGGTTTTGATGAGACTTGAAGAAGGGGATTGGTCTCCTTAATCAATTTTCGGGAGCCACCCCAAATGCTAACTTCTTATGCATGAATGCAGGCGATCACACTTCCAACCATTTTTGTCCGCGGCTTACCCCTGCGCGTTACATCTAAGCTCCCACTCCCATCAAGTACTCTGTCTTCTCTTTCTTTTCGCGCTCTGCTCTTCTACGTTGTGTCCGCTCTTTTTTTCTCATCACCAGCTCACTTTCACCTCAATATGGCCCGCTCGCTAGCATCATCATTTGTCGCCTTCTTTCTTCCACTCCTCGTTATCACTCAGTCGATATCCGATAGCGATGGCTATACTGGCTACCGGCTTGACATCCGCGAAGACGGCGACTCTGTTGCTGTGCTCTATGAAACCGAAAACACCCAGAACAATATCTCAGCGCTTGTTCCAGAACCCGACGTGTTCTTAAATGCTTCAGTACATGTCAGCGAGATCAACATTGAAGTCCAGAACCTGACAGCAAAGATCAATTTAGATGCTCAGGTATTACAATTGCTGTCATTCAACGCCGGTGTCGACTTGAGCATCGACCGTGTCCGTCTTCTTATTCAGAACGTTACCGCAAAGGTTGTGCTAGAGGCGCGCCTGGCAAATCTTGTCCTCATGATTAACGACACTCTCTCCTCCATTGATCTCAATCCTATAATTGCAGAGCTTGGAAATGGACTAGGAACCATAATCAATGACACTGGCAATCTCATCGGGGGTCTCACGGGTGGGGAGTTAACCAGCTCTAAGCGCAGCCTCGATCTCATGCAATTCGACCTCGAGAACAACATCCTCTACTCAGTGAACGATTATTCTGGAAACACCCACACAAACCGGATTCTCGCGCAAAACGGCGATATCGTAGAGCAGAAGCTCAACAATAATGGGAGGATCCAAGGTCAGACTGTCGTGGGATCATACCTGAAGGACATGCAATTCAATGGCTTCAACCAGTCTGTGACATTCCACGGACAGGAGGTATGGGAGGTCGAGTACATGTATGAGCCGTTCGCGGGATTGATGGCCATTTCGGGGATTTTCTTGGATAAGAGGAACGGCACAGTTGTGGGAACGCAGTTGCTTGCCGAAGCACGAGGTGGAGGCACCTCAACAATTGCAGCAAGCGAAGAGCTGAAAACATAGTTGAAGATCTTCTTGGAAATGTAATTATGATAATTGATGAATAATACCGACGTCTCCGGAATCTCATCAGGCCTCCCTAGAACGGGCCTTCTCACAGGCACCTTCACCTCCAACGTAAAGAGCTAGAAAATGAGCAGGTCCTAGTTAATTGGCCCGATAAGCTAAAGCCCAAGGGGATATGTTGCAGGGATATCGGGCTCGGGATCCATGCTCTTGTTTCAGCCCATGACTGGGGATCTGCCAACTTCGAAAATGGAAGGTGCGGCATGCACCGATGGATGAAAGTAGATATGCACATGATAAGCCCTGGAGGACAAGAACCTACTTGATAACAGGTGCTTGCATGTTCTAAGCATTCAATTCTATTAACGGCTCTTTTAACCGTTTAAATTTCACCTGCCTAAGTGCTCAAAGATAGATGTTTTGTCCTATAGTATCGTTTAAATGCTCCTTGTTGGTTAAGGCACTCCTCTTCATTTTCTCACTAGTTGCCTTGTATCATCACTTCTCCGTGTACCCTCTTCCATGAAAAGCTCTTATCCAGAAAATATCGAAATTAGACTACTCGCAGCCATAACAACTGCAGAAGAAGCGGAAGCACTCGGTCCTTCCGAATTTTGGAATGCTTGATATAATAAGTCGGCGAGAAGTCTACCCAATATTAGTTTCGAGCGTTTGAGGCCCTCGTACTGTTATTTGCAACGCATCTCTTCGCCTTGATGAAAGCTAAATTCTAACTGAGTATTCTGCATCCCGGCTCTGGGGATAGTGTGTATACTTATTCTCACAAGCTTCTGCGCTCAAGGCTGAGCAACACAGACAATACCCTCAGGCCTCCTCCAACGAAGCTACATGAACCGGATTTGTATTGATATCTCATCTGCCATTGTCAGCGTCAAGAAGTCCCGACATGCCAATAACATTAACCATGTCAAATGGACTTATGGTGACGTGCGGGACATGTCTAATATAAATACCAAGATCTGTCGATGTCGCATTCGACAAAGGTATTCTTGACACTACGATCTACAGGAGCTCTTAGAGTCTACCAGATGAGGCTATGGAGAATAAGGGAAAGTACGTTGATGAAGTGTGTGCTCACCGTACCAGGCTAACGATACTGATACCAATCCCGAATAGGCCTCAAGAGTCCTGAACGAAGATGGCATGTTTCTCTACTTTAGTTTTGAGTATTTCAGCTTTGTTCTCAAGAAAGCCACGGCTTGAGGATTCACCAGCGTAGACAGCAAGCTCAGCCTCATCAAAGGCCATTGCCAAGACAGTTTGGGTCACTTGGATCTAAGTTGAATCCAAAAGTACCTTACCCTATTCCCCATTAGGTCATCAACACAGTTCTGAATAACAGCGCGTACTACAGGATACTAATAGCAACACCTAAGTCTCTCAGGCTCTTCTTTACTAGAACTAAGAAGATTAAGGAAGGGATGTAGATTTCTGCTCCAAATGGAACCTTCATATGTTCCGTGTCTGCAATTAGTTTTGAGCACGGCCCCCTGATTCGTTGGACTGCGCCTGATCCTTTCTTTAAAATCCCTAAATTCATTCACCTAGTCCGCTGGCTTTCAACCTAAGCTACCAGTGATAGCTTTGAATCCCTTTCCAATCGTTATCCAGTCGCACGGAGCAATTGAAGGGAGAGGGCCAACGTTTAGAGTAGCGTCGTGTAGCCCTCACCACCTCAAGGCAGGTTCATGGTTTAGGTGTATTTAGCCAAGCTCTCGGTCACAATCTAAATCAAAAGTTAGAGAGACAAGACGTGCAAATGAGAGAGCCCCTGAAAGGTGAGCAACCAGAAAACACCCTTCAATGTGCAACAACCTGCTCACATAGAGATTTCTAGCAAATTAGGAGCCAGCGCACTACTAGTAATAAGCCTCCAGCTCATCGGACTAACTTGGATGTAGAACACCAAGAATCACAATACTTCCCACTACTTCTTCGCTGAAAAGTCAGGAAGTGAAGCGGAACCCAGACGAAGGCACCAACATTGGAACTTGTGGCCCTTTTGAGGGGTTTGAGGGGCATATACAAACTATGCTTGATCATGTCTCTACCATTGACAGATGCGACGAGATTATCGCCTCCAATTGCGCTCCAATCCCATCTATCTTTGACGTTCATAATTCCGTACACATATCCCCGCCCGATAATAATTAGAACTTAACAAATCCTCTAGGTCGTCGTGGTTATCTTCGATTTCTACTTTGGAGTTACAGATGCTCTAACAAGCAACCGTTTCTTCCTCAGTCTACAGAAAAGCCGATTCAAGCAGCGGACCCCTGAAATTGTAGCTTTATCTACTGCCCACTTCCAAAATTTGTCCGCTTTCATATCTACGGAGACCCTTGAACATGTTTATGGTATACATGACGAGCAGTAGAATGACATAGGTGGTTAGAAGCCTCAACAACTCAGACCCCTATAAAGAATCCTTATTCTGACACTTAGCAGAGTTCGGACCTTCCTAGGAATTCAGACCTGCAGCAGAGAAATTGAGTACTACAACTTACCCAAGCAAAGAACGGATGATGCTTGCATGTGGCTTACAGAAATACTTAGTTCCCACAATGGTTGGGAGTCCCACCTGTCCCCCCTTCAGCTGTGATGGTAGACCTGTAACAATTCCGAATAGATCCCTTGCAAAAGTTGAATTGTACAAAGTCTTCAATATTGATCTTAGAGAGCGGTGGGGAAAGGGGGGGCAGTATTTCAAGAGAGACAGGAACCAGTTATTGTGGGGTCAGCCAGTCTCTTTGTTGCTTTAATTTTTAGACTTAAGGGTAGGAAATGGTAGGTCGAGGTAGCGTTTCAAGCGTCTAGGACTTGCTCCATGGCAAGCCCATACCTCCTCTCCCAAAAACCCCTCAATGCATCAGTACTCTGCGTGTCCCGTGGTACCAACTCCTGATCGCCATTCGCCACAAATGCCTCCTTCAGCGTGCACTTCCCTGCTTCCTCGAATCCCATTCCCTTATACATGGTGACAAGAACGGTCTTCGAAGGGTTGCAGAACAGCCTTATCCTAGCCCGCATCTTATCCAACATCCTCGCCTGCTCCCGAGCTATATCTAAAGCGGAGATGACAAGTTTTTTTCCGAGTCCCTTCCCCCGGTGTACTTGTGATGTATACAAATTGGACAGATGCCATCGTGTCTCGCCATTTGGGTTGTCGGGGACTGGTTGACCGGATTCCGGGAGTTGGAAGGTTGAGTACGGAAGCGGGCCTCGTATGGTAACCATTCCGATCCAATCCCCTGCTATAAGAGCTTCTTCCTCTGTATTTGGGATGCTCGTATCTGACTTCGCTACACAGATGAGGATTATCGACGGAGAGGTGAGTCGCTGTTGCCATAATGAGAGGGGGTGAAGAACCTCGTCCGCATATTTGACGGCAAATCCAGTGGGTTCGGCTTCGAGAGCTTCTAGCTTCGCGTCTCTGAACTTGGCGACCAATTCAGGGAGACGCGACGAGTTAGTCGGGATGCGAGCGATGATGTAGTTCATCGGCAAAACCTGCAAAGGAGGTCTGTGATCTAATTAATTGTTCTTAATAGGTTGGGGGAAAGTTATATCGGCGTCGGAGTTATTGAAGTGTTAAATCCGAGCACGGCACAAGCGCAGAGTCCTAAGATTCAATAACTCGAACATCTGTTTGGTTTCTTGGCTTGATTTGAATTAGGGTGTATTATACTAAATATTTCTCTACCTCATATCCTCATCACAGCTTATCAATCCTGCCTAAAACCCACTGCAAGTGTCTGTACGCCGACCTCCTGGAACTGAGGCTGCATATGCCCACTCAAATAAGTCCCCTCCCACATCGGGCCCTTCTCATAGTGCTGGATGCCCATTATCCCTTGAGGATTGCCAGTCCCGTTATCGAATCCCGAGCCAACGAAGATAGCCTAGTACAGTAGGTCCGGTAGATTGATATCGATAATACTGCTAGGAGCATTTTGGAATCTCAGCGCTCCATTCTAGGCCATATTCTTGATAGCAAAGAGAGTTCCGTTCGTAATAATCTCGTAGTCGAGTCCCTGTTAGAAATGAGAACCCAGTTCGTTTTCTCGATAACCTTTGGAAGGGCAGATTGAATAGAGTCAGAGGACAAGTCGCCTTCAGCCTGAGGGCCTCCTTCGCCGATCAAAACGGGGTCCTTACATTCAACCCACTCGATATCCATTGGCGCGTGGGATAGCCTTTTTTTACCTCGGACCTGTTAAAATAGACTAGGAGTCTTGGATAGGAATACTAGAGATCGGTTGGGTAGCCCAGAGGGTCTGACAGTGAGAGAAATTGTAAGCCTGTTTATTACACGTTGAAGTATTTGTGAAGCTGGGCACTAGGCGGGAAGGACATGTACTTTCCTCGGAATGCTGCATACCCACACCACTCATCGAGGGCAGCAATCTTCTCCATGAAGCTCCGGTTGAAGCCCATGACGCTATTGCGTCCTTGAATGAAGGGAGCTGCGACTGCCTGCTGTTGTTCCCAAACGTACTCTCCAATGCATGAATCGTACATCAACGCACCAGAGACACTAAAGTGGTCCTCATCGCAGCGATCAATCATCTGTCCAGTTATCTATGGAGCATGGCGGCCTGCATAAATTCCGCTAGTGATGAATATTTTGAACTTGGACATGCCAAATATTTCTTGGAAGTTCGGGAAGAAGTCTGCGAAATCCTTCGCAATATCTTCCTCGCTTGCAGCTGTGACTTCGCCGATTAAGAAGCCAGTACCGACAAACTGCTCAACCCAGAGAACATCTGTGAGGTTTACCCAAGAGTATGGACTGATATGGGGAGCATACTCCCCCCACGACTACTGAAAGTAGACATCCTCTTACAGAAACCCTTCGAGTGAACTACAACCTAGGCCGCCGTTGAGCCAGATTGTGATCTCATCGACTAGCTCTCCAACAGTAGGCTGGAATATGAAGGACAAGGCCCGGGAGGTATTTCTCATGTCAATTAGTATCAGGCCTAAATAGAATTCGCCCGGTCAAAGTGCATATCCAGGAGCTAATCGACAAGGTAAGCTGCGAATAGTAGGTTAGGCACGCAAAGTCAATTAACACGTGGCGATTCTTACGAGCTGTACCATTGCTGCAGAGTCTGTAAGAATCTGTTTCGTTCAAAAATCTCTTTTGTATCGGTGGCTCTGATGCCCGCTTCAAGTTGGGTGCGAACCCTTCCCATTGACTAATTTTTGAGATGCTGTCAGCGAAAACACAGTCTGGAAACATGAATACAAGAAGCATCAATTGTAAAGCTTCCTAGTTCATATTGTATGGCTTGAAGGATGTATGATTAACTGAGCTAGCAAACAAACCAGCCCTGAAGCAACAGATAAAAGAGCCCGGGAGTCTGTAGCCTTTATGACTGTAGAACTCCTCGGCTTTGGGCTCCATTTGAAGTCCTTAGAAAAAGACAAGCTCCATCATTTAGACCGGGTCATCGGGAGTTCGAGCATCCCAGGCCACAAGAGGAGTTAATTGGGTGACGATTCGAATCCCTTATCACCGTTAGCCATTCGTGCCCATGCTGTTGGTTGCGTATCCAAAGAGAAGTTTGGTCTAAACCGCAGGTTTGTGCGGAGTCACCAGGACGTATGAGGTAGGTCGGAGACTGTGGTGTCATATGGATTGTTCCTAACTTGACCCGCTATTTTAGTAAGATGACAGAGTGCAGTAAAACAGCATCGGTAAATGAATCAATTCGCCAGTTTGCTTTGCTGTGGCAAGGAAGAGCGACTTGCAGATGGCCAAACAAGAAGTTCAAACCCATCTCCAATGAGGAAGCACCATCAACTCGTCGATATAGGCACCGCTTATAGCATCCTACTCCACGCAGTCACGATCTTAGAGTTCACAACACCACGTGGTGCTAGCATCATACTTTTCCAAGATTTCTTGTCCTACAATATTTCATCCGTTGCTTTTCACCCTATGCTTCACACTCCGATGTACCTCGAATCCCATTCTTAGTCATTTCACCTAAGACTAGTAATTTTCCTTCTCTTATTTCTCGCTCACCTCCCCTCATTTGGTAACAGCCACAGTGTCAGTGACCCCATTCTCATTGTGCCCACCCTGTGGCCTAGGCCTTCAAGTACCATCCCCAGCCCAGACTCAAGAACAGAAATACGCCCCATCAAATCCAGCCGTCCGGCCCAACTATATCCAGCCATCCAACCTGGCGCCTAGATCGGTCCCTGTGACCGAGCCAAATTACCCTCGGAGATACCCCAAGAATTTTCCAAACAGAGCCAACCCTCGCATTGCGCCTCCCCGAACGTACAGAGACTACTCTACTGGAGCTCGAACTACCAGCGGCCGACCTGGACGCAAGCAGCCGTACACCTGGTCCAGTCGATCCACAACTCGAAGTCGAGAGACTCATCCGTTCTACCCCAAGACTCAAGTTCGACGAGAACGCGAACAACTAAAGAAGGCACGAAGGGAAGCAAAGGAACGCAAGCGACAATATGATCGAGACGCTCAAAGATATGAAGCACGGAAGGAAGGATTCATACGGGGAGCTAAATTTAGAGCGCACGGCTTCACAGATTCTACATCACATGGAGGACAAGGACAGCGAGGATTCCCTGGAGAGCACTCGCTCAAGAGTTCTTGGTCAGTAGGCTCTATTCCCGTTTCATAAAGACTGAATATAGGAGTGATGGCTGCTGATTGGAATAGCAAACGCAAAAGCAATCTACGGTTCAACTCGTCATCTCGACGTGATAAGCTACGCTCCTACTTCGTCCCGAAAAATTGGCGCCGCAATCGTTGAGCATAATCCCACCGGCAGATCGTACATCCACTGTTCATCCGCTAAGGAGGACACTCGCCTTGCAGCTACTGAGCATTTACTTGTAATCACTGAGGATATCCTCCAAAGATTGATGGACAAGGAAGGGATCTCCAGCAGTGGATGGCTACCAGCGACGGCCCAAGCCCAACATGCAGCAGCATGTGCCAGTGTAAATGGGAGTATCACTGGGAGCATAGTCCCGAGCATTTCGGGGAGCGTGCCGGCTAGTCGAAGAAGCAGCGTACAACCGCAAGAGTGAGTTGATCGCTCACAGAGAAAGCAGTGAGAGGGAAAACTGACACGGAAGCCGATAGACATATCCATGGGAGTCCCCAGCCCCACCATAACAACATGGTTGATATTTTCCCAAAGCCGAATCTTATCCGCAACAACAGCGACATGATGTACCCGTCACAGCCTCTACACATTGTACCGAGAGCAAATAGCGACATCATTGCAGCGCCAAAGCCTATGCCCGTTGGACGATTTCATGCAGGACAGGGAAGAGTGAAATGGAACCTGGGATCAGAGTCATAGAGAGGTTAAAAGATAGAAAAGTGAAGTTGAGACGGAGAGAAGCTTAGAGGAGGGTAGGGTGTAACACTGGTAGCTGGGTCGTAATTCGTTTGAACAAATGATATCATTTCAAGTCATACTACAAGTCTGCCTGTGACCCGTCCTTTGTGAGATGCCTAATGACGCCAGAAGAATTTCTTAGCACTGATTTGTGCTTCCATCCATGCAAAGCTACGATGAAACCAAGAGACACAGTGGACTACATTACACTCAAGTAGATTTCTTAGCGAACTCGACTCGCAAGATAAGGTGACCGAAGCCGTCTAGATAGCGCGTCAGTGAGTTCCGAGTACCTGCAAAACAAGGTCAACTTACACCCATCCATCTTTTCACAAGCTTTAGCGGCATCAGACCGGTCGGCGTAGCTGACGAAAGCGAAACCCTTTGCCCTTTGGGTTTCCCTGTCCTTGGCCAGGAAGACCCTTGTGACGTGACCGAAGCGGGAGAACATGTCGCGGAGGTCTTGTTCTTCGGCGAACTCGGAGACGTTGGTGACTCGAAGCGTGGCTAAATCGTCCCTCTCGTACTTGCCACCCATCTTCTCACCTGCGCCTGCGCGACCTCGGAGGTGAGGAGGCACATAGCTAGAGCCTCCGCCTCCAAGCGCTCCTGCGGCTTCTGGAGTATCGTCAAGGGGGCCGGCAGTGGAGCCCTCTCCTTCCGGCGCCATCGTGTCCCTGAACGGACATTTGGTTGTCCAGTGGTCTCCGCTGCAGATTCGGCACTTGATCTTCGCGTCCTTCAGGTTGTTCTTCTTCTTCTCGGTCTCGCTCTTGTCCTCGGCGCTCGCCTTCCAGTTCGCCACCGGCCTGAAGGCAATATTCTCGGCGACGCTGGTGGTATCTGTCTGCGGTCCGGCAGGTTTGCCCTTCTCGGCGCCAAATTTGGCCCAGTGCTTGCGCTCCGCGACTCGTGGGTTGACGATTTGCTTGATGGTGGTCTTCTTGATGCGGCGCGTAGTTTTGACTTTCTTGCCATCGTCACGGATCGAGTAGGTGGTGATAGTCTCGGTTCCATCTTTGTTCTTTGTAATTTGCTGCTGCGGGAGCTGGAGCGAGTCTTCATCCTCCTCCTCGGCCCAGTCGGTTCGGCTAGAAATGCTATATTAATGCCAGCCTCAAGATAAAAAAAAAAGAAAAGAGCACCCACCCTGCTACTCGCGACATGCTTGTTAGGTGCAGAAGCTGTGAGGTGGATGTTGTGGTTGTGTTTCTGTGCGGATGCGGATTTTAGTAGAGGGTGGAGTCAAAAGTTCGGCTAGTGGCGTCGTGGGGCAGCATTTTGGCGAAGCGTGCCATTGACGATAAGCCGAAAGCACTCTAGCTCCTCGTGAACAGACTTCCTCCCAGTTGGCCCTTCACCTTTTCGACGAGCGTGTTGTTCCGAGTAACTAGATCCGTCTATGTCTTTCTAGCATACCTTCTTGCCGATATCGTCATGTCTGAGGGTCTATCTCTTCTCCCATTGTCTCCGCCGACATCTCCTTCGGACTTGATCGTGAAAGCCGAGTGTTCCATCACGGAGCCGCACCCTTTCGAATCGGAGGGAGAAATCTACTATACACAGCGCCTCTATTTTCATCGGAGTGGCTTCCCATTCTTGTCACTGTGTATGATGCTCCTTGCTAGCGAGAGTCTCTTCTCAAGCCAGGCAAGCGCGAAATTCGTCCGTCGTTTGCGCTGATGCTTGGTCCGCTTATCTCTCTTGATGGTGGTATTTCCATCGAAGACACTGTAGCAATAAACTATAGGAACGTATAAGTACCGTGTGTTGCATGCTAACTTTCAGCCATTACAGGTTAGCAGCCAATAGCCCTTCTCATTCCGTTCAGCATTGTATTGAGTCACGTGCTTCGAACTTGACGAACCCCAACATCATGTCCAAGACTTTATTGGTTACGGGGTCTACTGGCAAACAAGGTGGCGCTGTTGTGAGGGCATTGCAAGGCTCCGACTTCGAGATCTTGGCCTTGACTCGGAACGTGTCGTCGTCCTCTGCTCAAAAATTGACCCATCTATCTTCGAACATTAAATTGTTGCAAGGGGATTTGGGAAATGCGACTGCCATCTTTGAAAAGGCAAAGGAGATTTCTAACAATCCTATTTGGGGTGTTTTTAGTATACAGGTCTGTGTTCACGCTGGTCAAATCACGCATATGCTGAGCTAAAGTTTCTTAGGCCAACGTTATGGGAACTGGAGGGGAGATTGAAGAAAAGCAAGGAAAGGACTTGGTCGATGCATCTATAGCAGCAGATGTCAAATTCTTTGTCTACACCTCCGTCGACCGTGGAGGTTCCAAATCAGATGCCATTCCCACTCCTGTCCCGCACTGGGCATGCAAGCAGCGCATCGAAACGCACCTAAAAGAGAATGCCTCCAGAAATGGTATGGAATTTACCATTCTCCGTCCCACGGCATTCATGGAGATTCTTTCAAATGATTTCAACGGGAAACTAATGGCGACCATGTGGAGGACTGTCTTGAAAGAAAAGCCTCTACAGATGGTAGCCACTAAGGACATAGGGTGGTTTGCCGCCCAGGCCTTCAAATATCCGGACCAGTCCTCTGGGAAGTCGCTATCCTTGGCAGGTACAGAGGTGACCTTCCAGCAAGCGAACGAGATTTTTAGACAGAAATTTGGACGAGATCTACCGAGCACGTTCGGGATTGTATCCCACGTTTTGCTTCGTATGGCCAAGGAATTGTCCCTCATGCTCACATGGATGAAAGAGGAGGGAACTGCCGCGGATGTTGAGGGGTGCAGGAGGCTTCACCCGGAAATGCTGGACCTAGGGGCTTGGTTAGAGACTGAGAGTGCCTTCAAATCTTGCTAAGAATCGTGTAGGCTATTCTCTCAAGTGTATGGCTTTCTCTAGTCCTTCGATAACGCTCCTCGCTCCTTTTTTCACTTTTACAACGATGCAAATTTAGTTGTTGATGCTATGTATTTCTAGCCCCTGCTCCAGTGATGCACAGCTCGTTTGGGATGGGGTGGGGGCTGAACTGCCTTCAAATCGGCATGCGAAGAGCTTCAGCAGAGCCGGCGAGAAAACAAAACCAAGGAGTATGAAATAGTGAATGCATTTTGGATATTGCAAACATTTAGTTTAGTATGTCAAGAAGTGTAAAGAGCAGAGGGGTTTGAGGCTGAGAGCGACCGCCCGTGCGCCAAAGTTTTGCACCGCCACAAGTTTGGCAGGGATTAGAGCAACCGTGATGCGGGTGTTGGCTTACTTTCACGAAAGAAGCACCCGCTCAACAGTCTTCAGCAACATTTTACCCCCTAACCATCAAATTCTTTCCTGACCTCCGCAGCAAGCATGAATCCTAACCGATAACGATCCCCACGAAATACAGCCACCAACCACCGCCGCAATGAACTCCGCGCCGCCCCCATCCGCATCCGCATCCGCATCCGCCCAGCCAGAGTCCAATGGACATGCTGTTGGTGAGCAGCATGTCGAGCTCGAGGATATGGCCGACAAGAAGCCCGCACTGCCGATAGAAGAAGACATAATGCAGCTGTCGCGATTGGGAGAATTAGCAGCAATACAGAAGCTGTTCGAGAGTGGCAAGCACGATGCGACGTATGCGGATGAGCAGGGCATAACGCCACTCCATGTATGTCTATATTCTAGAGGCACTTATCAATGTGGTTTCCACTGACGTCATGTCTCCCTAATGTAGTGGGCGGCAATCAATAATCACTATGCTCTATGCCACTTCCTCATCCAGAGCGGCGCAAAGGTGAACGCAAAAGGAGGCGATGCAGTTGCAACTCCTGTTCTATGGGCCGCAAAGCGATGTCACTATTACATTGTCAACCTGCTTCTCGAACATGGCGCCGATCCTCTCCTCACAGACGACCAAGGCTTCAACCTCTTACATTCTGCTACACTTGACGGCAACGTTTACCAACTCGTTCTACTGCTACACCAGGACATCCCAGTAGACATCCCAGATGCGCAGGCACATACGGCGTTAATGTGGGCGGCATATAAAGGCTATCCATCCTGTGTAGATTTATTTCTTCGCTGGGGAGCCAATGTCTATGCTACAGACGACCAGGGATTTACCGCTTTACATTGGGCACTTGTAAAGGGGTCTCAGGGCTCAATACAGAAACTAATTGAGTACGGGGCAGACCGATTCGCAAAGAACAACGACGGAAAGACACCTGCGACGACAGCAGAGGAAATGAACACCACCGGGCAATGGCAAAGAGCACTTTCAGAAGCTGGATACAACAAGGATGGAACGCCGAAAGATTTCCCAATACCCGGCATAAAAGACACGCGATGGTTCATATCACGATTCATATTTTTCTGGCCGTTTCTTCTCATCCTTCTCAGCATATTCATTCTTAGCTACTATCCAATATATATTGCGGTTCCTATTGCGCTAGTACTTGCATATGGACTTCAATGGATTGCGCAAAAACTCCTGCGGTGGGCTCCTTCAAATATGAAGAGCATGCATCATACTGTAAGTCTACCGCAAACTAGTCTCGTTGATTGCTAACAGCTTTGCAGCCTTTTCTAGCAGGCATATTCGCGGGCACGTTGTTTTGGGTCGGCGTCAGGTGGCTCACGACCGTACTACCTTGTGAGTTGTTTCTTCCGGTCCAGATTGGCTCAAGCTAACCTAGTTCAGGGACGTTACGCACGAATTTCTTCCTCAATGTATTCTTCGGAACACTTTATGGACTTACAGCCTACTTCTATTTCTTTACTATGGCAGCCGATCCGGGCTTCGTCCCCAAGTCAGCCAGCCGAAGCGCCTCAAAGGCGGTAATTGATGAACTTATGGAGGTGCGACAATTTGACGAAAATCACTTTTGTGTAAATTGTATGGTACGGAAACCGCTTCGAAGTAAGCACTGCAAGAGATGCGAGCGTTGTGTTGCAAAGTCGGATCAGTAAGTCGCCATAGCGGATTTCTCTGGATTGTTGCTGAATATGCATAGCCATTGTCCTTGGGTGAATAATTGCGTCGCGAATAACAATCACCGTCATTTTGTCTTTTACGTACTTTGTATGGAGCTTGGAGTACTAGTATGGGTTCGATTGGCACTTGCCTGTAAGATTCCTCTGAACAGCCTCGTAATCGAAGCTAACATGATTCAGATCTTGAGAACCTGGAATTCCCTAAAGAGGTCGAATGCAACATTCTTGACGGCGACTTATGCAAAATCTTGAACAAAGATTCGTTCACCATCGTACTTTCGATCTGGACGGCATTGCAACTGTGCTGGGTTACAATGCTCCTCGCGGTTCAACTCCTGCAGATCGCGAGAAACCTGACGACGTACGAAAGCATGCGCGGCCATCTTAACAGCCACACTCCTGCTGAAGCGCTTACCTCTTTTGTCACGACTGGAGACACATCACAAGATATGGCAGGAGGGTCAGCACCAACCACTGGATTCGGGTCAGGTCAAGATACGGGGAATCGGCATCCACTGCGGCAACCAAAGCACTCAGTTTGGGATCAGTGGAAGCGTCTGCTCGGTCTTGACACGTTCGTCGTTGCAGCATTGCAAGGCTCTCAGGCTAACCAAACAAGGAATCGTGGAAATCCTTTCTCACGAGGCATCATCACAAACTGCAAGGACTTCTGGTGCGATGGGGCGCCTGTTTTCCAGAAGAAAGAGAGTGGATATGCAAGACTAGGAGGCGAGAGAGTGGATTACACCAGGATGTACGAAGCTCCCAAGATGCGCTACCAAAGATCAGGTGGACGATATGAAGCTGTGGCAGTGGAGGAAGAGGGTGATTGAGAAGGGGGCAGCATTGGATGGTCGTATTAGTTTAAGTTGGACACGCTTTTTCTGACACCGGGCCAAATATTCCCAGCCCCAAGGCACGATTTTGTCATAAGTGACGGCATTTCCACCGGCCGCAATCATGGTAATGGCAAAGGCTGAGGCGTTTGCGGCGTCTCCGTCGACCACGTGCTTTCTAGCCCGGTTTGTCTTCGGGGCAATTCCGATGACCGAGGAACGTCCCCGCTAACAGCTGGGCGCAAAGTCGATGGCGGATCTGGCCGCACCACCCAGTCACTGCACACATTCCTTTACGCGTCTAGAGCCATGATATAGCTTCTTACATTCCTAGATTCTGCATGTATTATTACGATAGGTTTCACTTCGCCCATCGACCGCCATGATATCATCCGGGGCTCTCACGGGACTCCGGTGTCTCTCCCGAACCACGACATGGCGGCGAGCGATCTGCACCGAATGTCTGAAGAGTCTGCGGATGCAGAAGCGCTCGTGGAGCCATGTTCTAGCCGCCGGACCAGGACTGTCGCGCGTCACCGTCACTGTGTGGCCGGCGGTCGGAGGATCTAGAGGGCTGGCGCAGGAGGTCCAGCAGAGTAGGTTTGACCGCATGTCGAGAGAGTGACATCCAAGCATGTGCGCTGATAGAATGACTAGAGTTGACACAGAAGCCCGGGCCATTGGCAGAGTACGATGCGCGTGTCGAGTCGGGGAGGTTGAGGGATGATGAGCACCAGCGAGGAATCATCCAGAACCTCGAGGACCTCCATGAGATGCTGTCTCACTACACACAACCGCCCATCCAGCAACCGACAATTGACTCCCTCCAATCTCCCAGAAATTCCCTTTTCTCCTTATTCTCCTCGAAACCGAAGCGCGTCGCCCTCCCCCCAATACCACCGTCTCTCCCCAAGGGCCTGTATATGTACGGCGACGTGGGCTCAGGCAAGACCATGCTGATGGATCTTTTCTACGACACCCTGCCACCAAACATCAGGAGGAAGACAAGAATACATTTCCATGCCTTCATGCAGAGTGTGCACAAGGATCTGCACAAGATGAAGATTGCGCATGGAAACGACATCGATGCGATTCCGTTTGTCGCGGCGGGCATTGCCGAGAGGAGCTCAGTGCTGTGCTTTGATGAATTCCAGTGTACGGACGTGGCCGATGCCATGATTTTGAGACGGTACGCTAGACTAGCCAAGCCATGAGGGGCTGGGAACATCGGGTACTAATTGCTTGTAGTCTCATCGAGAGCTTGATGACACATGGAACCGTTATAGTGACCACGTCGAATCGACACCCCGATGATCTTTACAAGAACGGCATCCAGCGGGAGTCGTTTATTCCCGCCATAAATCTCCTAAAATCTCGACTCCGAGTGCTAAATTTGGACTCTCAGACCGACTACCGTAGAATACCCCGTCCACCATCTGGGGTTTACCATCATCCGCTTGACGCCGCCGCGAAGACGCATGCAGAACGATGGTTCCGTTTCCTGGGCGATCTGGAGAAGGATCCACCCCACAGAGCCACCCACTCTGTCTGGGGACGAGACATCGAGGTGCCGAAAGCGTCGGGCAAGTGCGCGTGGTTTACGTTCGACGAGATCATTGGACGGGCGACGGGCGCTGCCGACTATCTTGAGCTAATGCGGAATTACGAGGCTTTTATCATCACAGGTGTGCCTGGAATGAGCTATAGAACGAGAGATCTAGCGAGGAGATTTATCACATTCATTGATGCTATCTACGAAAGCAGGGTAAGCGCGTCACTTAAGTCATAGTGTTCTTTGTGGTTCGATTCACGACCGCGTTTCAACTATAAATTAACATCACGCGATCCCATCTAACCAGCCCCTCACAGGCAAAACTAGTAATGACTACCGCTGTACCACTTACTTCCCTCTTCCTCTCCGAAACCGAACTCTCGGAAGCCATGCAGGCTGGCCAATCCAAAGGCGACATTCCCTCCATCGACGAAAACCAGGACATTTCAGACGTCATGCGACATCTTATGGATGATCTAGGCATGAATATGAGTATGTTGAAAAATAGTAACCTATTCACAGGCGACGAGGAAAGATTTGCTTTTGCGAGGGCTCTCTCTAGGTTGAGTGAGATGGGGAGTCAGGATTGGGTTGAGAGAGGCATGGGCCTGGAGGAGAAAGGAGGCGAGAAGGAGATGAAGGGTTGGAAGAGGGTTCGATCGAGGTGGAGGGAAGATTCATTGTAGGCCAGTTATGAGTTGAGTGGTTACTTGGGTTGATAAGAGCGCATGGTTGGTTCGAATGGTTGCATTTGCATAGAGCGTAATTAGGTGTTTGATACCGATGTATGTGAGTTTTCATCTTAGAAAAGACGGTGCGTCTAGAGCAACAAAGGTGTTTTCACCCTCAGGCGCCGCACGCGTTTTTAATCCATTCAGAATGCAACCGTTTCAATCAAAGCGGGTGGACAAGCCTTGAGGTCGGCGAGCAAACGCTCCTGCATCGTTTGGTGGGGAGATTGAAAAAGCCCTCTCTTTCCCTAGTACCTGAGAAGTGTTTACGTCTTGCTTGGCCTCCGCCTTTAGCCTTTTCAGCATCATTCTAGACCTCTCTTAACCCCACTTGTGGTTTGAAGGTACATCTCTGGCGGTTAATTGCCCCCTTTCGGTTCTCCTTTTTGGTAGCGTTTAAGAAAATTGTTACTGTTATTATGAGGAAGAATGCTTCTACTCTTTCTCAAGATCCGCGAGAACATTTAAACGACAGGCAATGTTTTATCAGGACCCCTGAACAAGTGAGGCCCAAGACTCCTACCATAGTCGGTTCTTATTTAAGGAAACAAAAATTGCACAAGAAGATGGCTGATAAAGCTTGATAGGTGCCTGCTAACGCGGTATGGTTTCGTTGAGGTCCTTCTCCTGAAGGGCGTTTACACTGTGGCTTGTTATAAGCCTCGCGTTATCAGGCTTGGTTACTTCGATTCTAGCCCTGGGAAATCGGGAGGTCGGACCTTCTAGTCGGGTGCGTATTCCTTGAACACCAGACTCTTCTAAGTACACCGATCTTTTCTGAACATGCCCAATAATTTGGTGGAGTGGATGAATTGGTAGGGTGAAACTTCTGAAAAAAAATCCAAAAGCTTCCCCATGAGCCAGTATGGGGTCTCAGAGGCGCGAAATATTGGCTGAATTGCTCAACATACAGTGCTCATATGAAGAGAAGACTGTGAATAGAGTCCGATGAAACCTAGGCCATTAATGAAATCTCGTCATTTCGAAAGGGGTCGAGAAGCTTACACAAGGGAAGATCGAAAGTGCTGGAATTTGGCGGTCATGAGAATAGTGTTGGATTTTCCGTGCTAGAGGAAGAATCTGGAGGGTATACTGCATTCTGATTCCAAACTCTGAAGTACTCATGCCGATCCACGTTGGCAATACTAGGGTTATCTTAGACAGGTCGTGGAGGAGAAGGACCAATGCCTAGAGTCAAATTCTGTTTCAATAAATATTCACAGGGATCTTGATGAACAATAATGTCCGCTAACGACCATTGGGCATGAAGGGAAATAGAAGCATAAGAGAATATGTGCTCATGTACCTGCCAAATCTGCTTCCCCAGCACCTTTCCCAATCATTAAGATCCACCTGATCTATTCTATCTAGAAATGGTGGTATGTATGAAAGAATCCAGGAGTTAGAACGTCCATAATAAATGCGGTTGAATAGGTCCTGTGAAGTTGCAAAGCAATGCCAGTTGAAACTTCAGATGTGGGCATGGCTTCCCCTGCAGCTCCTGACATTTTGAAGGCGGACAAAATGCAGAAATCGATGAGATCATGGGCGTTACCGATTTCGAGGAACTGAAGGTGTAAACTAAGTTCAAAAATAGAGGGTTCAACCAATGGTGGAATTGAAATGAGAAGACCAATAAGAAAAGCAAAGTGAAACAAAAACGAGTAAAACGTATCTCACCGTGAACCATTGCCTATCCGTCAGTCTTGAACACATCACCCATATATAGACTGCGAAGTTCCCGCGACATACAGTCTCTCATGGACAATGAAACGGACCTCAGCAGTTTTAACGGCAGTTTGATTTGCAACACAGCTCCCCCATAATCCCAGAACATGCAGAAAAGGAAGAATTTCGAATTTCGCCGGCCTAAGTGGGGTACCTCTGGTTCATAGAATCACGTGAAAGGCGGTTCTCCGGAGGGTTAGCGACCGAGCCTCGAGGACGTTTTACCGGACCTCTATTTCTCCACCTATCAAAAAGAGCACAAATAGCAGCTTCAAAGAACGTCTCAGACATATAAGAATCTGCTTTCCGTATCGTTGTGTGAGCTACGTAAACTATCCTTAAGTATAAAACTAGCTTTGATACCTACCTAAGAGCCTCCCTTGTCTTGAGACGCGACAACATCCTTCTAAATTGGTCAGGCTTCACAGTCCCCGTATTTCGATCATTGGCTCTAACCGCAATGGTAACAATTACACGCGCCGAAACTCGAGATGTTCGGTTCCCAGTAAGTCCCTTCACTTGCCAATCGAGTCCGCAAGCTCTTGATAACACTGGCTAGACATCTTTGGACAAAACCGGCTCTGATGCTATGAACGCTGCGGGAGACTACTCTGCAGCATATTGCATCCTGCACACAGATTCTGAATACAAGGGTCACGGAATGGTAATTGCACTTTGATCTCCCTAATTCAGGATTTTGTTTGCATCTACTTCAAAGTCAATTTCGTGACAAGAACTGCGTTTTAAATGTTATACGAATGTTTAAAAATATGTTTTGGAAGCTACGGGTAAGGGCTTGGCACGACCTATAAGCTACCATTACACATTTTATGTTCGATAGCCAGGAAGTTCTCTAAGCTATCAGCTCTCCTTCTCTCGATTCCATCTTAGATGACACAGTCTGACATAACCCTTAGACCTTCACAATAGGCCGTGGCAATGAACTCGTTTGCGCTGCCATCCTCCTGGTTGTAAACCGCATCAAAGGCCATACTCTCTCTTCCCTCGTCTCAAATTGGGGGCAGACCTGGAGACACCTAGTCAACGACTCCCAGCTCCGTTGGATCGGCCCAGAGAAAGGAGTGATCCACCTCGCTCTAGGCGCCGTTGTTAATGCCATCTGGGACCTTTGGGCCAAGACGCTGAAGAAACCTGTATGGCGGATAGTCGCCGACATGACCCCTCAAGAAATCGTGAACTGCATTGACTTTAGGTATATTACGGATGCAGTGACTCCTGAAGAAGCACTTGACATCTTAACGAAAGCCCAAGTGGGGAAACCCGACCGCATAAAAGATGCGGAAGATTCTCGCGCGGTGCCAGCGTACACAACTAGTGCGGGATGGCTTGGTTACGGCCAGGATAAAATGCGAGCTCTACTGCGAGAGACGCTATCGAAGGGGTACAAGCACTTCAAGCTCAAGATTGGCTCGGATATTGTCCAGGACAGGGAGAGGTTAACCATTGCACGGGAAATCATTGGGTTTGAAAAAGGAAATATCTTGATGGTGGATGCGAATCAGGTGTGGAGCGTGCCTGAGGCGATTGCCTATATGAAGCAGTTGGCTGAATTTAAGCCGTGGTTTATTGAGGAGCCTACGAGCCCTGATGATGGTGAGCTAGTCCCAAAACCTCTACCCGGCTGCTCTTAATGTCCTTCATCTATATTATAATATACGAATAGATGAACCTGACAAGTGATCGCAGTCCTCGGACACGCTGCCATCCGGCAAGCCCTGAAACCGCTCAACATTGGGGTTGCAACTGGGGAAATGTGTCAGAACCGGGTAATGTTCAAGCAGTTCCTCCAAGCCAAAGCCATCGACGTCTGCCAAATTGACGCGTGCCGCATGGGAGGCGTCAACGAAGTCCTCGCAGTTCTCCTAATGGCTGCGAAATTCAAAGTCCCAATAGTGCCTCATTCCGGGGGCGTCGGGCTGCCAGAGTATACGCAGCACTTGTCCACCATCGACTACGTGGTTGTGAGTGGTAAAAAGAGTGTTCTTGAGTATGTGGATCACTTGCACGAGCACTTTTTCCATCCCAGTGAGATCAAAGACGGATATTATGTTACGCCGATGGAACCGGGATATAGCGTAGAGATGAAGCCGGAGAGTATGGAGAGGTTTAGTTTCCCTGGAGAAGAGGGTGCGAGTTGGTGGAGGAGTGACGAGGCGAAAGCGATATTAGAAGGAGAACAAATCTAGACGTGAATGGTGAAGGGAAAGGGAAAGGCAAAGGGATAACAGGACTTGAGCGCGGAGGAAAACGATGTTCTGGGCAGCTCGTGGGCTTATAAAAGGGGTTGGCTCTTATGTTTCTAAGCAAGAGAGTTTATGGGCACTTCTTGAATGCCAAAGATAAGATAAGCCATGATTCAAGTGATCTGGGTGTCAGTTTCGAATAGTCAATGATGTGTGCCAAAGGGACATGTCAGACACATACACCAATGATGATACTTCACTTACAGAGGGGTAGGGTTCCATTGTACTAGCCGCGAGCTGAAGCTCATCCCTCCCACTGATCGCCTCGTGAAGTTGCCTACTATTACAAAGATTTAAGTGTTGGTCAAAGCATGAATGCATGATGACCACTCACTATACGAAAGTTCAGCCCACGCCATCATGAAAGATGCCCTACATCGAAAACCTCGAATTCCAGTATGTGGATCATAGCATGCTTTGACCTGCCGGAAACCCGATCAATAGCTCGATATGATGGTCGGAGACACTCACCGCCATCGAAAGCAGATCTTAGAGTCAGGTTTGAACTCCAAGATATCCAGGCTGCCAAAGTCAACATGATAATCATTTGATACCACGTTTCTCGCTTTCGCTATAGTAGATGACCATTCGCCATAGCTTTTTGACCAGCTGCTCCGCATCGTCCTCTAAGAACTGTTGTCTCGTTAGCAGCTAAACAGTAGTACAGGAGATTATCACAGGAGCACATACTTCTGATAGTTCTTCGACAAGATCTTGAGGCCCCTTCTTCTCGCGAATATGGTCCACGATTGCATCAACTAACATGTCCTCCTGCACGCCCAGGGATTCCACAATCTTCTTCTCAGCCCAATCCTTAATGTCCTTGGATATGTTCTTTTCAGGCAAGTCATTCCAGGAGATGGCCCACTTCCAGAGCCCTTCCTTATCATTTGGAATTTCCCTAGCAAGCTGTTGCTGCGCCTCGGCGATTTCTTCAGAGGTAAGGTTAGCTCGAATGGAAGGATCAAACTTGATGGGAACAAGAGGCCGTTTATGGATCGGTGCGTCGGCGTCTTCCTCGTCTTCAAGCAAGTTCTCGATTTCGGCAGCGGTGCGACGCGTGGCGGCTGCTTCTTCGACCTTTTTGGCGGCTGCACCAAGAGAAAGCTTGAAGCGCTGCGGCTCGCGTGGAGCTTGAGGGCGCAACAGCTCCTCTGCTTGTTGATCCAGGAACGCATCTGCCATTCCACGGGCGGCTTCCCTCTGTTTCTTCCAGGCAGCCAATTCAACATCCTCCTGGGCACGGTCGATGGCATCTTCCTGGACTTCTTTCGCGAGGAAGTCGTTTCGAGCCCGTGTCCAAGCGCCGTGGTCGCTATAGTAAACGTGATTCTTCTGCTGCATTTCTATGGTATCATCGAAGGTTCGCAAAAGACTGGCCTGGGCTTCTTTATTCCGTTGACGGATCTCTTCCTTGTTCGTGTGACGTTCATCCACTCGCCGAAGAGATGCAACGGTCTTCCCCTCTCGGTTCATCCAACCGCGTTCTTTGGCCTTGAATTCACGGTCAAGCTGATTTCGTCGCTGTTCTTGACGCCGTTCCATGATCTCCTCATCGCTAGCCGGATCGTCATCGTCATCGCGCAAGCTCCAGGCCCCATTCTTGGTGCCGCTGCCGTTGACAAATGCCACGCCCGCCTGGTAGTCACTTGGAAATTGAGAACCTCCCCGTGGTCCGCTCGGCGCGCCTTGAATACCTCGCTCAGCCCTGGGTCCAAGAGGAACACCGTTGGCACCGGCCGGTCCAATAGGAGCGGAAGCCGGCGGAGACGCCAAGCGATTCGACCTGTTCTTGATGCGCTCTTCGGCTTCAATCTTCTCCTCGAGGGCGAGCCGCTCCTGGTCGCGTTGGTTGGCCCGATCCCTAAATGCAGCGATCTCAGCGGCGACAGTCTCACGCATTTCCTCTGGAATGTCGGCCAACTCGTCGTCGGCGGAGAACTGAATCGTAACTATCTCAGCGTGCTCGCCGTTCTCGTGAGCTTGCGTGTCATGCATGACTGTGTCTGCGGCAAGATCCATTGGCAGAGGGTACTGCGGGTTGAACAGGCTTGCTAGCACACCTGCCAGAGCCTCCTTTGCGGTATGGATCCGGAATTGGGTGGTGGCCTCATCATCACCTCGGCGGGACTTCCACTCCTCTGCATACAGCTTAGAGGCATCATCAACGACGACCTGGAGCTTAGTCTTCTTAACCTCGTCCTTCTCTTCTCCATCTTCCATCTTCACGTCTCCATTCGTTGCTTCTTCTTTCTTGACTTTGCTAGGAACCTGTCTCTCAGCCGGAACTTGGACATCTTGGAAGATGTCGGCAGCGGTCTCTAGGCTCTCGGCATCCTCGTACTCGGCAAAACCGAAAGTGCAAGGCTTATTCTTTGCATCAGTGCATCTCGTCCAGCGGCGTAGGTTGCCTGCGGTGGCCAGGATCCTCTGCATGCCTTCATCACCACCAACGCCATCGGGGATATTGCCGATGAAGATGGTGCGTGCAATCTCCTCGCGGGAGGGGGGCACCAGGCTGGCCTGAAGGTCTCGAGCCTTCTGCCCTTGGTCGGCATCGCGCATGGCCCCATCCATTCCCAGTCCGCGCCGACCACCGGGCGCGGCGCTCTCTCGGCGCCCGCCAGAGCCATCCAGAGCGGCGCCGCGTGCGGAGCCAGAGGTACCGAAGTGGATGACTGGAGCGTTGAAGTTGATGTTGGGCATGTTAGTCGGAGGCTGCCAATTTGGGGGCAGAGAACGCGGGCCGCCGAGAACAGAAGGCTGCGCATGGCCGACGCCGGGGGGAGGAGTGATGCCGGGTGCTGGAGGGCCAGAGCTGCCAGCGGGGGGGCCTGTGCCCGGGACGATCAGCGCATGTAGGAGATCAAGGAGAAGAGAGGAAGGAGAGGGAAGAGAGCAAGGAGAGTAAGGAGAGTAAGGAGAGCAAGGAGAGCAAGGAGAGCAAGGAGAGCAAGGAGAGCAAGGAGAGCAAGGAGAGCAAGGAGAGCAAGGAGAAGAAGGAGACTCACCCATGCCGGGAGGAGGTGCCATGCCAGGCGGCGGGCCCGAGAAGCCTGGCGGCCGATTGAATCCGGGAGCTTCACGAGTTAGTTTTGTTGTGCGCTGTGATGGCGAAGGGGAGCTTACCACCGTAGTTGTACATGTTCGTAGCGGAGAGGTAGCGTGCACGCAGCCGGTATTCGGGTCAGCGTCAGGTGGCAGCACACGCGCGGCGCAGGCCAGTGTGGTATGGTGCAGTGCAGTATGAGCGAGTGGGAACCTTGGAGGGAAGAAGAGGTAGTGGCTGCGAGGTTAGCGTTCACGGTTCGAGATTGATTTTCGCACGGACCAGCTCGCCATGGCTCCAGAGCGGCGTTGCACCGAAAAAGCTTTGTCGGCGCGCAGGTGAGGAGACACTCCAGCATCCCATCCAACTCCAGCATCCCATCCAGAATCCCCATCCAGCATCCACAACACCCAACATATTGCGTCCAACATCTAGCATCTAGCTCCCAGCCCCCGCTCCTATGTCCCTTCCTTCCATTGGTCGACAAAAACCATCATAACAGCCCTTGCAATGGGCTCCCGTCACGTCGGCGAGCTCCTGCTCCGTCCGACGCTCTCCCACATTTCGTTGCCTCTCGCTCGAAGAAGAACTCCCGCAGCGGCATTCCAATGGGCCTCACGCCCTCTTCACGTCCCCACATCACCGCGGTCGGCCCGCCCGCAGCCCACCCCCAATCCCACCTCCGAGCTCCAAGTGGAACCTCACCCCCACCATGTCAACACCACCTCCGCTATCGACTCTCTCATCGGCATGTCCGTCCCTCGTGCCCGCTCTGCCCGTACGCCCTCATCCAGCGACGAATTAAGGGCCGCCCAGCACTCGTCGAGGCCCTTTGGCGCCGACTTCTCTAGGCCTAACAACAACTACAAGCGCCCAAAACTCCAGTTCGATGACATGGCTATGGCAGCCCCGGTGCTCGGTGAGCCACAGCAGCACTTACCGGTCGTGCCTCAGGCTCCCGAAGTCTACCCCCGCTTAAATCCCAGCACCGGACGGACCGTCGAGCTGGATGTGAGCAAAGGGCGAGACATCGTGAGGGGTTTGGGCATGTTAGGGAGCTTGATGGCAAGGAACAAGGTCAAGGCCGATTTCATGAAACAGAGATTTCATGAACGGCCCGGCCTGAAAAGGAAGCGTCTGAAGAGTGAGAGGTGGAGGGCGAGATTTAAGGTTGGGTTTAGGAAAGTCGTGGGAAGGGTGAGCGAGTTGACAAGAAAGGGGTGGTAGAGTTTGGCTCTCCTGTCTTCTGACCCATTGTATATCTGGGAACACTATGGCTTGAACATGTCTTCCGTGAGGAAGCATATATATAAAGTCGTGCTTTGTACGATACAAGTGTGTCTCGAGTATTTTTCTAGCCGGCCTTGCCATCTCCAGAGAAAGTCATGCGGAAATTTTATCCAACCCCCAATATATACAATTCATAAAATACTAGTAACCATCATATCGTGGAGAGCACATCAACCATGTCTACACCAACCTTTCCCAACTTGCCCTCCCAAATTCAACCTAATCCTTCTTCCCAACACTATATCCATACCCACCATATCCGCCTCCCCCGCTATTAGCTACTGGCAAACCATAGCCGCCGCCTCCAAACCTCCCTCCTCCCTGCACCTTATCCCTTGCATACCGCCTCAACCGCCTGGGCAACTCGACACCCCTAAAATACGCCACACAGACGGCTGCGCTCGCTCCGGCACTCAGAATGCAATACAAAAAAGTGCTCTTATACAAATGCCCGCCATACCCACTCCAACCAGGCGGTAGCGTCGTAGACGGATACCAGCGCACACTGAAAGTCAGGGGCAACGAGTCCCCAATGGAAATCCGTGTTTGCCTAGCATGTGCTGAGATGGAGTAGGCAGCTGCCGCATCAATGGTTCCTGGGCTGACACTCTTTGGCGCAGCATGCACCAGCAAATTCAGCTCATGGGAGACATGTAAATGGCTCAGCTGCAATGTTCCCGCTAGCGCGATTATCAATGGCGTGTATAGTGTGGACTGGCTTCCTAGTGCTCCTTCTTGTGTACTGCTATCGCTGACTTTGTATTCGATTTCTTTTGGCGAAGGGGGAAGGGGCCGGGATGGGATCCGGCATGTTAGGGGTGCGTCGTTGTGGATGTAGAATTCGAGGAGGTGAAAAAGAGGGTCAGAGATGAAGTCGATTGTGCAATTGATGTCTACCCACCCTGTCAGTATTTAGATGTAAATTATAGCGTTACGCATACCCTTCTCTACGCCGAAGAAGAGCTCCAGAGGTCGGCCGGTCTCATTACACGTTGGAAAAGGTATATATTGAAGTTGTCCCGAGGCATCTGTGATCTTCAAAACAAGTCAACACTGGCAGGTTCCTTCCCAAAAAAGGGGACTGCTCTTTAACGCTGTCTCAGGATTCGCTGCCCTTGGACATACATGTTCCCCGGTTTCTCTATCTCGCAAGTCAGTCTGGGCACCTCCAGATGCAGGCAAACGCGCAATAACTCACATGGTCCTATTCAAACAACTCACAGGGATACGCTCTCCAGCTCTATATCCTCCCGTCGGCACATCCTTCAGCGGCTCTTGGCCAGAGACAGCAGCGCCAAGAGATATCCAAAACGAGTACAGCACGAGCAGAGGAAGCCAGGCTGTCATTGACCGAGCCATGACGCAAGGAAAGTCTTCAAAGGGAGATCTTCCGATCTTGTCTACATCTCCGGGGATATGCAAAGTGTCATCTCCGCCAAGCAGGGTCTCAAATGAAAATATCGGTTATGTAAGCGTGCACGGCAGACGCTTAGACCAGGCTCTCACTTCCGTCCCATCTCCGCAAATCTTCCACGGACTTTCATTCATCACTTCTCAGCGTCCTCATCATGTCGGGCCAAATCTTTGGACAATGTTTATTTGCACTGGCGTCACAAAGCTGTCCAGTTATGGTCTATGAATCCTTCCTAACTTTGCTTTTATCCCGTCATCAGTCATAACCTTTCCCGTCAATCTGTACAGGTGCACCTGTTTACAAAGCTGCCTTCTTCTTGAAGGCGTTGATGAGTCCGCTTGTGCTGGCATCATGCTTCGTTGACTCACCGGGCTCTTCAAGCTCTGCCAAGATTTTCTCTGCAAACTCATGAGCATCCGAAAGCATCCACTAAATTCGAGTTCACTCACTGGCTAAGACTTTACCGAGTTCCACACCCCACTGATCGAAGCTATTAATGTTCCAGACTACGCCCTCGGTGAAAGTAAGGTGCTCGTAATACACGATGAGCGCCCCAAGGGTAGCTGGGGTGATTTTATCGGCGAGGATCGAAGTTGTCGGCCTGTTGCCTAAGAAAGTTTTGTGGGAGACCAATTCTGGGACAGCACCCTCTGCTTTGACCTCATCAGGAGTCTTCCCGACCATGAGAGCCTCGGCTTGTGCAAAGAAGTTAGACGCCAGCATCCTGTAATACATGACGTCAGCGGCTCTGTCTGGTCAAAGTACTGGAATGCGCATACTTCTGGTGCTTGTTGTTTTCAACAGGGTTGTGGCTCTGAGCGGCCAAGATGAAGTCAGTTGGAATGAGCTTAGTGCCCTGGTGGAGAAGTTGGTAGAACGAGTGCTGGGCGTTTGTAGCTGGTTCGCCGAAGAGAATCGGGCCGGTCGTATATTTCACGTAGTCGCCCTTGCGGGTAATAGCCTTTCCATTAGACTCCATGGACAGTTGCTGGAGGTAGGCGGGAAATCTATGGAGATATTGATCGAAGCTGGACCAAGTCAGAGACGGAGCTTCGCTGATGCATCATTCCACTCACGGGGAGACGAGATGTGTCTGCGCTCCGAAGAAGTCAGAGTACCAAACACTCAACAGGCCGCCAATAACTGGGATGTTCTTCTCCAGCGGAGTTTCCTTGAAGTGCTTGTCCATGGCATGGGCACCGGAGAGGAACTGATGAAAGTTATCGAAGCCAATGTAGAGGCAGACGCTCAAGCCAATGGCGCTCCACACGCTATATCGTCCACCGACCCAGTCGGAGAAACCGAACATGTTCTCCTTGTCAATTCCAAACTTGGTGACTTCGGCTTCGTTTGTCGACAACGCCACGAAATGTTTGGCAATATCAGACTCTTTGCCCTTTTGCAGGAACCATGCCTTGGCCGTGTTTGCGTTGGTCGTCGTCTCAGCCGTGGTGAATGTCTTGGAGGCAATGAGGAAAAGAGTCGTCTCTGGATCTGAGTCCCTGAGCGCCTCGGCAATGTGTGTGCCGTCAATGTTGGAGACGAAGTGCAGCTTCAAATTGCGGTCCCCGTACGGCTTGAGAGCTTCTGAGACCATGACAGGACCGCTGTTGTTCGTCAGTAAGTGGCAGGTGTATACTTTTCACCAGCCGAAATGGGCATGGGAGGGACGGCGTACAGGTCGGATCCACCAATGCCCACATTGATGATGGTGTTCACGCGCTTCCCCGTGAAGCCCTTCCACTCCCCGCTTCGCACCTGCTCCGAGAACTTCTTCATGTGTTCGAGCACGTTGTTGACGTCCTCGACGACACTCTGGCCGTCAACCTGCATGGGCTGGTTAGAGACGTTGCGGAGAGCTACATGGTAGACGGCACGATGCTCGGTGAAGTTGATCTTCTCGCCCTTGAACATATCATCTCGGAGCTGCTCCAAATTGGCCTGCTTTGCCAGTTCGACCAGGAGTTTCAACGTCTCTTCGGTGACGAAGTTCTTGGAGAAATCGAACAATGTATCCGAGTCATCCGCCTCATTGTGGAAGGTGAAGGAGAACTTGTCAAATCGCTGGGGATCCTTCTTGAAGTACTCCTTCAGAACAATGTCCTTCCCAAGCTTTTCGTGGTGGTGCTGGAGCGCAGTCCACGCTGATAGCTCCGTAGCCTGCGAGAAGCCCGGCATTGGGTGAGAGAGGAGATGAAGTGAAGTGAAGTGAAGTGGTGTGGATAGAACTAACAAAAGCTAGTCGTGGAGGGGTGGAGGGGCAAAGTTTGACAGGTGACAGGCAAGAATTGACAGCAATTGACAGGAACTGAGTGGATTGTGCGAGTTTTAAAGGCTGCAGCTCTACCGACAGTCGGGGGTGGAAATTGAAAATTCCCGCGGGGATGTGTCTGCACGGAGGGAGCAAAAGGAACGGTCAAGTAGTGGCAGGCACGGCGATGTGGTGGGGAGAGCGTGCCCAACGTCACAGCTTGGGTCATGGAGGGGCAACTTAATACACGCCGAGACGGGAATGGCGTCCAGACAGCCTTCCCCCCCCTGTTTCTTCATCACGCATCTCCGCCGCCGTCTGTTGTTGGTTACCACGTTACGAAGCACGACAAAGCAGCTCACTCAGCAATGCTCCATTACCTCAACGCAAGCGCCCGACCGCTGTGCACACTGTTGGCGGCCTCGCGTCCTCGTCTAAATTGTGGTATCGTCTTGAATTGCCTGCATAGTCGCGCCTGTCTTCACACAAATGCTGCCTCATGCGCCTGAGTAGTGTATGCCGAACCCGAACATTCCCAAGCGAACAAAAAGAAACTGATGAATCCGTTTCCTAAACCAGGCCAAGAAACAACACTCTCCATCCTTAGCGAGAAGACATCCAGACTCAATGGGCTGAGATGAGCATCCCGTGTCTCGTGGAGTCCTTCTGACAGCATCCACCTCAGAACGGCTGGCTATGCGCTCGCCAGTCCCAGTCCAGATGCTCATGCGAGGTCGTCACCATCCTTTCTACACCGAATTCGAAGGAAAGCGCCTTCTATCTCTCGGCGACGCCCTCAAAGGACGGATCCTTTACACTACCTCCGGCGTCGCCTAACCCTGCAACAGGTCGGTTGTATGACCAGCCGGCGAACTGTTGCTGCATTGTTTGAGACAGCATTGGTCCATCAACATATGAGTCCGTGGGAGCTTCAGATGTGAATTCGCGATCGAAGTTAGCAGTGTCCTTCGCGTCAAGCTATTCTAACGTTAGCAGTTGTTTTCTCCCATGGGAGGTGATATTGTGCACATACCACATTCGGCTTGAAGCTAGGCTCATACTTCCGTTCTAAGAGCTTCCGCCAGTCAATGCTATGGAAGAAGTAGTGCGCTTTGATCTCGGCAGCTCCCTTCGCTCCCAATCTCTTCTCAGCATTGCGGTCGAGCAGTCGGGTCAGGAGATCCCGTGCGGCAGGTGGAACGATCTCTGGGCCGGGGAAATGAAGGGGCTCGGTGAGAATTTTGCGGTACATGTCGTTAGTGTTCTCGTCGTAGAATGGTGGTAGACCTGTTAGCATCTCATAAAGAAGAACACCTAGTGTCCACCAATCGACCGTCTTAGTATACCCCGCTCCAGTGAGAAGCTCCGGGGCGAGGTATTCTGGTGTTCCACAGAACGCTGCGGGACAATTAGTGGAATTCTAACATTCAACGACATCGTGGCCTTACTATTGGTTCTGTCCTCATCCTTCATGTCTAGCTTGCAAAGACCAAAATCACACAGAGCAATGTGTCCTGTGTAATCTAGAAGAATGTTCTCTGGCTTCAGGTCACGATAGATGACATTGAAACCGTGCAAACACTCTAACGCACACAGTAACTCTGCGGCATAGAAACGGGCACGATTGATGTCAAATCGCTGCTCTTTCTGAAGGTGATGGAACAACTCGCCACCATTAACAAAAGCTAAGACAAGGTAGAGCTTTTCAGGAGATTGGAATGAGAATTTGAGGGGGACGATGAAGGGATTGTTGATTTGGGCAAGCACAGATCGTTCCGCAAGAGTGTGTGCGACTTCAGAACGAGAAATGATGTGAGCTTTGCGGATGGTTTTCAGGGCATAAATACGATGTGTGTCACGTTTCCTTCAGCGCCGTTAGTCACGTTCATACTCTTGCGGGGGAAGGGGATACATACTGGACCTGCATGACCTTGCCAAAGCTACCTTTCCCGACCACTTTAAGAAGCTCAAAATCGTCGATAGAAAGCCGGTCCTGGCGATTTTCCACAAAGTTGACCCCAATCCTCATAGACCCGGTGCCGTACTGAATATCAATCCAGTCAGCGCCGATTTGGCCTTGGGCGCCCTTCTCCTTGTCCTTTTTACTTGACTTTGCATCTTCAACGTGAGATTGCGATTCCTCAAATTGAGGATTGACTTTACACGTGCCGATGAAAATATCCTCATTCCTGCCAGCATTCGGGGGAGCTGAGGGGTTTCGAATGTAGAGAGAAATAGACAGATCAGTGACACGGGAAACATCGAATTTGTACTGTGTGTTACCGCCTGCCCACAACGGGTTCTCAGGGGTCCCAGAAACCGCATTGATGAAGACCTGCTGCTTGTCGAAATCTACGAGAGCGTACGGCAGATACTTGGAGGAATAGCGGCCGTGAATTGTGGGGACTGAGTTGATGCTACCGGCAGCTGACTGGGGCCGGTTTGAGTTGCTGTACGAGCCTACGACTCCGCCCTGGTTCCGTGACGACGAGTTTGGCCGCATCGACCCTGCAACTGAGAAGCCACCACCGGTCGAGAGCGAGCCCTGATGATGGCCTCCGCCAAAGGCCTGCTCAGCGCCTGGAGGGAGAGAGAAACCTTTGCCCTCATGGAGGGTCACAATGAGGATGCCAGGTTTGAGAGGCGGGGCAGGGGGGACAGCATTCGCCTCAGAGGCAGCTGGAGGTGTCAGCAGCAGCGAGGTTAAAGGGAGGAGGCACAAACCAATGCCATTGGGATCCTTCGGGTCCACGTGGGTAGAACTGCTTGCCGTGCTAGGGGGTTTCGACGTCGAGTCGCCGACTATAGTCGAGGTAGACGAGGACCGACTGAAAGTGTTGGCGAGGGGCGCAAGGTGAGTATCCTTAAGTTCTGTGCAGCATTAGCAGGGCCGCAATTGGGGGCACATGGAGAACGCAAGGGACGCACTCTTGGTGAGCTTCCACGACATGGCGGCGGTAGTCAAATGCTCTAGGACTCCACAACACAGGAGGCCCGGGGTCGACGAGAGCGGGTGTTGGGCGAGGAAGTGACGACCGAGCGAGGGAGCGAGGAGCGGAGTGTCGAAGGAGCGGCAGGGCGGACAGGGCAGGAGGGAGGGGATTATACGGGGAGTATATGGGGAGGTCTACGGCGGTCACAAGCGCTCGTAAAGATAGAGAAGGGCTGGTGGTCCTTCAATGTACCTCTGAGATGAGGGCACGGTTGGAGGTGCGTCTCAGGCTCGAGGACGGTGCACGATGCCAAGGGAATGAGGGGGCGGTAGGCGGTGACAGTCCTGGGCGTCAGCCGCAACTGCCCTTTCAGGAGTTCGAAGGAAACCACGCAACAAACGGCCTGCCCATCGCCATCGCATCGCATCCGCAACGTCATCCTCCCGCGCACTCGCTCGTCTTCCCCCAGATGCGCCGACGAAGCCAGCTGAAACCTGGATACTACGCGCGCGCTCACCAGCACTGCCACAGCTAGCGGCGCAACAGCTAGCGGCGCAACAGCACCCTCTAGGTAGGCCTGCGGTGGGCTTCGTCCACTCCGATCCGACAGCCAGGAGAGCTGCATCATGGGCCTCATTAGGAAGAAGACGGCGTCGCGGGGCACTGAGGGCGGTGTCAAGTACGTCTGCGATGTTTGCCTCTCAGACATCACTTCCACGGCAAGTTCCGACAGTCTGCCCAGTTGCCCCTCGATCTCCACCCTCCATGTATCCCCCGCTAGGATGCTAACACATGTCAATAGGTCCGCATACGGTGCGCCAGCAACGCCTGTCACGAGTATGACCTCTGTGTGCCCTGCTTTTCTGACGGTAAATGCTCCCGCGAGCACGATCCGCGGACCCACCACTACCAGGTCATTGAGCAACACTCTATCCCCATATTCACCGACGACTGGGGGGCTGATGAAGAGCTGGCGTTGCTGGAGGGCGCAGAAACTTATGGGCTTGGCTCCTGGGCCGACATAGCAGATCATATCGGTGGATTTAGGTCGAAAGACGAAGTCCGCCAACACTACATTGACACCTACATCAACAGCTCCAAATTCCCCCTCCCCGAACATGCCAGCCCAGATGACAAAGCTCTCAGCGAGCGGATACCGCGCGACATCTTCCAGGCTCGGAAGAAGCTACGGATAGAAGAGAGGAAGGAAGCTGCCAAAAATGCCCCACCCGCGACACCAAAACAAAAGCCTACGGCTAGTGTACCCGCGTGCCATGAAGTCCAGGGGTATATGCCAGGGCGCTTAGAGTTCGAGACTGAGTACTTCAACGAAGCTGAGGAAGCCGTGCAACATATGCAATTCGAGCCTGGGGATGGCCTCAATCCACGCACCGGCGAAAGTGAGCCAGAAATGGAGTTGAAGATGACGGTTATGGACGTCTACAACTCCCGGCTAGATGCTCGAGTGGAACGGAAGAAGATCATATTCGAACATAGGCTCCTCGAGTATCGGAAGAATGCGGCGGCTGACAAGAAACGGACGAAAGAAGAGAGAGACGTGCTCAACAAAGCTAAGCCATTTGCGCGAATGATGAAACACGATGACTTCAAGACGTTCTGCGAAGGATTGGAGTACGAACACAACCTGAGGCAAGCCATTGGACAGCTTCAGGAATGGAGAAACAACCAAATAGGGGACCTTAAGTCAGGCGAAAAGTACGAGCAGGAGAAACAGCAGAGGCAATCCCGCGGTCCACCCATTGGCCAATTCGACCGATTAGCTACAAATAGGATCACTAAACCCACTCCCCCTTTCGAGACACCGTTAGCCACGACAGCGTTGACCGCACCAGAGCTCCCTCTACGGCTTCAACAGAACGGTGGTCTCTCCACGCCACCTCCAGATCGAGTGTTGATAAATGGCACCCCAAATGGCACCACAAATGGCGTTCTCACTCCCCAGCAAACGAAGACGAAATTCATCCCAAAACCATTACCAAACAGTGTCCCAATGAAGTTTGGAAAGGATGCCGCTGTAGACCTCCAGTTGCTCACTCCCGAGGAGCGCGAGCTTTGTAGTATACTTCGCATCATGCCAAAGCCTTACCTTGCAATCAAAGAGGCCATGGTTCGGGAGGCCATGAAGCAGGGCGGTGCGATCAAGAAGAAACTCGCCAAAGAGATTTGTAGGATTGACGTGAACAAAGGAGGTCAGCTGTTTGACTTTTTCGTTCATAATGGCTGGATAGGCAGGGCATGAGTCCTTGGGCAAGGGCAAGGATGTGGTTCCGGATTTAGAGTAAGCCGACGTTTGTGGTGTTGACTTGATACCCTGATGAGCCTTGATACTACTTGCTGAGTGCACGGGCTGTGGGATTCAGAGATATATTATAGAATACACAATTCCAAAATGTGTCGAGCCAAGTTAGGATGCTCAGAATGCCGTGTGATCAAGTCACATGACTCAAACGAAACCAATCGTGCGAGGTAAACTTCGTTTGTTGACGTCTGGGGCTCGTTGTTAACTCCCCGCCCGGACACACCACGCCGCGCTCACCGCTACAAACTTTGACTATCTACTGCAACTCGGTCGAGCACACATTGAGCCTCCGTCAGATTTGCTGCTCGCCCCCGCAACTCTTGCCAGCCAACCTGCCCAAAGCGAAGGCAGCCGTGCCCGCTCTGCATGGCAACAGTAATGCGGCAACAAAGCAATATGCCTGGCTTCTACACCCCCCCCCCGCCCAACAGTCGCCTAGGCTCTAGGTTAGACGTGTTTGCACCAGCGCCTCGATTTCCAGTTGCGACTGAAACCACGGCGCGGCAGGTGATAGACCTACATGCTCACGGGACGCGGAAGCGATGCCGACAGAGCAACGCTGACTACACGCTTGCGACCTCGCACTCTCAGGCTACAGATGTGTGGGCAGACAGCTCCCTCTCTCTCTCACGCTTCTCCAACACCAGGAGTCCGCCGCCGCTTGCGAACGATAGATATGAGCTTGCTGGCGGTATGGAAGGCCCGGATATGTTCGCACAGCACCCCGGCGACTACGACGACTACTTCCAGCTGGAGAAGCAGCGTGAAATGTGGTCTACGCCCACGAGTCCTCCATCTGAACTTGTCCGGCAGCAACTCGCCGCAGTTGATTCCTTCCAGTCTTCCCCGAACGGCACCAAACCGTGGGTCCTGAATCAGATCCTGAACATCGTAGGGGGCGTTGCGGGAAAGCTGGTGCAGTTCTGCTCCGTACCATTTCGAGGGTTTCAAGCTGGAGGAGGCCAAGCATACGTATTGAATTTACAAGGACCGCTCGCAGAGATGGGCGCTCGAGATCCGTTCATCAACAGCATAACTGGTCCTGTGCACACCCCGCTACCCGGACAGTACCCGGAAGACACCTACGGCGTCGTCTCAATAGAATCCCTCGAGAATGAGCGACCAAGGATGTCCAAGCGATTGCGCACGGGCGAGAAGTGGGTCGTGGTCGATAAGGATGGAGAGATGGACTCAAGACCGGGGACTCCACGCCTATCTGAGAGACGAGTACCAATACACACGAGATCCCCGTCACAAATCCCACGGCCGATGTCCAAGACCGCAGTGTTACATACAACTCCCAAACGCCCATCATTAGTCCCTGTCTCCCGGCGCTCGACTATGGACAGGAGATCACTCCAGGGAGCTTCTAAAATGCCATCCAAGGTATACACCACACCACGATCCTACAGCCGACAGGGCTATGGGTCGCCCGTCATGTTCCAGGTAGACGATCAAGTCAAAGGGAGCCCGCTTCCAAAAGAGAGCCAGCGACTGATCAACAAGGTGCGGCGAGAGGAGATGGAGGACGATGCTCGCATGCATAGAATGGGTTCTCAGATGACCCTCATGCTAAAGGAGGCCCGAGAAGCACTTGGCAGCAAGTTTGCTGTTGAGGACGTCGACATGGTGCAGGGGGAGATGGATGATGAGGGATTTTCCGAGGAATCATCGTGGTACAAGAAGTGAAGAAGTACGTTCCAAGGTTTAGGAGAGATCGCATGTGCCGTTGTCAAACCATGAAGGACTATATCTGCACTCCATTTTAACGCACTAATCTAAGCCTCCCACAGTTTCCCGTGGGTCTATCTTTCGTGTCCATTTGTACTTCATTTTTGTGGTCTTCGTCATGATGCCACCATTGCTCCAGCCGGCGTCAGGCGTCTCTCAGTGGGCGGAATACCCTCTTGGCTTCTAGCAGGACAGTCTACAGGTTCCCCAGCCCACGCTAGGTACATAAGGTAGTTCAGACGTTGCACATCCTGGGAAGGGTGCCAGAAATTCAGGAAATGAAGATGCGATTTTTCAATGTTAATTTGGTACGTGGTGGATGTTTCGAAACAGGGCCGACCAGACAGACGGACTATGGCATGTTCCCAGGCGCGGGGACGCTGGTGAATTGCACAGGATGGAAGTCATGCACGACTATCGATATCGGCGGGACAGTAGTACAGTTTGGGCAGCTCGCCACATGCGCACTGCCGACTGCCAAGCTGGATGCCGGCCCGATGACATGGCTCACTGGCTGGGCGACCCCTCTCCATCAAGCCAGCCTCCAGCTCTGGCTCAGGACGCACCACTGTGTCGTTCATGCAGCCTCGGCGGGACCGCCTGCAACCATGAATTGGGCGACTTTGCTTCCGTACAGCTTGTGCCTGAATAGCGTGTGTGCTGCGCGACATTTAACGCTCTCGCACCGCCCACACCTCCGCTCTGCTTCTGGTCGTCTATTGCCTTCAGTCCACTCCCTGCTTTCTGCTCTCCACAGTCCATGCTGCTGCGGCATTTTCGAGCCCCTCTCCCCTCCCCTTCTCAGATCCTGGTCCTGATAATGACTTGCAATATCACCAACACGCCGCTCTACACCGAGCCTCTTCCGCTCTACCAGCGCAACGACCCAGACACGGCATCCATCCACTCGGCAGCCCCGTCCTACGTCTCGGAGACGCCCACGTACACGTCTCGCCGCCCCAGTATCCCCACCTCATCCTCGCTTCTCCCACCACTTCCCGTGTCCTCCACCACAACCCCACACGAGCAAGCACGTGGCCTACCAGCACCCCGCTATGCACCCGGCTTCCAGTCCCGCGCCCATGGCTCCGTATCAGATATCGACTCGCTCAGCTTCAATATTGGTAGCTGGAGCAGTACGCGGACGAGTCACGCGAGCCGTCAATACCACGCTGTGGCTCGACGACGCGCAAACCAAGCTGCGAACACGACGGCCATTCTAAATTCCCTCAACGCCGTGCCTCCTCCCATGGCTTCTTCTTCCACGGGGGGCGAGGTTTCTCCCAGTGCGTCCTCCACGGCCATGAATACCTATCCCGTGCAAGTAGGCAGTTCAAACGAGCCCTTCAATCCTCTCGAAGATCCGTATCTTGTTGGAGAAGAGGCCGCTGGTAGAGCGAGAGCCCAGCGGGTATACCGCGAGATGTGTCTCCGCGGTGAAGAGACGGTCAAGTATGATAGCCGCAGCTGGGAATTCATGCTCGCTCAGATGGCCGACTGGGAGGAGAGGGGCAAGAGCTGGAGTTACTTCCGCGCCCGAGTTGGACAGACGAAGTTGCTTGGGCGGAGGTTGGGTTTGAGGACTTAGAGCTGATTACGAAGTGCGCTCGCGTCGAGGAATCAGAGCGAGCGTGCAACCCCCTGCGGTACCTGCGTCAGCCATTGGATATTACTAAGACCACCTGAGGTCTTTCCTATGCAATGACACCATGGCATGATTTATGACAGATGGGATTTGGCTAGCGTCCAGTAATGTTGTAATTTTCAATCTAGTACAACAGATCTCTCCGTGCAATAGATAGGGTAGGCCAATATTGAGTCTGGGTATTTCCTCATATTTCATTTCCTGGGCATGAGTTTGCTCGACGGTGGTGGACACATTTCCTTTTATTTCATACATTGGCTATGATGACTTCGCCTCTAAATGGAGTTTATATACATCTAGGTGGTGTTCTGTAGATCGCATGAACGGGGAACTATACATCGGTATTTGCGCATGCACTTGACCAGGTTCAATTCGAACTATTTCCACATTACCAACCTCATCTATTGCATTTGTCATTTATGCGCGCCACCTAGTTGGAATGAACCTCAATAAACAGAACTGCGAGTTTTCACCCCAAGCCCACTCTTTTGAGGATGCACTTGCGGGCATTGATGCGTGATCAGGATTTGTGGAGTGTTCACATGCAAAGCAACGGTCGTCACTATCCACAGTCTCAAGCTTTGCCACCGTTGAACGACTAAAAGCTTGCTACTGCGTCTTATTAGAACGCAGTTACATGAGTGGGAGGCTTGTGTTGGTGTGTGCTTAAAGTAGGCCTGTCCAGTAGTGGATTCAAGATCGACGCCTGTACCGAAAGCCTGTTGTTGTCTTTGAGAAATAATGTGATTTCAAGGCAGATATCAAGAATTATTCTCCACAGCCCTCCCACCTACGCATTCCCATCCAATTGCTGCTTCCAGTTCGCGGGACAGCTTCCCGTGCATTGCAACCCACTATCGCTGTTCATGTTACTGCAGAGAAATTTCGCAGTCCCTCCGTTCTTTGGTTTGATATCAATGCCACTAAACTTCAACCCTGTACAAGGGGCTGCACTGCTGCAGTGAATCCCTGCCGCCACATTATACCGACTCGTTCCTGTAATATTTTCCCACGTGATATCACTTATCTTCAACCGAGAACTATCACAATTTGAGTAGGAGTAGATGCAAGGGGAAATGTAGATAGGCTGATTTACGTCGCGGAAGTTGATGTTTCGGAATGTGACGTTTTTCACGTGGCCCTGACCAGGGTAGGTCTTTATCCACGCAGCGTTGGAAGAGTGGATAGCTGTGATGTCTTCGAAGACTACGTTGTCGACATAGTCAGGCGTTGTGGCTGGGTTCCCTAGAGATCCAATGCACATGGCGCCGGACTCATAGCAGGTGACGTTTTTCACATATATGTTACTGCTGTTGCCTTTGATGGATATGCAGTCCTGAATGTGCGAAGTAAGTAGTTAGGAGTGGTGAACTGATTAATACTGGAAGGGCAGAGTGGGTAAGCCTTACATCTCCACATGTCACGACCCAGTTCTTGATTGTGATGTCTTTTGAATTCCAAGTATCAGTTCCGTCGGTGTTCACAGTCGACCATTGCGAGTTCGATGTTGCATTCATGTCCAAGTTCGTCATCGTAACATTCTGCGAGTGCGCAACGAACGTATGCCTGTTCAAAGCATAAGCGCTCAAACGCCCAAATTCCTCCAACGGCTCAATCTCACCAGAACTGAGGCTGCCGCCAGGTTATCCCGTCAATAAAAACATTCTTGGCATTCCATAGCGTAAAGGAAATGGGGCGTCCGGCCTGGTTTCCATTATTCCGGTTCTGATCGTACCACTTCTGCCCATTGCCAAAGAAAAGGGCCTTTCCATGGCCCCGAATAGAGAAATTCGTTCCACCGAGCCGCCAGGCGGTCGAGCGCTGTGCGTACGTGACTGAAATACTGTTCTTCAGCCAGTACTGGATATCATCGTTCCAGGTAAGTTTCCCTTTAATGGAGATGTCGCAGTTCTCCAGATTCAGCACATCCATGACTTTGGCAATCGTGTAATCCCCTTCAACAATTTCGATCTGGCCGTTTTTGCCACATTGCTTGAAAGCATCCATGATAGCGGCGCTATCATCTTTTGACCCGCTGGGAGTCACGGTGCAGAGGGAGCCCGTCTGAGTCATGGCAGCAAAAGCTGCTGGTACACTGGAAATCAGCAGGAGCTGCACCACGCGGAAAAGCAGCATCTTGGTACACAGAGGTCTGAAAACAAGAGTTGGCCTGAACACACGGCCAAACCCGCAGCTGAAGCTTCAACGTATTCTTATGATAGCTTGATGAGGGACATGGCTTCCCCCCACGGTGCTTGGCTTTCATTTCGCGGATGTTCTACCAGGTGTTTAAGTATTAGTCTGTATTGCTAGAGGGCCAATGGGATGGAAACAGAGAAACGTGTCGATTGAGATTGGTGCAACCAGATAGTTCCGTTGCTTGGTTCGGCACATGGGCGTGTGCATAACCGGTTGCTATTTAGGAGGGCAACTTAGCCGTGCGCAGAGATTGAGGATCCAGGGCTGAAAACAAGGAGTATATGACAAGCACCGGCAATCCGTGAGGATGTGTGGTGGACGAGGGAAATGGTCGAGAAGTGATCACGTTTGCAGGTGTTGCACTAGGACGGAGAAGCTAGAGCTAGAGCTTTACCCAGGTATATAGGTTGATTGAGGACGGAAGTGAAGTCAAGATAGTGCTTAGAGTTCAGATATATGTGCTGACTAAGCGAAATCAAAACAATTGCCCTCGTCTAGTCGCGGCTTCCCCACGACGTCTACGCAGCCATTGACCCGTCCATGGGCCGCAGATAGCACTAAACACCCATAGCGAAGGCCGTCCAGATGCGTGCCGTTATACTGCGACCCTCAGTCGTCCGCTCCCGTCTCTGCCTTCGACCACCTCACATCCTCCCCAGATACACCTCAACAGCCTCGACGGTCTCGGAAGCCACCACAAATGGCCGCTCCCTTTTGACCCGCACCAAGAACCTCGTTCTCGGCACGTCCATAGCGCTCGCTCTTTCCTTCGGATACCTCTACATCACCGACACGCGCGCTAGCATCCATCAGTGGTTCGTTGTGCCTGTCCTTCGGCTGGCCTATCCGGACGGCGAGGACGCCCACCATGCCGGCACGGCCGCCCTCAAGACGCTCCACAGCTTCGGTATCCACCCTAGGGAGCGTGGCAGCCCGGACGCGGCGGGCGATCTGGAAGTCGACGTCTTGGGCCACAGGCTGAGCAACCCCATTGGCACGTCGGCCGGCATCGACAAGGGCGCCGAGGTGCCCACGCCGCTGTTCGCCCTCGGCCCCGGAATCGTCGAAGTGGGAGGCGTCACGCCGCTGCCCCAGGCCGGGAATCCCAGGCCGCGTGTGTTCCGGATGCCGTCGCAGAATGCCCTCATCAATCGATATGGCTTCAACTCGGAGGGCGCCGAGGTGGTGGCCATGCGGCTGCGCCAGCGACTGAGAGAGTTTGCATACCACAAGGGCCTTGGCATTAACGAAGAAGCCGAGCGCATCGTTCTGGATGGAGAAGCCGGTGTTCCCCCAGGCTCCTTAGTACCCGGCCGTCTCCTCGCTGTGCAGATCACTAAGAATAAGGACACTCCCGAGCAGGACAGCGAAGCCGTCTCTCGAGACTATGCCTTCTGCGTCAAACACCTGGCAAAGTACGCCGACATAATCGTCGTCAATGTCTCTAGCCCCAACACTCCTGGCCTCCGGTCGCTGCAGAATGTCGAACCCCTAACCCACCTCCTGACGAGCGTCGTTCAAGCCGTGAAGCAAGTTGATCGGAAGACGAAGCCAGCAATCATGGTCAAGGTCAGCCCCGACGAAGACTCAGAGGAGCAAGTATCTGGCATTTGTGAAGCCGTATGGAGCTCGGGTGTCGACGGCGTTATTGTGGGCAACACGACGAAGAGGAGACCGAATCCTATACCAAAAGGCTTCGTCATGCCAGAGAAAGAAGCGAGCCTCCTCCTGGAACAAGGAGGATATTCTGGGCCACAAATGTTCGACAGGACCCGTGCCCTTGTCAGGCGGTATCGAAAAACACTAGATGATGGCCCAAAGCAACTTCTGCTATCCGCAGTATCGGGCCAAGACAAGCAAATCCCTGGGCCGCCGGTAGGTGATTCCGTGGAAAGCTCTATCAAAGAGAAGCCGGAACCAACCAAGAAACAGATCGAAGATGCCTTAAGCTCAGCTACATCCACACTGCGGAGTGACTGGACAGAAACCCCGGGCGAATCAACCCCGCAGTCTTCCAATATAGATAATATGAGTGTGTCTGATCCATTGCTGTCCCATTCATCCCTCTCAAATCCTCCTCCCACTCCTCTGCCCTCGCCCCAACGCAAAGTGCTCTTTGCCACTGGAGGCATCACAAATGGGAGACAGGCTCGTGAGATTTTAGACGCAGGCGCAAGCGTCGCTATGGTCTATACGGCGCTGATATACGGCGGCGTGGGCACAATAAGCAGGATCAAGGAGGAAATGAGGGAGGTTGTGTAGAGGAAACAATTGTCTCCCACAGTTGTGTAGACCATTGTATAAGCTATAAAAGTATATAGATTTCCATAGATGTTGAATTTTGACCCAAATGTGTATCAATCTAACATCTCTTTGATTACACGCAGCTGTTTCAGCAATCTGTTATGTGACGATGACAAGTTAAAGTTGCTCATCATAGACCCATATTCAAGCAATTACTTGACGTAACCCCCCGCCTCCTGTGGCCCGCACTACCTCTGTCACCTCCGCCCTCTTACCCAAGTAGGCATCGAGCAGTTGCCGATCTACTTGCATATATTCTTGTATACTAGAGAAGCTTCCGCATTCGACCACCTCCAGTGGCGACAACCCACTTATTCCCATAGTGAGCTTCGGCATCTCCCATCGCATCTGCAGCATTGCTCTTTCACGTAAATTGGCTCCGTCTTCCAGCAGCACTCTTACATCTACCGTATACTCAAAATACACGGCGAAGGCAGCGGCGTCGCTCCGAAATCGCACTTCGTATTGATGGCATCAGTCCCTAGAAATGGCAGACCGAAGTAGCTAGTAGATCTGCTACCAATCTTGGTCACAAAAACTTGTCTCGCGAATATCGTCATATGTGCACCAGTCATGAAAAACGGTATTATTGGTGCGGGGGAAAGATATGAAAAGGATATTTACCGACGAGTGTCTTAACAGGAGATTAATAGTACGATAGACTCGAATATCCAGTCCCATCCATAGGACCTCACTAGTAGCACTCCCTCGTCCCAATTTATCAGTTGCATACTGTACAGAGGCTTTGTGATGGATGAACAGGTCCGTCCAGATGAAAGTATTGCAGCTAAAACTATAGAGAAGAGGGGTGCCAGCCGTGAACGGATCCCAGTTTCAGTCAACCTCTCCGCCATTTTGCATCAGCTATAACGCAATATCGGTGCCCTTGTAGAAGTCCTGGGCACAAAAAAGAGGCATATTGAAGCTTACCCCCACCTAGATCCATAGGCCAATTGAGGACCGTTCCAAAAGCGAAGGGAGACCAACTCCTGGTCCGCAGAAACGACAGCAGCGTGGAGAGGAGTCACGCCGTTTATCCCTATCCGTTGCCCTAAACCGTCGAATCAACCAGAAGCAGATACCCTATTCCTGCTAGGTCCCTAATACCTACGGTTCAGTGTAGAAGCTCACCGAAGAATGGCCACGTGCTTGCGCCTCTATCCCTAAGGGATTTCATAGTTCCTAGCAAAATTACCCTCTCAGCTCTCCAGTGACAGGCAACAAGAGCATGGATAGGAAATTTATACAAAGGCAAAAGCTGCAAACTCAGGATCGCAGGATGGGTAGCGTTTTCATACCGTCAAATGCGTCCGTCTCTCAAGCCAACATGAGAAGCTCTAGCAGATTTGAATGTTGAGACGTTGTCGGATACCTGAGCCCCCGTAGTTCGTGTATGAGCGACCGATGTCTTGGGGTGTTTCCAGAGTGCTTCGGTCTGTGGGTAACATAATCTCTTCTACACCTCTGCAAGGGCTTAACGGTTAGTTCCAGTCTAGAATCGTCGAACCACAAAGGTTCGTCCTCTCCCATAGCTTGTTCAAGTTATGGGGGTTAGAATCTTCTTCAAAGAGATATCTCCATCAGATCGTGTGAAATCCGTTAGGAGGCAATCTAGAGGAGTACCGTAAGGTTCATGATTACTCTGTTGCTCGTCACCTTGATACCGGATCCAATCGCTTAACGCAGGGTTGCTTCTCATAACAACGGCTGGCTTAGCGGCTTATCGATATGCCCTCATCCAGAATCGCATCAAGACAAGGTGCTGCTTTCTTCACTCTCGACCCTCTCTACGAGAACATGGTGAGTCCAGTACCAAAAAGCGTGCCCATGAGCCTGCCCATGTATCTGAGTAGCAATACTGTAGAGGTTGCAACGTTGTGTCGATACGGAACCAACACTCCCCCCCGCCTGCGACGACAACAGGGATGAACCTCCCTTCAACGAATCCAATCTAGACAATGACAACTCTTGCGACTCCGCCGACTTCAGCTACCACATGCATGTGTTGTTTGGTGGGCGAAGCATCCATAGCCTCGTATTATATGAGGCTGAAACCTGCAGTTTAATGAGCAGAAGAGCAAAACGGGATACTAAAAGTCGAACCCCATGTGGAGACGGGCACGCTCAGGCCAACTTGGCCGAACACGTGTGTAGCACCAGCACTTTCAGTGCATGTCAAAACAGTGACAAGCGTGTGGGGCTAACTCCCTTTCAGGAAGCCCTCTAGTGCACTCTTTCAGCAACAGCTATCTTGAGACAGCGGTGTTGCTCGTGTACGAAATGACCAGGTAAAACAGGAGGAGAGAGTCCGTAGGATCAAGATAGAATAACGATGAGTGAACTCCATAGCCAGCGGTATAAAGGCGTCCAAAGAACTTCATTGCCTTTCACCAACCCGAACGAGCACTCCTTTGATCCAAGCAGCGCAATTCTTTTCTTCTGAAGCTTCTCGATTACCTTCTCTCCTACATTCTTTACTCTCTCAATCACGGCCATGTCCAAAGTTGCGACTCTCTCCACTCTAGCATTGCTGGTTCAGTCTACCATGGCTAGGCTTATATTTCGCTCAAGCCCCGATTTCGGTTCATGCTTCAATCCTACTATAGAATACGTCAAAGACCAAGACGGTATACCCGGTTACGGATACAAGCCAGCAAATGCAAAAGATTTCGCCCACGGCGCGAGCCCAGACGTTGAGGCCATCACGGAATTCATTTGCAGCAACCTCCAGAACGTATGCAGAGCGCCAGCCACATCCTACGACCTCTGCAAAGTCGCCGCATCCAATACCCAAGGGAAGAAAGAAAAGGACGCGGCTGATGCATTCAATATCGTAATCACATCGGCCACTCCTCCAACTTCTTCATCTTCTTCGGCTGCTCCCTCAGAGACTCCCAACCCTACAGTCGAGCCAAAAGTCAACATCAAATTCTCAAAAGAAACTGTCGCTCTCCCTGGGCATATCGATCCTAAATGGTGGTTCGACAACTACTTCACCGCTACAGGTATTCCTGCTCTTTGCGACGAGACTGCGCACAGAATGCCGGACAACAACTTCTTAACCTTTTCTTGCGAAGGGGCAGACAATGGTACCGTACCCATGATGAAGGCTATTCTTAATAGCGTGGTCGACGCTACCATCGACAACACCACCGCCAAAGATGAAGAACGCATTTTCAAACATGACGACTTGATGTGCCATGGCGAGGAAAAATGTGTGAAATTCCTGCCAGTCACTATATTTCCTCAATCAGTACACGTTGCGGTCGCAATTGATATTCCAAACACCGGCGGGGCTCTGTCTGGCAATATGAGGTACACCATCTCAAAGTCCTCCTCTGATAATTGCAAGCTTTGTTCCTTTCTCTCTGCTGGCGGAGGAGGCACGGCTGCCTCGGCTAAGATTGTGGAAGTTTTGAAGGATACTTCCAAGTTTATTTCTCCCGGCTTCGGGATTGGGTCAGCAATCGTAACCTTGACGTGCCTGTCACAATGCTAGGTCTAATACGCTTTCCACATCCTCTTGCTGTTTAGTTCTTACTTTCAAGGGTTCCAACTTTTCATTTTGCGTTCTTCCCAGTTCGTAGTTTTTGACCGTAAATACTTCTTTCCTATATGCCATGTTCCTGTCCAGTTTAGTCTTGCCTATATGCTCGGCACGTTAGCTTTGCTCTTCACATTATTATCTCGTCCCTATCGCTATAGCGGTAATTGTGTCTCGTTAAATCTGAATATTTGTGACTCAGGATGAACAGCTATCAGGCACGGGCAGCGGTATAAGATACCAACAGTGCATGGCCTCGCATGCCAATGACGGCAAAGTGAGCCTAGCGAGTGAGGCTGCGGGTGTTGGGTGGCCTGGATGTCAGCGGTAGAAACGCTTCGGAGCAAATTGCAGCCTTCTTCTCCTCTCAGTCACGTCATGTCGGAAAATGCAATGCCAAAGCTATCGCAACAACGAAAAGCCATGCGTGTGCGCCTAGAGCCACCGAGACTGACTCAAGACCTAACCTACTATTTCATTTTAGCGCAAATATTTAGGCATAGTATTAACTACTAATGCTACTGTGCTGAATCAAACTATGGCCACCTTCCTAGAAGGCCTCCAAAGCCGCCTCACAGAAGACAAACATTAGATAGATAACATAACAGTTCTTCTTGCCCCTGTACTCTTAAGAGGATCTACCACCCATTTGTTTAGAGATTACTTTTGTATCTACACATACTTTTGTTATGTAAACAATTGAAATGACTTTAACTGCTACAGATCTAAACCTATCTTCTATTAGAAAAATAGAATCTTAGAGTAACTTAGATTAGCTATAAGTATATTTATAGTAAAAACAGAAATAGATGATGCTTAAATAGTATTTATTTTTAATAACTAAACTTTAACCTCTTCTAATAATAAAAACTAACGTATTCTATTACCAAGCTAGCTAAATTACTAAGCTAACTAAAATCTCTTAGTATAACTAACACTGTGTACAAAACAACAATTTTATTAATAACTAACTTTTAAACTTATAAATAATATGCTTATATCTAATTCTAATGCTTCTTTGCATGTACAAGTGTTGTATCTAGTCTTCTTGCAGTTCCTACAGCGCTATACACCTAGCAGGGCAAATCTAACATGTTTGCTACTACAAATCTTAGACAACTAAGATGCTGCTTGTAATTCTATAGATATGTACAACGCTTTTATTCTATACTTTATTATTTTAATATATAGAATTTACTTTCTTTATACTTTTTATAACGTACACTACAGACGAGTTACTTACACACCTAAGTAACATACTACAGCTATGTATAAAGTCTTCTAAAAAATAATAAATAACTAACATACTAGATAACTCTTATAAACTAATTTTATAGCTAACTTATAAAAGCTAAATAATAATAAAAAGTAAGTAATTATTAAGCATGTACTTAAGCTATATACATAATAATTTCTTTTTAGCTAGTAGCTATAGCTAATATAGCTAATTATTTACACGCTAAGTGTAATCTAGGCTATGTTAGCATAAACTAGTTTAGTATATGTCGCGTATACTAAAAGCCTTAGCTAGGGCTTAGAGCCTAGTGTATAGCTTAGGATCTAGAGATAGTTTGTTCTAAAGCTTAGTATATATAAGAAGAGCCTTTAACTCTTTTAGATAGCAAAGTTACTTTATCTAATCTTTTAAACAGCTATTGCTAAGCTATTTTATCCTCTATAGTTATAATTCTAGCGCTTTAAGAACCTAGAAAAAAATTTTTTATATAACTATAGTGTTAGTAATAGCTGTTTAGAAGCTTTAATTCTTTTTTTAACTTATTTTTATTATCTTTAACACTTATGTTATAGCTAATTATAGAGCTTACTTAAGCAAGTAGGTGTAATAAGGTAGGCGCCCCGCCTGCCAAGCCGATACTATACGACATTCCCTACTATACTAAAAGGTATGCACGAGAATACTTAAGCTAAGTATTCTCGCATAGTATAATATATATATAGGTAATGCTAGAGTAAGCACTAGCACTAGCGGTTGTCTCTAGCCTAGCCTAAACCTCTATAAGCAAGAGAAGGCCACGTAGTTAACTGTGCCGACCTTGTTACAATAGGCTTTCTACACAACATAACTTTAGATAATTTAGAAATAGGTTAATGCAACTATTACACTAGAGCTTCTTAGACTTATAAGAATATAGCTTATATTAAAAAACTAGTTAACCTTATAAGCACTAGTCTAAGCCTTAAAATAAAAGCTAGCACTAGTAGACATAAGCATAAAGAATTTTATATAAGTAAAGTATAAAGCTTACTTTACTAAGGTAAAGCATAGCACTATAACTCTAAAAGCTTAGTACTAGCAGTAGCACTTCTTATATACTAAGGAAAGAACTTATAAGATTTTTAATATAAAAGGCTAGCTAGCTACATAAGACTTTTTAAACGCTCTAGCTCTAAAGCTTACACTAGACTAAGCTTACTCTATACACTAGAGAGTTATAAAGGCTAGCGTATTTAGTAAGAAACTTTTAACGTACTTTATAGGCAAGTTGCTTACACACCTAATTTACTTACTTTTACTAAGACTCTACACTACTTTTTTTACACTAATGTATTTCTAACAATACTACTTAGACGTGTTAAAGAAATGTTAAATGCAGCTTACACTCTAGGCTTTTAAATAAAATATAATACTTTTTAAGTAACATGCTGCAGCTATCTATAAAGTCTTTTAAAATATAACGTACTTTATAGGCAAGTTGCTTACACACCTAAGTTGCTTACTTTTGCTAAGACCCTACTACACTACTTTTTTTTACACTAATGCATTTCTAACAACACTACTTAAATATGTTAAAGAAATGTTAGATATAGCTTACACTTTAAGCTTTTAAATAAAATATAACACTTTTTAACTAACATACTGCAGCTATTTATAAAGTCTTTTAAAAGATAATAAGTAACTAACACACTAGATAACCTTTTTAAGCTAATTATATAGCTAACTTATAAAAGCTAAATAATAATAAAAAGTAGGTAATTATTTAGCATATACTTAAGCTAGATGTGTAAGGATTTCCCTCCTAGCTAGTAGCTATAGCTAATATAGCTAATTCTTTACACACTAAGCATAATATAGGCTATATTAGCATAAACTAGCTTAATATATTTATTAAGTGTTACTTAGAGCTTAAAGTAAAGTTTAAGTTTAAGTATAACTATAAAAAAGCTTTTTATAAGAATTCTATAGTAATTTAAAGCTAGTTTAACTTTATAAAGAATATTAAAGCTAAGTATAGTATCTAAAATAATAACACATATAACTTTAATAAAATAAAGTTTATAATAAGCTAGATATTTACTAGAGTAGTTATTATAAGTTTAGAGAGATAAAGACAGCTAAAAGTAGTTTAGCTAGGTAACTAGAAGTAGACAACAGCTATTTAAGGCATTAATACTAAAAAGTAAGCTATTCTACTTTTTATTATTTTTTAGAGTAGTAACTACTTTTTAAACTAGTATAAAAAAAATCTACTTTAAAATTAAGTTATTATAATCTCTAAGCGCAGCTAGACTACTAATTAGCTTAGTCTAGACTAGTTAAAGCACTTTAATGTGCATATAAAAAAGCATACTGTTAGCAGCTACTATCTACTAGTTATTAATAGCTATAAGAGCTAAAACTTACTTTATTTCTAGTAATACTATAAAGATAATAAAATTATTACTATTTATATACTTTTTTACTTATTACACTTTTTATAGCTATTTAATGTAGGTTGTTTTACTTTTTTTAAAAAAGTGTATAAGCACTAAGCTAAAAACCTTATATGCAACTAAATTACTTATATTATAAAAATAAAGTTCCTACTATGCTTTAAAGCAGCCTATAATGCTATAATTACTTTTAGTAATATCTAAGAAGAGTTTTAAAGCGCTAAATTAGTTTCTTTTAACTTATAATAAGTTATAATAGGCCTTAATATAAAGTTGCGCACTCTATTACTACTACTACCTATATATAATAAGCCCTAGTAGTTATAAACTCTAAGTAATACTTTAAAACTTAAGTTATAATTAATACTTATAAAAATAAAGATTTAAAAGCATATAAATAGTTTACTAACTTTTATAATTAAAGTGTTTAAAAAGGTTTTAAAGGGGGCAGCAATAATTGCGCATAAGCTAGTGTTAGTATAATAGAAAATTACTAAGCTTTAAGCAGCTAATAAAGCTACTATATAACATAAATTACATAAAAAAAAGTAGATTAAAGTAGAAAAAACCTTAATAATTTAAAAAGGCCTATGCTTAACAGCTTTAAAGGAGTTTAGGGCGCGCAGTAACAGGAAGAAGGCAAAAAAGCAGGTGTAAGCTAAAGTAGGTAAGCTATTCTAAAGGCGCTACAGACAGTGCAATTAGACTAGGCATAACGCGCAAATGTGTAAGCAAGAAGTAGAAGTAGTATCTAAATAATATTCTAGGCTGTACTGTACTATATAGTGCCAGAGC